CTCTAAGCCATTGAGAATCTATTGTGATAATTCCGCTGCAGTTCGTTTCTGTAACAACAATACAAATGGGAGTTCAAATAGGTGGATTGACATAAAGTTCCTTGTTGTTAAAGAAAAAGTTCAGAATCATCAAGTATTAATAGATTACATAGGAACAAGGTTAATGGTTGCAGATCCTATGATAAAGGGTTTGCCACCCAAATTGTATAAGGAACATGTAGGACATATGGGGCTTATTGATATGTCTTGTGTTTGATTTACTGAGGCGCTTTAAAGTTTGCAATTGCACTTATGTTCTGATGATTCTTAGTTTTTTTTAAGGAAGTATATATAAAGTTTATAAATGACAAATTATCCTTTTGGATAATAAAATAGGACCTTAGAATGGGCTTATGGGAGCTTATTCATACAGATAGTCCATTGGGACAATAAAGTTGACTTCCTTGAATAGTTTTTGAAATAATTATTTATAAAGTACAACCACATAAAGATGTTTATCTAAAGAAAGACAGTGATGTAATGATACATGGAAGGTAGTACTCATTTGTATAGTGTAATTTCCGCCATGATTTTATCCACTGAAATTCTATAGATAAATTTTTTTTTTAGTTCTCAAACCCATATGGGTAATGAATGTGTTAATATTGGCCAAGTAGGAGAATGTTAGACACGTTTATTCATTAAACATAGTGTGGCCTATATTCTCACACTATTCAAACCACTTACACTACCACAACGTTACTGGGAAGTTACGACTACGTGGTTTTTGGGAAGTTACGGTGGTTTTATAATAACTGTCATTTTGAATCAAAATAGAAAAGAGGGCTTGTATGATGGATTACTTGCTTCTCGATTTTATTTTTTACAGAATCCTACAGAGGTCCCATGTCTAATAAGTACAGTATGTGTTGTCTCCATCAAGTTCACGCATCAAGACTTGTATAGGCGTGAACATCATTAGGATTTCCAAATTTGTTTTGCAGGCATTAATCAAACTGATTTCATGGCTGGATGTAATCCGATCTCTTTGGACTTGATAGTTTCTTTCACTATATACATACGTATGTAACTGAACTGAACTGAACTAATAGGACATGTAAAAGCACCAACAGATCCAAACCCATCTTCAGATCAAAATTTTAAAAAGTAAAAAAATTAGACAGTGAAGTGCGCAAAAAGTACCTTTAAGTGACAATTTCGCAGCGATTCACTGTCGGTGTCACTTCACTGTTGTTGCCCATTCCGGTGATGTCGAAGTTTGCCAGTTCAGGGTTTGGGTCGGTGATAGTAGTGGTGAGGAATAGTCGGTCCAGCCTACTCTCGTGAGAAAAAAGGGTTCCAGGCAAGTGCTTGGCGCGCGTGAAATCACCTCATCTGGCACAAGAAGTTATTTATTAACAGCGAGTAGCGGTTAAGTACTTTAATTGCGTTTAATAATGAGAAACATTTTTTTATTTTTTGTTGTCAATTTCTAAAAAGTCAAAACGAAAACAAAAATCACGTTCAATAATAAAATATTTTTATTTTTCTATAATAGAAAACGTTTTCAATTTTTGTGAAAAAAAGAGAAAACATCAAAATGATATTTTTTATGTTTTCGGTACTGTAGCAGAGAAATGTTCTCACTAATATTAGTGCACAGGCACTTTTCATTTCAAATAAAATTTATATTATTTGTGTTATATACTAAGTTGCATATTAAATGTTAATAAAAATATATATTTTCAATATAGAATAAATTAAAAATTGTATATTATTTTTTATTTGATAAAAATATATTTTAATATATAATATATTAAATAATAATGTAAATGATTTTTTGTGACAAAATAATTTTTGATATAGAATATAATTTTATTAAATTATTAAGCAATAGATATTTTATATTATTACATATCATATCTATATTATATTATATGTAAATATTAAATTATAATTAATTTACAATATTATAACACAATATATATTTTATTACATATAAGATATATTATTTAATATTTTTTATTCATAATAAATTATCATATGCTAAATATATTATATATCACATAATAAATGTATACATCATGCATATACATGTATTTATATATATAATTGGTGCGAATGTTTTTGTCTTGGTATATCTAATTTTGTACTTATGATGTATTGGGTATTTTTAAGATTTATAATTTTAAATTAGATTTTCTAGATTTATGGTTTTTTGATATTAATGGAAGCAAGTGTCGTGCCTAAGTGATTGGGTTGCTTCCTGTGTCCCAGAGTTCACGTTCAAGTCATCTTCCCTCCCCTCTAATCACTATTAACTCCTAAAATTCTTGCCATGAAAAAAATAAAATAGAAATAAAAAATTTTAAAAATATTATGTACATTTTGTAACGAGTATGTTGTATTGATAAACATAATTATTGTATTATGTTTTTAAATTTGTGGCAACAACAAGTGTTAATAAATATCATTTTTGTTTTCTATTTTCACTCAAGAAAACAAAATCATGTTCCTGTTTTCTTAAGACTGCAAAAACAGAAAACGAAAACGTTACTAAACGTACCCTTTAGTTATTAGGGGCCTCTTTGATTAGTGTTTTTGTTTCGTGTTTTTTTATTTTTGTTAGCGTAATAAAGCGAAGTAAAAGAACGAAACATGTTTAATAATATTTAGTGTGCTTTTGAATAGTACCGAAGCATTTATAAATTGAAGGCCAAAATCGAAAGCATCAAAATGATGTTTTTGTCTGCCTTCGCACTGTAACAAAGTACTGTTCATAAAAAATAAAAATTAAAATTAAAAAATCTAAAATAATAATTTTAACTAATAATCCAAATTTTCAAACTTGTAACACTTTTTATCAAATATGCTTTCATATTTTTGCTTCTAAAAATCTTGTAACAAATTTACGTTACTAAACAAGCTTCTAAATAGTGTTGAACACACTCTAAAAGTAAAAACATTACTTCTGCTTCGAATCAAAACAAAAACACAAAGCAACTGTGATTGTCAAACGAATCCTACACAAACTCGTCCAATCTAAACATTGGGTTTCCCGGTATCATATTAAATGATACCTACTCTAGGATTATGGTATATATATATATTTTTTTACCAAGTTAGCAAATTAGAAACAATTATACCCATTTAATTTTAAATTCAACAGTAGGTCACTCTTTCTCACTCTTTTCTACAACCACCGTCAAACATGGACCCTGCCGTGCCCAACCTCTCTATATTCTCAACTCGAATCATTTTCGATCCAAAAATAACTTGTGGTTTACCATTGATCATTTTCGGCTTCACATAAATTAAATTAGTACTCCAAAACGACAGGCTTTAACGAGTTTTAACTCCCAACAATTATCTTTTGAACTTGAAGACCAATTTTGTAAGTATTGTACAATTATTTTATACTATAAAAATATGTTTTTTTTTTTTATAAGAAAATGATAGTAGTATAATTATCGACTACATAATCGATCTTAGGAATTAGTAATTGAGATAAACACCTAGATTTTTTTATTTTTTATTTTTAAAGTTGACCTGAGTCCTCGTTGCACTCTATATCTATGGGAAAAAAAATCGATTTTTATAACATCAATACCACAAAGGGCTATCCCAATGAATGAAAAGCTATTGTTCCATACAAGGCGGAGCCAAGTTTGCAAAGTAGAAAGGGCTAAAGATAAGAAAATTTGAAGATTAACATGATAAAAGTTATGAAATATTATATTTTTTTTTCATAGAAGTGAGATATGGTAAGGGTATACTATGTTTAATATGGTCTTACTTCCATGTCCAAGTAATTATATCATGAAATTGATAATTTTTACTAAAGATCCGATCCGAGAGAACCTAAAAACCTAATTTACCAAATTTAGATCTCAACTTAAAATCAGATATAAAAACATATTTGTTATCCACCATCAAAGTACCCATTAGAATTCATTTTCCAAAAAAAAATAAAAAATAAAAAATTATCCAATTGAATCCTTAACATCCATTTAACTATTAATTGATAAAAGTGCTTAGATTTTGAAATAAAACTGCCCATGTTCTAGGGAATATGGGTTTATGTCATAATTTGAATGAAAAGTTTGATATTTCCTCACTTTCTAGTAATTGTAAGTTTTTTGAATTGTGATTTCTAATTAACATAATTTATGCTCTTGCTTAAGGGGAAAAAAATCAAAGATAAACCTAGTTCGAAGAAGAAGGATAGAAGCAGCATATAAACATATGAACAATTTGGCTAATAGAAAGAGGAAGAATAATACTATAAATTGATTACATACATATGCACGGGACTTATATGAATAGTAATACTATTTTTATTTTTTATTTATTTTTAATTGGACCTGGGCTATAGCCCAGGTTAGCCCAGTAATAGTTCCTCCTTAGTTCCATAGCATGAATGTCATTAATTAGCATGTATTTGGGTTGAATCTCTTTCTTGATTGAGACTGGCCGAAAGTTGGACTAATAAAAAGAGAAAGAATAGTACTACGAATTGATTATCTATGCGCTGAACTTATATAAACAGTAGTATTATTTATTTATTTTAATTGGACATAGGCTATAGGTCAGGTTAGCCTAGGAATAATTCCTCCCTGGTTCCATAGCATGAATGTCATTAACTTGCATGTATTGGGTTGAATCTCTTTCTTGATTGAGACTAGGCCCAACTTTGAAATGCGAAACAGCTCGGAAATATAGCATGGTATACAACCGTACAATAAGGGACCAGTGGTACCGCCGGTAAATTCAGACAACATAACTGCATGAGGAATATATAACCCAGGCCCAAACAACGTGTACCGGCGGTTAAATTTTGAAATCGTACTCTTCTTTTCCTGAAACGTTTGCATCGGTTCACAAGTCACAACTCTTCACTATATATTAATGATTCCTCTCTTCATTCCTTAGAATGCACATGGGACTTGGCATATATATATAATATGAATAAACTGTCTGATAAATTGAAACTCATCTCCTATTCTTCTCATTCTTTGACAATGGCGTCACTCACATCTCGCTTGGAGCACTCTGTCACTCCAAATGCTCTCAGATCGTATCTTGCCGAGTTCATCTCCACTTTCCTTTTCGTTTTCGCCGCCGCCGGGTCCTCCATGTCTTCTCGTGAGTTCTTGGCACTCATTTGTTTTTAATGACATTCATTCACATGCATTATTTTTAACCAATGTCATTACATTTTACAAAAATATGCAAAAACAGTGTCATATGTGTATATATATATAGAACAATTTACTTATTTAAATTATGGGTTTAATTTAATATATCATGCTTATATGATCTTTTTTTATGGCAGTTAAAGATATATGCAGAGAGTTATTTATATACCCTGTCATTTATTTGAATTGGTTGTTTAAAAATGTGTTAAAAGTAGTCTAATTTTGAAATATTCTGATCAACATTAATATATGTGATCTGTTTTTGTTTATTGGAAGGTAACCCCTTTTAATTAAAAAAAGGGCGTGAGATGACAGTTTTTGTGTAATTTGGCTGTGATAACAGGGAAAATGACGCCGGATGCTGCATCAGATCCGTCTAGTCTGGTGGCAATTGCAGTTGCGACCGCCTTTGCATTGTCGGTGGCGGTGTACATTGCTGGCAATATTTCCGGTGGCCATGTTAATCCGGCCGTCACGTTCGGAATGGCGGTGGGAGGGCACATAAGCATTCCAATGACCATCTTTTACTGTATTTCACAGATGCTTGGTTCTGTTATGGCTTGCCTATTCCTAAAAGTGTTCACGGTTGGACAGGTACTAGAAGTGAACTTTTAAATGGTCCATTTAATATGTTGTGTGGTCACACATTGAGTTTAACCATATTTTTCTGGTATTGCAGCATTTTCCGACCCATGCAATTGCACATGAAATGACCGGGTTTGGAGCGTCTGTTTTAGAAGGGGTAATGACATTCGCTTTGGTGTACACCGTCTATGCAGCCGGGGACCCGAGGCGTGGTCCATTGGGAGCCATTGGGCCCCTAGCAATTGGATTGATAGCCGGAGCCAATGTGTTGGCTTCGGGGCCCTTTACTGGTGGGTCAATGAACCCGGCATACTCTTTCGGGTCTGCTGCTGTGAGTGGGAGCTTCAAGAATCAGGCAGTGTATTGGATCGGACCATTGATCGGCGGGGCGGTTGCCGGCATTCTTTACGATAACGTGCTGTTCCCTAGTCAAGGGCCTGAACCTTTTAGGGGCATTGCAGATGGAGTAGGAGGAGGAGTTGGAGTATAAATGGTAGAAAATAAGAAATGTTTTTTTTTTTTTAATTTCATTTGTTTTATAATTTGTACCTTGTAGGAGAAGACACAGTTGGTGTGTTTGACAATGGTAACTTAAAATATAATCTCAAATTTTTAGTATTTTGCATCTTTTCCCCTTATTTAAACTCTATATCAAAATTCAATTGTTGAATTATAATCCCATTAATATTTAGAACATTGCTGACTAAAGTCTTTTGTCAATGAGACACACTTAATTTATGTGATTAGAAAATATGATTTTTTATATTTAATGCCGTTATGATATTAGTTGAATGGAATCGATTTTCGAATTACTTATTACTATTTTTTATTTCGTTTATTATTTTTTTATTTTATTCTACCTCGGTCTAAAGAAACTCATTTAATTTGAATTTAATTAGTATTGAGAATTACTTGCTTAAAATTCAACAGATTTTTTAGACATATATCAATCCAATGCATTACAGCCCAAGGGATAGAGTGTTGGTATAGATCTGAGATAAATCTTTGACCCTCCTCGCCCACAACCGGACCAAAAGGGAAGGTCGTTTATGAATTGCACCCATGACTTGAATATTGTGGAGTCGATACATGCACTCAAAAAAAAAAAAAAAAAATTCATGCAGTTTGATATGTAGTCAATAATAACTCATGAAGAAGAAGAAGAAAAAAAAAAACTCATGCAGTTTGATATGTAGTCAATAATAAAAGATTTCAGTTGACCGCTTGTGTTTTAAGTTGAGGAATGGAATGGCTTTTAATTTATTTGATGATGTGGATGGAACGTAGTGTTGATTTTATTTTCTAAATGTGTTAGTAATTTTTTGTGGGTTAAAAAAAAGATAAAACTTAAAATAAAATTTCACCACCTAAATCCATAAAAAATAAAAATAAAAATAAAGGGTTAAAAAAAAGATAAAACTTAAAATAAAATTTCACCACCTAAATCCATAAAAAATAAAAATAAAAATAAAAAATTCACTAATTATATCTTTATCCATATCTATTCATCTCCTTTGCCATGGCAAAAAACTAAAAAATCTGTTCATCATTATTTATTTTAGAGAAATTATATTATTGATAATTTTAAATTTTTTTTTTAACGTAATAAAATATTATAAATAATAGGATAAAAGATCATTTTGAAATACATTTAACAGCTGTGGAGGCCACACTTGCCACTGCAAATCACCTATCCTTTGATCAAGAGCCCATTTACCCATCTCATGTGCCGCTTTGTTGCATAAACGTGGACACCAAACCAACTTAAACCCCAAATTTTAATGAATTAAACACTGAATATCTTAAATAATATGATTGAACATGAAAGATCTTTAGGAGTAAGGTTAACCACTTATTGACAATCACACTCAACGTCCACAATTTTAATACCAGACTTAAAATTGATAGAGATAAAAATATGATATATTGTTATAAAATTTCAACTTAAATAAACATCATTACTACTCTTTATTTATCTTCTCAATTTTCATAACTTATTTCCTTAGCTTTTCAGTTTTCCACAACTGAATCATTTTTTTTTTTTTTTTTTTTTGTGTTTTCACAGCAACTTTCATGATACTCAAATATAATATAATTTGGAATATATATATATATATAATTTGATTGGTACAACTTTAAAACAAAAATTGCAATATTTTTCAATTTTTCAATGCTTTATAATTTTTCTTTTATTTATTTATGGAGTTGCATAGATTATTATTAATTTTGATCATTATAATAATGAACAAAATGCCTATCTGTGGGAGATGCAATCTCAGATACATGCAATGTGACTGTATATGTGCATATACAATTGTGATTGAAACTTTAATTATTAACAAATATATATACTTAAGATGAAATTTAAAAAATTGAACTATAATTTTTTATATAGTTAATTATCTTATATTTTAAAATAAGTCATGTTATATTTGACATGTAGGTAATTACTTAAACTTAAGACAAGTAGTGGGTGTTTATTTGTCAGATTAAAAGCAGTACTCTTTATTTTATTGATTTCTATGTGGTTATTCGATTTAATTCATAAAAAGGGTAAAACGAATCAGGACCATCCACGTCAGATGGTCGGTGGTTTTAACAAGGGGGACCATCATGCAAGAAACAATGACATGGCAACATATGAGTGGACAGATACGACACTTGCCAAGAAAATAACTGTTTGCGTTGTACACGAAAATCCCCTTGCCCAAGAACTCTTATGGAAACAACAATTACTGCCTCTTTTCCCGATCTCTCGTCCCAGTAGTCTTTCGCCGGTCAGTCTCTTTCACACACCTTCGTCTCTGGAACTTTGAAAACCCTAACCCTCCAATTCACCAATCAATCGAATTCACATCCCACCAACACAATGATACCTTTCTCTTCACTCATCTCCGATCAGATTAGGTTCTTGCTCCAGAGCCTCAATGATTCCAACTCCGATTCTGTCTTTCGGGAGCTCTGCCAGGTTAACACTCTCAATTTTTTCTCTCTCTCTATGGTTTTCTCTCTTTCACACACACACTTAAATATATCACTAGCAGTTCTAACATGATCAGTCTTTGTCTGTACGTTGATTTGAGCTTGAACCCAGAGATAATTCAGGAGTTTTGAGTTGGAAATTTTAATCGTGATTAAATACTACTAAACTGATAGAGGCAATTTCTGTTGTGTTGAATTGAGTAATCGTTTTTAAGGACTGCAAGGAAATTCAGTTTTTGTTGCTTTTTATCTTTTTATTTATTTATTTATTTTTCCCCCTTTTTCTTCAAGCTAGGGTTCTTAAAAAGCACATGCATGCATGTACAAATGAATGGTTGTATTCACTTATCTGGAGAGGAAAGTGTAGATATTAATGTGGCTGCTTATCTATTCTAAAGGAGTACATGGTTAACATTTTTGTAGAAACTTAATTAGAATTATCCGTCATTTGAATAACCTTGCTTGAAGTACCCTTTGAACTCTTGGCTACTACGTAAATTCCTAATATCTACAATCACCTGCAAATCACAAATATCGTTGAAACCAAGACTCAAACTTGAGACCACAAGATATTAATGCTGATACCCTGCCATCCTTGCAAGGTTTTAAACATACTAGGTTGTTATTAGGATTTTATTTCCTTTTTAAGTAATTTTTTTTTTTTGTGTTAAAAATATAACTATAGGTTTGTATATTTGTGTAAGTATAAATAGCACATAAGTGTCATGCTAACTTTCTTCTTTAATCTGAATTATGGGTAGTAGTGGCTGATGGACACTATTTATTAGTGTTGCAATTGCTAAGATTAAGTCTTTAGTATGCAGAATGTAAGTGTAACTGTGTAAGAACGTCGATTCAATATTACAGACACACCTTAGAGTTTAAATATGCGACGAACATTGCTAGAATATATCTCATGTCCCTCAGATAATATAACTTTGTACCATCATTTTTTTATCTTCATACTAAAACCTAATTTGATCTAAAAACTATGATTGATTTTTCATTTGACAATCTATAAAATTAGAATTGAAGATGTCTCAACCTATTATTTTATATCCACCTTGGATCTCCATGTTGGCATGATAAGTGCTTTACTTATTGGCAATATCTGAAAGAATTGAAGATCTCACCTCTGCTTTTATCTCATTGTTCAAGGAACTTCTAAAAATGTCAGATACACTTTTTTTTCTGTGATGTGTAGAAGTTAATAGTACTGGAGAGGATAGTAATCATAGTTAATGGGTTTCCTCATGTTTCAGTAGAATTTACTGATGTATCTTCTTCCCAAGGATTCCAAAACCTGAATAGAGCTCGATTGAGAAAATAATGATTATTTTATTCAAGATCTCCCAATGAGTCAAGTACAATGTCGAATCTCCAATAGGCAGGACATGCTTGCCAGCCTACTTATCAATTTGTCTGGTCCAAGCTTCACCAATTTTGGACATAAAAGTTTTACTTGAAACTATATGTGGATTAACGCCAAGTTGATTAGAATATCATGATTTGATGTTGCCTTGCCTGCAATCTCTTCTTCTTAAATTATGTCAGGTTAGAGCGTATGGTAAAAAGGTATTAAATTATATATATTTTTTCCTTGTATCTTCAATGGGTGTCATCCAGTCATTTTCTCATATTACTCTACTACAGGATCGTTTAATGTTGGTTTTGTCTGTTAATCTATGAGTTCACATTTCTTTCGAGAACACCATTTAATTGCAAAATAAAAGGGTTTTACATAAAACTATCGTATTCCATTAAACATTATGTGTATTATGTTAACTACCATCTACTCTAAAAACAAAAGCTGTTAGAGAGGGTGTAACTTTAAATATTTCAATCCTTCAACACGCCCCATCACTTGTGGCCTTCTTTTGGTCCAACACACATTTTTCAATTTTCAATTAGGGTGATATTGAGGTTTGAACTCGAGACGTTTGGCTTTGATACCATTTTAAATGCCATTTACTCTAAAAGTTTAAGCTGTTAGAGAAGGTGTAACTTAAATATTTAAATCTTTCAACACATACGATTTGTTGGTTCTAAAATTTGTGTAGTTATATGAATTGTGTGACGACCTCTGTGGGTGGGTGTGAGACACTGAGCGAGCTACCACACTGGCAGGCTACATGGTGTCATGATCCCATATCGCCTGGGGAAGGTGAAGTGCTATATGTAAGGTTCAACACCCTTCTATTGTACAATGTGTTTTAATGCTGTGATGGCCATGAACCCATCATAACTCCAAAGTTAAGCGTGTTTCCTCTGGATTAGTACCATGATGGGTGACCTCCTAGGAAGTTTCTGATCCGGGGGAATTAAAAGCAGACAATATTATGTTTGGACAGGTTGAGGGTTGTTACAAATGGTATCAGAGCCGGAACCCAGCCGGAAGTGCAGCCAACGAGGATGTTGGGCCCCCACGGGGGTGATTGTGACGACCTCTGTAGGTGGGTGTGAGACACTAGACGAGTTAACACACTGGCAGGCTACAGGGGGTGATGATCCCACATCGCCTAGGGAAGGTGAAGTGCTATATGTAAGGTTCAACACCCTTCTATGAGATAGCGCGTTTTAAAGACGTGATGACCGTGGACCCATCAGAACTCCAAAGTTAAGCGTGCTTCCTTTGGAGTAGTACGGATGGGTGACCTCCTGGGAAGTCTCTGATCCGGGGGAGTCAAAAGCGGACAATATTGTGTCTGGATAGGGGTGAGGGTTGTTACAAATTATTTCGTCTTGGTTGAATGATGTTAAAAGAAATTTAAAGTCTGAAGCCTCGTAGGAAGTTAGAAATGCTTTTATTGAATAATAATAAACAATGTGCTTTTATGCTCTGTTTGATATGAAGTATAGAAAAGTGAATTGAGGGGGAAGTAGTAGGAGGGGCTAAAGGAGTGTAGTTGGGGAAAGAAACGGTCTTTTCATCACGTTAATTGCAGCAATAAAAAGGAATAGAGAGAGAGTGGAAGGGTATTGCATGATTTAATAATTATACCATTAAAACATCCACAAAGGACTTCCCTCTTCTTTTCTGCACAACTTTGTCAACGGCTGTTACAAGACGAAGAAATATTGAATTTGCGAATAACTAATTTTGAATTTATCTCGCTCTTGGGTATGGAGGCATAGCTCAATTACAAGCAAAACAAGAATTGGCTACCTATTGCATTCATCTGGGCTTTATATTACAGGTTTGGATGGCCAAGATTATGAGCTGGAAGCATGCATTGCAAGCCATTACTGTAAAAGTTCCTGGCTACTACACTTGTGAACTTGAAACCAAGACTTTGGACCCATTCAGTGACCAATTAATGATAGCTGGAAAAATCAAAGAAGCACAATTTCGATTTTAATTAATTATTTATTGAGCAGGATGCTGTGGAATTAAGGTCTTATATGTTTGATGTTTAGATATGAGGCTTTTTATGAGGTTACCGAAACCAATAGTTTGATACCGTCTTCCTAGTGTAATTTATTATTTGTTTATTGTCCCCGGAATGATGCAATGAACCAGTTCTAGTTTTTCGACCAGTGTGGTTTATTTTTGTAAATTGTATTGTTTTGTGGTCTATTTGATGCATTCCTACAGAATTCACTCATCTGTTATCATTATTATCAGTGCAGTTTGTTGAATATGAATTAGTTACTCTCTTACTCGTGTACTTTGATTTTCTTTTGGTCATCCCCAAATTTTTGCGAATTAATTATAATATTTCTATGGTGTGGTTGATAATGGTGAAGCGAATTACTTAATGGTCTACTCGACTCATCATTTGCTAATTATTTGGTGCAGTTTGTTGAATATGGATGCGAGGGTAGTATATTACTGCTCCAGACCTGCTTGGATCATATTAATTTTTACGAGGGGGACATGCGCAACATGCGAATGAAGCCTGAGTTAGTAGCTGGAATCTTTAGATATTTATTCGAAAGGCCAAATTTTAGTACTGTATTTTGTGAAGCATTACGAACGATGAAGATCACTGAACCATTTCTTGGAGATTTCTGTGATGCATTACACTTGACGGTGTCTGAGAAAATTGGCCTTGGTCTTGCTTTGGCAGATTCAGAGAATCTTGACATTAGAACGAGCGGTACGTTATATGGTTATAAGTCTTTGGAGGTATCCTTTCTCACTCGGAATTTCTTAGTTCCTTTATATTGGTGATTCTTTGTTGTTTCTCAGGTCAAAATTTCTGCATGGGCCTCATTGAGGAGCTTTCGAGAAATTCTGTCTTAATAGATTCTGCTGAGCAAATTCAAAATATTATTATGTTTTTGTACCGTTCAGAAGGCTTTTCTAGGCATGTTGACACATTTATGCCAATGCTATCTTTGATGGAGCCGAAGGAAGGGACTCCATTTATATTGGCTCCTTTGCTTTCAGATAGTTTACGAGAGCCCAGGTTCTCAACCTTTTCCCCCCTTGTTCTTTTCTGATGAACCATAAAACTGATTTTGTGCTTGCTATATTTCATAGTTTAATGTGTTAGTAGCCATCTTAATTGTCTTCATTTTTTATTTATTAACTCTTTGTTTTGTTGTAGAAATATGGATATCTTCTATAGTAGCAGTGAAAATGAATTTGATGCAATTCTAGCGGAGATGGAAAACAAAACAAGCATGGATGATATTATGAGGGAATTGGGTTATGGATGCACAATTGACGCTTCACTTTGCAAGGAGTTGTTCTCTCTTTTCTTGCCTCTTACTGAAGCCACAATTTCTAGAATACTTGGCACAATAGCCCGCACCCACACTGGTCTTGAAGACAATCAAAATTGTTACTCAACATTTTGCGCAGCTATTGGTAACAGTGCCACATCTGAGACATCATGCCCGAGCTCTTGGAATGTTGATATCCTTGTAGATTCAATTAAGCAACTTGTAAGTTTGATTTGGAATTTTATATTAGATTGTTTGTTTCCTTTTCACATCAATAATTTGACATATCAGTATTAGTTTTTTTAACAAGATAATTGTGTTTTGGAGATTAGGCTCCAGAAACTGACTGGATACTTGTTATGGAGAATCTGGACCACGAGGGCCTTTACTTTCCCAATGAGCAGGCATTTTCCTTTTTCATGTCCCTTTATGCTCGTGCATGTCAGGTACCTCACTAAAGCATCACTATGCAAATTTTAACATTCTTTACTTTCTCTGATGTGAATCCTCAATCAGTACAAATGAAATGTGCAGGATCCTTTTCCGTTGCATGCCATATGCAGGTCTGTCTGGAAGAATGTTGATGGCCAGTTGTCTTTTCTTAGATATGCTGTATCAGCTCCACCGGAAATATTTACATTTGCACATTCTGCTAGGAGATTGGTACAGGGAGCTGCTTATTCGTATCTATTTGTTTTTAAATTTTTCTGTCCTTTGTACTTTTCATCTAAATAGTTTAAATACTTTTTAGTTGCATATCCATGTCTATATTGTTATTTTCTGTACTTGTTTTCTATCCTTGCTGTCTAAATAGTGTAAATATTTGTTTTTCTGTAGGCATATGCTGATACACTGCATGGTCATGAGATTCCAGATGCACATGCTAATCATGCATGGTTATCTCTTGACCTTCTGGAGGTGTTATGCCTGCTAGCTGAAAGGGGCCACGCTGGATCTGTGAGACAGATTCTTGAGTTTCCTATTAAGAACTGTTCTGAAGTATTGTTGCTTGGGATTGCACAGATTAATGTATCTTCTACTCTACTTTATTTCTTATACTTTTTGTGTGGTCTTTTATGGCATATGATAAAATTGTGCGTCTCATCATTTCAGACTGCCTATAATCTCCTCCAAGTTGAAGTGTCTTCCACTGTTTTTCCAATGATAGCTGGTACGGGAAGTGTTTTGATTCATCAGCTTTGGCATTCTAATCCTAAGCTTGTATTGCGAGGAATTGTTGATATGGTTAAAATTGATGAAGGCAACATGGCTACAATTTTGGACATTTGCCAAGAGCTGAAGGTAAAAACTTTGTCGCAGTATTGATCCTCTTTCGCACAATAGCTTTCCGTTATTCTTGTTGGTTCAGTAGCTGTTTAAACTTTGTTTGTATTAATATCTGAGATTTACTCTCTTTTTTTTTGGTATGATGATCTGCATGACTAATATCATAGCTCTATAATTGTATTTTCTTCTCTGAGTATTGATCTTTGCTGCTTTCTATCTAAATTTTACAGCTCCGATTGTTCTGGACTTTCTGAATTATGCGTTCAGTATTCAGTCTGATCTATGACTGATGGGTCATTGTAACACAATGAGATAAAATAGTTTTATTGTTTGTGTTATTGAGTTTTATGGTTGCCTCTTGCATTTGGAAGATTAAGTATACGACATATTTACAGGGTCTATTACGATGGTCGGTTTTCCTGTTTTGTGTATATTTGACAAAAACAGAAAACCAACACCCCTGTTGTTAAAGGGCAACATGCAGCCATGCGGCCTGTGCCAATGCAAGCATCTGAAAACTAGACAAGAATAAAACTTTATAAATTTTTTTTGGGGTTTATAACTTTATCCATATTATACTGGTTGCAATTATTGAAGTAATTGGACGAGTCTAACATAGTCAAATTATCAGTATATTTTGTTCTTGATGATCTACATTTATTGCATATGTTGAACAATAAAGTTTTGATACTTGTGATTCATATTTCATGAGATGTTACTCTAGGAGTCCACGTATTTCTGAATCTCTGATTAACCGTGGTAGATAAATTATTGGGTACCTAGAAAGTCTTTGCTCAACCTCGGTGAAGGCTTTGATGAACCTTGAGAAATATTGGACTTGCCTAATCACCTCACTTGCTTCGTTATATTTCTAAATGACCTTAATTTTTGCCTTTTCCCATACAATATATAATTACTTACATTATGTAAAATTTTTGCTAGTGTAACTTTTTCCTAAAACTCATAAATTATGTTAATGAGAAAAAATGACAAGAGTAATGTACCTGAAGCTTGTGCAACAGATTGTCTGCAAAAAGATTAGCTTATCTATTTTCCCAAAAAGGAGGGTGATGTGTCTTACTTACCAAAAAATGTATCATACTTGTTACAAATGGGTATCTCGGAGGAAATATCTCTAAAATTGAGCGTGGCTGGAAGCAAACTCTGAGAAAAATCGTAGGAGTGAGGCAACTGACAACGGGAAAGAGTTAGAGATGAATACATTTGTGAGAAGTGGGAGGAGGCACAAGATGAGAGAGAGCTAGATGGCTTGGTCACATGTAATGAACACTACAATTTCTACGAGTGTTAAAAAGCGACAGCTTAGATTGAAGATGTTGCAGGAAGGCAGGCATAAAGGATGTGGTATGTGGTAGCAAGTAAATTGAAGGTCGCATTGGATATATAAGTGAAATTATGGCTCTAGCTAGAGCTGAATGGCAAAGTTGGTTCATTTGGCAGAACTCATTTTTGTAGGACAAGGTTTAGTTGAGTTGTGTGTGTACGCTTATTATATGTTTTGACATATGTGTCAGTGCATAAGGTTACGGGATTGACTGCAAACTGAGCCGAAAGTGTTTATTTTTTTTCCCTTGAAAGCCTCTGTCTAACCTTTATTTTGCTCTAGGAAGCTCCTTTAAATACATATGCATGAGATTCTAATGTAGGTCAGCCTTTAATGCAAAAGCATCACCGTATGATCTTTGGGGTTTATTAATCACCATTTACTCTAAAAGCTGAAGCTGTTAGAGATGGTGTATCTTTAATAACGCCCCTTCACATGTGATCTTCTTTTGGTTCAACACACTTTTCAATTTTAATTTATAGATAAGCTTGAAATCAAGACCTTTTGTCTTCATACTATGTTAATCACCATCTACTTTAAAATCTTAAACTGTTAGAGATGGTGTAAATTTAACGTTTGTATCCTCTAACAAGGTCAGTTGACAACCTTTGACCTAGCCTCCATGGGGGTTGTGGAAAAAGGAAAATCATTGTCAATCTGGAATGTGAAACTTGATGTCTAACACCATGAATAAGCAGGTGGTAATGCATGACAATATTGTTTTGAGTGCAGTCTGCAGGAAGAAAGGCAAAATTGTTTTAGAAAGTTGCACTGATGTTACAAGTACAAATTCTTGTATCTTAGTCTTTAATTGTGTCATATCTTAGTCTTTAATTGTGTCGTTTGCTGTCATTCATTAAGCTCTCATTCTAGTTGTGAATTGCACGAATAAAGTGATGAATGGAGGATTTCTACAGATATATATATATATATATATATAATATACACACACTTATCAAAAAAAAAAAAAATACAGATATATATATTATTTATTTCGGTAGGTGGGTTTTATATAGATTTCTAGGAAAAGTTTCAATTGATTCTCTATCTATATGCTGACGAAGTATGGTTGTGATTCTTCTGTTATCTTTTCTTTCTTGTGTTTTTTGTTCTTTCTATTTGATATCAAGTACAGTTTCAAAATTTCCTTCTTGTAGTCACTGTTCTCTAGTTCTTGTCTTTCTAACTTCTGTGGTCATTCTTTTGCCATATCGCAGATTCTGTCATCTTTGTTGGAGCAGATTCCATTTTATTTTAGCATTCGATTGGCTGCCCTTGCTACCCAGCAAGAACAGATAAATCTTGAGAAATGGCTGAATGATAATCTAAGAACTTACAAAGATGTCTTTTTCGAGGTTGGTTTTCTTAGTCTTTTTTGACCATTTGCTCATGATAACCATGACAATGATACAATGCTGCACGATTCTGCAACTTAAATTCAATAAATCACTTGGGGACACTCTGGTAGTATTCATTATAATATTATTGTCACTTTCCAGGCATGCCTCAAGTATTTAAAGGAGATAGTCTTTGCTGCACCAGGAGATTTCTCTACCAATTCTTTTCAACATTCTACTGCTGTTCCAAACTTACACGCTGAAATAAGTTTAACCTTTTTGAAGGTTCTATTTCTTTAGCTGAGCTGTATTATGAGCTATTTATATGCCAATAGTTCTTCAAACTTTGTGGCTTGTAACATACAGAGAATTTTCAGGCCCTTGAAGCTAATACCACAGAGATTACCTCAGAACAGCTCTCTGCGGAATTGAAATTGTTGCAGAAGGATTCCATGCATGTTGGTCCGAGACTGCAGAATGTTGGGGCTTGCAATTCATTAACAGCCAATGGTTATGAAGATGATATAGAGACCAAAGCTAACACTTACTTTCATCAAATATTTTCTGGTCAGCTTAATAACGATGAGATTATTCAAATGCTTGCTCGATTCAAAGAATCTTCTGAAGCAAGGTTGATTTTCAACTCAGTTATATAACACCTCATCATAATTAGTGCATAGAAAATTAATATTCTAATAGTTTTAGGTTTTTTAGTGCTTATCTAGTCACATGGCAGCTGTTTCCATTTGTTGAATATTTGTTTCTTAACACCACCTGACCCCTTAATAAAGAAATACCGAACAGAATAAGACTTTTTAAAATTATTTTTTTTTTGTTGTCTGTTGCATCTTAATTGTTGTAAAATTTCAGATTCTTTCTTTTCTGTCTTTTCTTTTGCTGTGTGGATTGCTTCAGAAGATTTCTCAAGCTGTGCCATTGATAGCTGTAGTATCTGCATTTATTACTGATCAGTGAAATTAAGAGTGACTGGTTCCCATTCATCGTTTCTGTTTTTCTCTCTGGAGAATTTCATTCTTACATAATCTTTAGAATTTGCATCTATACAAGTTCTCAAGTTCTGGTGACTGCCCATTGTTTTGAATGAAGTTACAAAGCAACGTATTTTATTTTTCCTTTTCTTAGTTTTGTTTTGCACTTTCTTTCTCTGTAATAAAATTTGTCATTCTCTACTCAATTTAGGTCTTTGTCTAAACCCCGTGTAATGTAGCAGCATCAGAAATTTATCTAATTAAATTCAATTTGCAAGTAAAGGGATGCTGTTGAGTTCATTATGTTACTTCTGCAGTTAATCAATTACATGTATTCTTATTGTTTGATCTTTGACTTGAGTAATGGTGCTTCTATTGTTGCTTATAAATTTACAGGGAACAATTGATCTTTGATTGCATGATACAAAATCTATTTGAGGAGTACCGGTTCTTCCCTAGGTATCCAGACAAGCAGCTTAAAATCGCAGCAATTCTTATCGGTATGGTTCATTACGCAGTTTCTGAGAATTATCTACTCTCTTTTTTTCTCTGACACAGCCTGTTGTGACAGCTGAATGTGCTCAGTCTATGCAATTTGGGATTGAGATCTACCTAGTGAATGAGATGTGGTGACTGCTACTTTATTTAAATTATGGAGTCCATAGAATATTTAACAGTTATAAGAGTGGCTTTATGAGTAAAGTGTTACAAGGGAAGAGAGGGGAAATGAAAGGAGGACGTACAAGGGGAGGGTGGGATAGATTTCCTATGGTTTGGTAGGAGGGAAAGAGGAAGGAAAAAGAAGACGGACACCATATTATTTCCTCCCGAAAGTGCGAGGAAATTAGTTTGGATAGGGTTCTGCCTCTACTTTTTAACTGTTTTTATCCTTCACCTAATATTCATATATTCGAGCCTCCGTGGAGGCATGTGTGTGTGAGTACCCAAACATGCCTCCACGGAGGCTCGAACCCCTGACCTCTCTTTGAGAAGTAGGGGCTTGGTACCGCTAGGCCACTGGCCTTTTGGTAATATTCATATATTCTTTTTCTTTCTTTCTTTTTTTTTCTTTTTTTTTTTTTTTTTTTTTTTTTTTTTTTCTTGCTCTACCAAACTGGAGGAGAGGCCCCTTCTTTTTACCTATGGGTATGACTACCATATCTCTTTTTTCCATTTTTCTCCCTCTCCTACCAAACGGGGCATGATTTTCCAATATTATAGAGTGGACTATTGGAGCCTTCAGGCCATGATTCCTAATTATTATTGGATTCATGAACAGAAAAATAGGTAAGCTAAATGATTAATAGACTAATAGTACGAAGATCAAGTGAGTGAGAAACGTTGCTTCATAATTTTCAATGAAGTTCCTCATGGAAATTGTAAGATTCAGTTTTGCTTATAGTGCACTGGACAATTGTTTTACTTGCAGTGCAATTTATACTTCGCCTTTGGAAAAATTAACTTCATCTTTATTTTACCAATTCAGTTTATCTAATGTAAATGCAAGTGTGTGCAGAAAAAAAGGAAAAAAAAGAAAGTAGGGCTGCAAATATGAATGTGTTCAAGATCCGCTTGGATTAAAGCTGAGATACTGTAGCTTGCCACAGAATTAAACCGAACAACTCAAGCTTGGGTCGTTAAGCTGGCTTTTACATAAGAAACAGGGAAGCTATTTGTCCTCTACACACGTGTTCAGAAAAGGAACACCTTTGTAGTTTGTACTTCTAATGACACAATCAATGATACGATGAACAAAAGGCAGCCTTATCAAAACATGGTTGCATAATACTTATATTAGGCATCATATTGATAAATTGTAAGAGAAAGGTCTATGCCATTTCTCATATTTATATGTAATGCCATGGTCCCCTTTTTGGGTCTGGTTTGTACACACACACACACATGGAGACACGAGCCGAATCGAGGTTGGGCACATTTGAGTTCTGCCACTGTTCAAGTGAACCTCAATAAAATAAGGCTTCTGCTCAACTGCTTGGTTGCTTTTTTAAAAAAGCGAGTCTGAACATTGCCTAGCTATTTATGACCCGATTGGTTTCATTTGCAGCCTTAGGAAGTCAGGTCATTTTAGTTGGTTTGATTTCAAATAATGAATTGGGAGAAACTAAAATCAGGCATCAGCTTGTATAGAAAACTTTGGGTGGTGAGCAAATATCTAAAAATGTGGGTCACAAAGTTAAAAATCCTTGTTAAACTTATTTAATTATAAATAAAATAATCCCTATTGGTTGGCAATCTTGATCCCTCTTCATTGTATTAGCTTTATTATTATTTTTAATGTGTATTATCCAGTAATTCTTAATTATTTTTCAGGTTCCCTTATAAAGCATCAGCTTGTAACTCATATTACACTTGGTATTGCTATACGCAGTGTGTTGGATGCCCTGCGTAAACCTACAGACTCAAAAGTTAGTCACACTTCTCATATTTGGCTTTCATCTTTTGTTATTTTTTCTTATCTTTTACTGATAATGGTCTCCACGTTAGATATTTGCTTTTGGGACATTGGCTTTGGAGCAGTTCCTAGATCGCCTGGCAGAGTGGCCACAGTATTGCAATCATATTCTGCAAATTTCTCATCTGCGTGGTGCTCATCCTGGCCTTGTTGCATTTATTGAGCATACACTTACTAGAATATCATCAGGTCGCTTGGAATCAAATGGAGGTTCGGATCCCCATAGTAGTTCTGCTTCTGCTACCTTAGAGAGTGTGGAGGTACTAAATGACTTCTTTTTATTTTTTTATTTTTTTATCCATGCCATGGATTTAAGTCTGCTTAAACATCACTTAGTTGACTAATCTTCTTGTATCACGATGATCCATGCATGGATTTAGTTCTTTTATATACATCCAATTGGTTGACAAATTTTCTGTATGCCTTACTGTCCCCTTGGTGAAATTAATTATGTAATTCCAAGGTCAAGAACTCAGACTTGGGTGTACTGTGCATTAAACGTTAACCCTTCTTTCTTTCTTTCTTTCTTTCTTTCTTTTTGTTTCCTTTTGTTAGTATTACTTGTAGTCCATTGGTTTGGCGGTTACAGTTCTTATGAATACACTGCTTGTGATGGAGTTGCATTGGAAGCTGGGAATGCTTCATAAACCCTGATTTTCTGTCTGATAGACTTGCTGCATGCACTTCTCCATATGCTCTCACTCTTAACTAAGTATTAGTTTTTATTTATGAATGTACTAAATTTAGTAATAATAGCAACGGGCAGTCAGCAGCCACTAACATATGTGCACATGCAGGTCAGGGTGTGTGATTTTTCTTAAAAGATTGCACTTAGTGATAGGATACTTTTAAGTATTTACAATATTTTATGATCTTTGAAACACCGGTTTAAATTACATTATTTCATTGACTATGCTATCTGGTACAATTTGTTATTGATTCCCCTTTCTTTGGGTTTAGGTTTTCATGTGAATATTTGGAATTGCACAGAGTATTTGATTCAAAGATATTGCCTTTTTATTTTTTCTCTTATGTTTGAGTTGATTTAGTTAATCAATTAAAGTGCTTCCTAATAAATCAGATTTGTCTGCTGATTGTTTTAAGTGCCTGATCCCCTGTGGCAGTTATTTGGATCTAGGACCGCACAACCTGCGCTGCAACTTTCTTCTCCACTCCAGATGCAACAGAAACATCAAGGTTTTCTTGGTGACAGGCATAAAGCATCTGCAACTTCAGTTAGTTATTCTAAACCACTTTTACATTTTTCTGGGAATTCTTTAAACGTTTCCTCAAGTGATGTATCTAATAATCAGAAGATAATTATTCATCATATTCAATTTATTCGCTCCTTTGGTTTCTATATTCTTTATTTCATTCATCCTAAAACTTCTTTGCCTTCCATCTGCTGTAGTCGAGTGTCTCTCTGTCCCCACAACCAGTATCATCACAGAGTTCAACCGGTGTTCCAGCAACCATATCTTCTTCTGCTGGTTTTCTCCATTCTTCCAGGGCAGCTACATCAACTAGTAAGTTAGTTTACTTTTTCAGTGCCTGTCATTCTGGAATATTAACCTCTTCTCTTTTCAGTGCCTGATTTTTTCTAAACATGCTATCTCTGTAGGTGTGCCTAGACAACATTCATATACTACAGGGTTTGGTTCTGCTTTGAACATTGAAACACTTGTTGCCGCAGCAGAGAGAAGGGATACTTCCATAGAGGTATCTTATTGTTTATTTCTAAACTCGTATTACTTATGTTTACTGCATAACTCCATCATTACGTTATTCAAACTTGATCTGTCAAATATGTCAGCCTGAAGCTCCTTAGAGGGGATGCTCTATCTAGTTGGAGAAACACTTGTTTGTGCAGTAAAAGGACTTCTTTTTATGGTAATTTGAGAAGCAATGTTTAAAATTCTAAATGATTTAATCCAGAGAAGTGATTGGGTTGCCGCTTGGTGAGTCAATGCAGGTCAGCCGGTGGACAATGACATCATAATGGCTTCATAAATATGTTTTTGTTTAATATTAATTAAGAGAAACTAGATGATAGTCAATTCAGGGTAATAGTTTATTCACACATAAGCAAATTTGAACTTTAACATATTAAAGCTGAAAACAAGAGATGCACAGATGATTATTGTGTCACTCTGCATGTATCAATGGAAAATATTATACCCAGGTGGGGAAAAGAAAAAAGGAAAATTTTGGTTGATTCACTTGCAATACTGGAGTTGTAGATCTTTGAAATTTGGGAATTTCTATTTGGTGACAATGTAACCTTAGTTTGAAGGGGTTCCATTAGATTTCTTGTTTTAACGACTTTTTTCCCCTCCCTTTTTCTTTGCAACTTCATTTTAAACATAGGACCTAGAAGCCTGAGAAGACATATTTTGACTTAATTACCTGAATTATTCTTTTTTGATGTAGGATTAACTAGAGAAAAAGAAGTCCATGGTAATTGCATGTCATTAGTTGTGCTTTAGAATTATGTCCAACATCAGTTTTTTGTGCAGGGGAATTTTAGTAATTTTATATTACTATTTTAATTTTTTGCTATGAGTCTTGTTAATTCTTACTATGGTATAGGAAAATAGAGAGTTAAGTATGGAAGGATGAGGGTTCTTCCAGCGTAAGAAGGCAAAAAAATATTACAACCAAGAGGATCCACTCAAACCCTACAATCCCAAGCCTTATGACTTGACTGCGAAAAGAACACCACAGGAGCTCGTTATTTAGTACCTCCACACTCTCTAAAGAACACCACAGAAGCTTACTTATCAAAAAAGTACACCACAGAAGCTCACAATCAATATGGTCAGTTCTGACTCAATGAACCTAACAGAAGCTCTTGGCAGTGAGCAAAAGTGCCCCCTAGCTGTTGGCAAAATGGTTTGTTTCATTGTTTGCCATGAAGCACCTTAAAACGTGGATCTAGAAATCCATCTAATCTGACTCTAGGGATGTAAATGGATCCAAGTTCTATGATTTATTGAGCCCAATACTGCTTATAGCCCAAGGACAGAGATCTCACCCATCACAACCTAAGGGTCATCTCTCTCCTTTTCTATATTTATCTACTAATTTGTTATGATTCAGAGTCTAAATCAATCAATGATGAAGGCCTACAGACACTCCCTGAGGCCATCCAGGAGGACAAAAAGTTTTGCTTTTGTAGCAAAGCGGGTGCCTGCTAGTCTCAAGGAAAGAAGTAATGCTATGCTCCCTGAATATTGCTTCTTGTAGCTTCTTTAAAATTATCTAAGTACCATCAAAATTGAATTTAAATCTTCCCACAGGTTGAAGATTACAGCAACTCTGGGAACAACTGTTCAAGTATGGGAGCAAGTTACGGCCATCAAATCCCTGATGATACTCGAAGGCATTCCCCTAAAGGCCTAAGCTTTTTCTTAATGGAATCCCACATGGAAGATAGAAAGAGAACCTTGCTCCAAGTACTGGCTGTATAATGTGCCCCCTAGAAAATCCTTAAAACTCTTTAGCTACCGGAATCTAGGGAAATATCAAATTTTTATTTATTTATTATTATTATTTTCATGCAACTGCCAATTCTAAGTACTTCTAGAAAATTCAAGCATCCCTAACACTGTTCCCAGCACATCCCCTTTAACCAAATTGTTAAAGTCAGTGAATAATATTTTCATATGAACATAAATGTTCTGGTGCCACTCGAGAAATATCTCTGAAGAGGGAGTGTTTACCACATACATAGGTGGTCCTCAGTCTTTGCCTCACAAATAGGGAATTATTGATTCTTCTTCTTTTTTGATTGTTGTCATTTATTTGTATCATATTTCTGTGTCCATGTTCCCCTCTTAGAGGAGAGACTCTTTTTCCCTTTGTTCAATAAGTTTTGAATGTTAGAATGAGGTGACCTTGTTTTTTGATAACTGTGGCATGTTTTTTTCCCCCTTTTATTTGCCGTGCTAGATGCCTTTTATTTGTGTCATGTCTCTAATGTTTCCTGTTTATGTTGTGGATTTAGGCTCCTGCATCAGATATTCAGGACAAGATACTATTTATGATAAATAATATTTCGTCATCAAACATTGAAGCCAAAGCAAAGGAATTCATTGAGATTATAAGTGAACAGTATTATCCTTGGTTTGCGCAATACATGGTGATGAAAAGGTTGGATACTTGATCAGAAATTTTATTTGACTTATAGATCAAATTCTAGTAAATTTAGTTCATGTTAAACTTGTTCACTTTCATTTTAACTAATTGATGATTTGCTTTTTTGTTTTTTGGTTTCCAAAACTAACTTCTGTTCAGAGCAAGCATCGAGCCTAACTTCCATGACTTGTACTTGAAGTTCTTGGACAAAGCCAATTCGAAAACATTGAATAAGGAGATTGTCAAAGCTGCTTATGAGAATTGCAAGGTTTATTTTATTTTATTATTATTAGTATTATCATTACTATTATGTTACAACTTTTTCATCCCTAGTGGAATTGTCATGAGTGAGAATGATTATAATGATATCTCTTTATACATTCAATCTTACTTGTCAAAATAGAAAAAAAGAGAGTGATTATAATGATATCATCGTTTTAGGTTCTCTTAAGATCAGAGTTAATAAAATCAAGTTCAGAAGAGCGTTCCTTGCTGAAAAATCTGGGTAGCTGGCTTGGGAAGTTGACAATAGGAAAAAATCAAGTGCTCAGGGCCCGAGAAATAGATCCCAAATCATTGATAATGGAGGTAAACTTGTTCTATTCTAGTTTTACTGTTTTATTTTTTGCTTATTCAATTTTTAAGCGTCTTTTTATAATATTCTTTTATTTATAAAAAAAAAAAGATGCCCTTTTAGTTATGATTTTGACCTGTTAATGGTGGTTATATTTTTTGTTTCAATGATTTTCTTAGAGGAGATGATCTTTGTTCTCCAACCACTATAGTGTTCTACTTGCTTTTTTGGAAAAAGAAAATGAAGCAATTGTCATTTTAGCGTATACTTACCGTTCACAATTATCCCAAAAAGCACTCTTACACTCCACGTTTGAGGGTTACCTGTGCAATTTCTTTTATAAAAAATCAAATGGAGTGCGAGAGTTGGAATATCACATTGCTCTTCTCATGTTTCTTGATTTGTATGTTGGGTCAGGCATATGAAAAGGGACTGATGATTGCAGTGATTCCATTTACCTCAAAGGTACAATTCTTTTAGTAATTCGATCTCTTGGGTCTCAGCATTTTTTATGATATCTAAACATCCGATTCTTGCTACAGATTTTGGAACCATGCCAAAGTAGTCTTGCCTATCGGCCTCCTAATCCTTGGACCATGGCAATTCTTGGTTTACTTGCTGAGATTTATGCATTACCAAATCTGAAAATGAATCTTAAGTTTGACATTGAGGTACATAAACTTTTAATTTAGTTTTTTCTAGATTTGGTAGAATAAAAGTAGGTTTCTGTATCTCATCTATGTGCCTTCATTTTGTGCGTTTAGGTCCTTTTTAAGAACCTTGGTGTGGATATGAAGGAAGTAAAACCAACTTCTCTGCTCAAAGATCGAGTTCGAGAAGTAGAAGGAAACCCAGATTTTTCTAACAAAGATGTTGGGGCATCCCAGCTGCAAATGGTCACTGATTTTAACTCGGGAATCATTTCTACATTGAATCAAGTTGAATTACAGCCTGAAATCGTCAATTCTTCTCATCCTGGTGGCCATATGAACATATTGTCTCAGGTTTGTAATGGTCCGTTTTTCCATCTTTGTTTATAATCAATGTTTTCTATTTTGGAGTGTTGAATCAACTTGTGGCTTCAGTATGCTGGTAATCTTCAACTTGCGTCCGGCTCTTTAATGGATGACGATGAAAAGATGGCAACTTTAAGTCTACCTGAACGGCTTCCTTCTGGGCAAGGGCTTTCACAAGTTGTTCCATCACAGTCACCATATTCTGTTGGTCAGGTGTGGATGCCTTCATACTTACTTTGTCGGATTAATTTGATATCTACTATGTTCCGCTAAAAAACTACTTCTGGTGGCAGCTCTCCTCACCAATCCACGATATTGGAAGTCATATAGTTTTCAACCAAAAACTTAGTGCGCTGGGTTTGCAGTTCTTTCAGAGGTTTGCAATTTTTGTTGTTGTTCTCTTTATTTGTCTAAGTTAAACTACCAATATTTACACAATCAATCTTGACCCTATTGTTACAACAGAATTGTTCCCCTTGCCATGGAGAGGGCTGTAAAAGAGGTAATGTCTCCTATTGTTCAGCGCAGTGTTACAATTGCAATTCAGACAACAAAAGAACTTGTTTTAAAGGTTAGTAATTCCATATTTATTTATTCATAGCGGTCAATATTTTTCACCACAAATCTGTAAATTTTATCATTTCATGTGACATACATCATAGGACTATGCCATGGAGTCTGATGAGTCCCGCATATATAGTGCTGCACACTTGATGATAGCAAGTCTGGCAGGAAGTCTGGCCCATGTGACATGCAAGGTTCTTTTATCTGCCTTCCTAATTTTTGTCATTTGTTTAATTATTTTTCTTTTTATCTTGGCAAGAAACACACTCACACACCCACATGCCCCTACGGGGACTTGAATTCTCGACCTTCTACTTTGGAAGGTGAGGAAGTACCACTAGGCTACAGCTTTTGGTCATTTATTTTAATTAATTTTCAGTTGTAGGTGTTTCTTTTTAACTCTTGAAATAAGTTGCTTTAAACTAGCTAATACATCTTCCCCCTCTACTTTGGACCACCTCCTTTTCTATTATTACTGCCAGGAACCGCTTCGCGTCTCCATATCGAATCAACTTAGGAACTCATTGCAGGGCTTCAATATCACCAGTGAACTTCAAGAACAAGCTGTTGCTATTGTTCTGAATGATAACCTTGACCTAGGTTGTGCCGTGATTGAGCATGCTGCAACAGACAAGGTATGTTTCATTGCTTCAGTCCGTATGTAATATTTCTTCTTCTGTCTTTACATGTACAAACTAGTATAATACTATTGCTGTTTTTATACTTCTAATATCATTGAATCGTATAAACCTCTAAATGATATACACTCTTTATATATCTTAATGATGTGAATTACCAGGGAGTAAGCTTACATTGAGGCTCGATATTAAGCCCCTATCTTTTTCGTGTTACTTGTTAATGAAATTTTGGTTTCTTTTTTTTTTTTTTTTTTTTTGAAATCCCATTGAAAATGTTAAAGAGATGACAGCTTTGGTTATCAAGACTGCTAGAGTAAATTTTATGAAAAAACTTCAGGCGATAAGTTTTGGAGTCTGAAGTGTTAGGATATGCAAGACCAAGTTAGGAAGATAAAGGATGGATAGTTTGGGCAGTCTATGTCTTGAAAAGTACCGCAGTGTAACTTTTCCTATGATCTTGGATTGATCATCCACATGGGGGTTAGAATGAAGAGGATTTGCCCATTATTAGAGTAGGAGGATGAGTAGATGTCATATTATTTCTAACGAACTATAAAGTGAATGTTATGGAACGATGGTAAGTTACATGCTTTATATCAGATGATGTTTTATTAAACAAGCGCATTCAAATACTGATGATCCGATGGACAAATGGCAATTGAAGAGAATACATTGAGCAGGAATAAGTGCTTTTGTGAGAACTTAGCATTGCATTAATGGAGGATGGGACTAAAACTAAATGTGTTAGATAGGTTGGGCTATGAAGAAACTCGTCTTGGCAAATAGTGTGCAATTTTGTTGTAGACTTCCAAGAGGGCCCAACATGCCACTTTTTGATTTCTGTTTATATGTTGTCATCCTTTGTTTCTTTCCGGAGACTATTTTTCCTCTTATCTCTTCTATTTTCTTTACAACTCTATTGTTCGTACAAAATTTGTCGCAAACAATAGGAAAGATCAAATAGTGTGTACTTTGCTATGAGAAATAACAATGATTGACCTTTAAATTAAAAGAAAGATATTCCACAGATAGAACTGAATTGTGGGAAAAGGATTTATCTAGTGGATAATCTGTTGTTGGGGTGAATTGTGAAGGCTTTGTTGAGTTTAGTTAAGTTTCATGAATACAAATGATTTAATTTACCTTATCTATTTCCTGCCCTCATTTTAAAGAAAATTTTAAGTCTGATTGTACGTAAGTTTGAACTATAATTAGATTTTTGTTTATTTCTCATGACACATTGCGTTTCCTTTGGATCAAAGCTTTTTCATTCCCCCTTGATTCGTTGGTTCATTTCTTCCCATTGACTTTTTCATTTAATTGCATTTAATAGCATGATATTCCTAATAAGAGACTTCTTTTCTATAAAATTTTTAGATTAGAAATATCAACTTATTTTTCTTTGGATCTGATGTTGATTATCTTTTAGTATAATCTCTATTCAGTTCAAAAGCTGTTTGCTTGGATTTCTGTTTTTACATTAATTTGTTTAGGGTGTTGCTTTAAGTAGACAAAACACTATAAAGTATTGTCTTACTACCTCTACGCATATTTAGGTTCGTTAATATAAAAAAGAGAGAAATCTTCAGTTGAGGCCATACATTTCATCTGTGGTGCATTTATTGATCTTTATGCATAAAAGTACTGTAAGCATTGTTCTTTATTTTTTGTCCTAGTTGATGCTACTTTTAGCTTCTTAAATGTGTTCATTTATGATTTTATCCTCCTTGTCATGTGTCCATCTTAACATCCAATTTCAATTATATACATGTTTTGTTTTGATATTATGAATCCTTTTCATTCTCTCTCTTCAAAATATCCTATGAGTCTGTCCTCTTTGTATAGCCACATTTATTATAACAATATAACTTTCTTTATTAAAAGAGGGTTTAGGAGAGAGATTACGTGAGATCTTCTAAAATTGCAATGGAAAACCACATCTGACGTTATAAGTATTGCGTTTGTTAGAGAGAGGCTGTTGACCATAATTTTGCATTAACCTTTGGAAGTGGATGCATGTAGTTTCTCTCTTCTTTCTTTTTGGGGTTCAGTGGTGTTTCTGGAATTGAGGGACACTAATGTTGGTCTGGAAGGTGCTGGGTTATGAGTGCCTGCTCCGTGGAATATGACTCCTCTAGGCCTTTGTTTTGGTGATTTGGAGGAAGAGGAATAGGAGGTTGTTTAAGTGTAGAATTGATGGGATGTAGCTTGAAACATATGATTTTGAGCTCCTTATTTCCTTGCATTCCTTCTCCTTGGGCGGCCCGGGATAGAGCATGGGGGTGAGATTGCTGATAGATGTCAAAATTTTTCTTGAGTTTTTAAGCAAAAGATGAATATCACCTTAGAGATGTTTGGCTTTTGTTTTCTCGAGTTCCAATCTCCCCCCCCCCCCCCCCCCCCCCCCCCCCCAATACTTGACGTGTATTTTGGTTATATCTTTCTTTAATTGATATTTTATAATTGTCAGTAAAAGAAAGCCTAAAATCAAAACTTTTGTTTCTCTTAGTTGACTAGATGGGGATGAAAAATTCAATATGTTTTTGTTTGATGGCATGAATTACCATCTTGTTGAGTTATCTAGATTGCATGTCCAATCTGGTGGTGTAGTTTTATTCATGAGTTGTAACTGCTATCTGGATCTGAATGTGGTTTCGATTTATACATTTTTAGTCTATTTCTGGTTTTAATTAATTACATTCGGGAAGAGTTCATTGCTTCAAATGATGCTAGAAGACACCCCTTCCACCCCCAATGCACTTTTATATTTATATTTTGCCTTTCTCCCATCAAAAAATATTATTTTTTTCTATCTAAACAAGCATATTATCTTCAATTCTTACACTAATAAAAAAAAAAAAAAAAAAAATTATCTTCAATTCTTACAATTAAATCAAAGTCACGAATATATATAGATAGATAGATAGATATTGCTCTTCTATTGTTAAAGGTTTTCAAATGAAACTGTATTTATAAAATCCAATTGGTACCATTTCCTTTTTGGCATTCACCAATGGGATTACAGAAGCATACTTTAGGAGTTTGAAGAGTTTGACGCGGAGTTGGTTACTTCCTGTCTTTTTCATACCAGGATTTGAGCTTGCTAGTTGATCCAGCTACTCTGAGGTGTTTAATTATGGTTTTCATTTACTTCTCCTTTTCACACATTCTTGTTCTGAGTTATTATGCATTTATGGTTTATTTTTGTACATGATAAGTGTGATGGCTGTTTTTTTTTTCTTCCCCCTAGTTGATACTCACACACCCACCCCCAAGGAATTGTTTGCACCCAAGAGGAGTCGAACCTTAGACCTGATGCTTCATGAGGCACCGGGGTCAAGTGACTTACCCACTTGGGCCAACCTCCTCGGGGTAGTGTTATTGCTGTTTTAGGGGTTATGATTAGGGGTTTGTGGGGAAGAGTAATTATTTTCATTTGTTATCAGTGAATTTTTTTAATCTTTTGGGGGATATGCTACTGTGGCAAAGAATGCTAAATGACACCCTCAGATCATCTCATGTAGGAAGACTGAGGTGTGGAAGACCTGGTTATGTTAGACATGCTATTCATAGCATGGTTTGAATCTCTCTCCCTCTCTCTGTGTAATTTTTAAAAATGCTTTTTTACATTTTCTTGACTCATTTTATTTTGTTCTTTTGGGTTGTTCAAGAGGCACTTCACGCCTTTCTCTCTGACATGTGAAGTTTAATATTTTAACATATTAATTTATAATGTAGTTGGAGGATTTCGCTGTTTTGTTTTGTAAGTTCTCAACTCTGCCATGTTTTTCTGCTCTTGATGCACGTAACTTGGGGAGGTTCTAGAAAATGGTTGTACGTACTTGATGAAAAATTTAAATCGGATATGTGAGATTTCATTGATGGTCATATATAGGTTGACCCTGTAGGAGTTATTATGATTTTTGTACAAAGAAAATGCTTGACGCTGATAGCCTGATATATTATTGATTGTATAGCATCTCTAGCTCAGACTTTGTTTAAAGAACATTGGTTATTAAGACTGGCAAATGCAGATGATCCGAAAGTCTAATCAATTAATTTAGAAACATTGTGCTGCACATTTTTACATGTTATAGATAGTGAATGCTGATATTAACCAGAAAATTATGTGCTTATGCTTATGTCTTGCTTATATATAAATAGTTGTGCTAAAAAAGGTATTTTTTATTTTCAAGATTGGTCCCACATGTGAAGATAAATTATTTTTTACTTAATTAGTACAGAGATTTTATTTTGATGTGCATGGTGCATTCTTATGCTATTCCAGGCGTTAAAAACGATTGATAATGAAATAGCTCAACAACTCTCTTTAAGAAGGAAGCATAGAGAGGGTGTTGGTCCATCATATTATGATGCAATTATGTATACACAAGGTCATATGGGTGTAATACCGGAAGCCCTCCGCCCCAGACCTGGTCACCTGTCCCACTCTCAACAACGAGTTTATGAGGTACCATTTCTGACCTTATACATAAGAAGTTCTTGGTTCTGATTAAGATTGTAGGATGATTTTGAACATTTGCCTAATTGTGTATTTGTTGCTTAGGATTTTGTTCGATTTCCCTGGCAAAATCAATCTGGGAACACAAATGCGGTGCCTTCTGGTCTGCCGGCTTCATCTAGTGGTTCTGTTGGTTCTGGTGTGTCTCATGCTTTTGTTTCAACTACAGTACAGCTTAACCCAGGCCTCTACTCATCTGGGCCTGGGGCTACAGGCTCAGGTGCAGTTGCTCAGCCCGTAGATTTTATTTCTGAGGAGATGGACCCTAGTTCTGACCAGCTTTTAAGGTGGTTCTTTTTATCCTTGTACTATTTTGTTTTAGTTTTCTTGTTTAAGTTTTTTAGACCTTCAATTTCTTATTGATTTCTGATTCTTGTTACAGTGGTTCATCAACTCGCATGGGAGCAATTGATAGTGTTATTCCACATGGTTCCAATATTAACAATGTCGTTTCATTTTCTTCAGCAGCAGCTATACCTGAACTGCGTTCGGTAGAGGCCTCTAATACTGTAATAGTCAGATACAGTTTTATTTTTCTATTTTAGTATATTTGAGTTTACATACATTGACATGCCTGTGTGCTGAAATTGGTGGTGTCTGGTTACGCTGATTTGTTTGTACTGACATACATACATTATTTGCTGTAAGGAATTGGGAGCTACAACCCTGCCATTGCCTGCTAGCTCTACCACAGAGCACCTGGGAAGTGACATCTCCGAACCCTTGTTGACCACAGGAGATGCTTTGGAGAAGTTCCAAATTATTGCACTGGAGGTAAACAAAGTGCTCATTTATCTTGCTTCTTGTATCTATAATATGCATCAAAGTATTGCAGTACATGGCTAATGTTCCCTTTTAGACAGATTGAAACGATTTGTTTAGATAATGAGAAAAATCTAGGATTGTGCTTGTTTCTTGCCCTTTGTTCTTTATTCTTTATTTGTGTTTCAAGACATGCTTCCTTTTCTACCCTTGCATATACTTTTGTACCCAGTTTTGACATTGATGCGTAACTTCTTTTTTTTTTTTTTTTCCTTCCCTAAGCCAAATTTTATTAACAAACAAACAGAAACACAACAGCAGGAGAACCAAAAACGTTCTCAAACAAAACCAGCAAAGGCTTACTAAAAGCCCATTTCCTGAAGCTTGCTAACAAGAACATCAAACCAAAATAACCATCAAAGGGAAACACCACAAAGAAACCAAAACAAAAGGGAAGACAAAACCACTCACAAAACCTACTAATAATCAGGCCACTATCAGAAGGCCCCCGCACCAGGTCCTGAAGTTGCAGACCCAAAGTATCCACACTATTCCATAAAATCTGTCTTGCAGTTTGATATGGATTAACACCAGCACTTGAAGTTGTGTGTAACGTTTTAAAGCATTTATGCTGCATTTGGGAGCACGCAGCTTGAATTTGGAATTGGAGGAAATTTTGTTAAAACTTTGAACTAAATTTTCTCCAATTCCAAATCGGTGCTCCCAAACATAGCATTAATCTTCTTTTTGTAGTCTTACTTATTGGATTTCATTTTCTCTTCCTTCTTTTGCCTCCTTTAAATGATTTATTGTATTAAAGTTTAAATAATCATTTGGTACTCTTGGTCAGTTGGGGATGTTGATAACCAAAGACACCGGGGAGACAGAAATTCAGGTATTATTTCTTTTGTCATACCTATTAGTTTAGATTTAAATTATATTTGTGAAATATAGATGCCTGCCTAGCCAAGACTTCCATACAGAACTTAACATCTTTTTGGATTTTGTTTTTTTTTTTGTTTTTTTTTTTTTTTTTCTCTTAAATTAAAAAAAAAAACTTTCATATAGAGGCTTTATAAAAATTTAGTTGCAAGTGAAACTTGAAGACTGGTATTTGACTTGGATGAACATCTGTATGTACAGGGAGTCATTGCTCAAATTCCTGAAATCGTCCTAAAATGCATAAGCCGGGATGAGGCAGCACTGGCTGTGGCCCAGAAGGTTTTGTTGTTCATTTTTGAATATATTATGTAGTCTCTTCTCTTGCCTGATTTTACTATACATTTTTGTAACAGGTTTTTAGGAGTCTATATGAGAACGCATCAAACAGTTTACATGTTAGTGCTCATCTTGCAATCCTAGCTGCAATTCGCGATGTTTGCAAGCTAGTTGTTAAGGAGCTCACAAGCTGGGTATGCTGTTTGGACTTGATCTTTTGTCCCTGATGAGTTTTATTGATATATTTTGAAATTGATTGTCATTACAACTATATACACCTAGACTACCTAGTGTAATACATTTTCTGTAACTTATGACTTGGAAACTCCCTACCAAGATAATTGTTTAGACACAAATGCCAACTTCACCCCTTTTTAGGGACCAAGGGAATATAATAATTGTTTAGCTCTTCTCCATCTACCAATGCACGAAGTAATTATGCACAAATGCCATCACTTCCTTCTTCTAAACCACCAAAAAACAGTGATGTAAGAAAGGTGGTAATGAACCCATCCAGTTCAGGCACATTATACCCATTGCAATTCTTCAGAGCTTCAATTTCCTGTTCATAGCATGGCCATTCCTTGTCATCTCATGTGGTAAAGCCAAACTGCACACCATTCAACCATGGTCTCATCAATGTTTGCTTCATATACAAACTCATACAAGTTGTGCAATTCCCCACTTGATATCTCCTATGTTACCCGGACTCGGGTACGGGTGTCGGACATGGGTACGTGTCTAGAGGTCGGATCATCTATGTATCAAATTATAGGACACGGGGACACGGAATAAAAGTGTCCAAAACTTAGACACGGGTACTTGGACACTTCATATACATATGGAACACTTCATATAAATATGGAAGTATGAAGTAATTACAATTGGATTTAGCTTGGGCTGAAAGCCAAGGCCCAACGTCAGAGAGAGAACATTGCATTGGCACAAAGGCAGGACAACTAAATTTGACTGTTGACTAAAAACCAACCACCACAAATAAAAGCCCAGCCAACGTATTTGTGTGTGGTCAGTGATGTAATTCACATATAATATTATAATGAGGTTTTTATTTTTATAATGATGATCCAGCCTATTTTGGTAAAAGCCTAGCCCAACGTATTTTTTTTTGGTAAAGTTGGTATTGGGCTTCATTAATAGCCAAAAAGGCTGACCACCATGCACCAGCTATCTTTTCTTTTTATTTGAGGAACCAAATGCACCAGTTGTCTTTCTTTTTTTGTCCTTTTCTTTTTGGTAAAGTAGGTAATGGGGACCACTTGCAGCAGCGGTCTGGCCAAAGCTTTTCACGTTGTTTCACGTGGCTTGTTCAAGCAAACTATGAGCTAAATATTTATAAGAATAAAAAGTCAAGGCACGATAAACAAAAAAATGTCTCTTCTTTTCACAACTCCTCCTTCAACCTTTCTTAACCCTATTTTGAAATTGAAGACTAGAGAGCTTCATCCTATTTTCAAATCGGAGACTACCAGAGAGCTTCATCGCCAGCTAATCAGCCGTGTCCGATTCAAAAACAAAGTGTCCGACCCGTATCCCGTGTCCGTGTCAACGTCGTGTCGTGTCGACACGGACACCCTTGCCTGAACCGGAGAGTCTAGGTAACACAGGATATCTCCATAGTTGATTATCTCCTCCCCATCAATCACTATAATGTTGATATAATTCCTTGTCTGATGTAACTGTGCTGCGAAAGAATTTGGTGGTTGTGTCCCCTTCCCAGTTGGGCTGCAACTCAGGCGGGCTAGGCGGGTTGGTCACTCATCTCGGGCTCAGCCCATATAGAAAATCTTCAGCCCAAGCCCATCCCATACATAACTAGCAGAGCCCAAGCCCGCACCATGAGCCCGCCTCAGAAGAATTTGTGTGTAAAAAATAGAACAATTGATGCTGCTCCCATGAGTTGAACATGAAACCTTAAACATAAATCCCAAACACATTACCAACTTGACTACCGCATTTGTGATTTAAGTCTAGTTATAAATATATATAATATTTCCGCTCTCGGGTTGGGCTTTGCGCTTAATCCATATCAACCCAAGCTCAAACCGAATTGAATTCGGGCTCAAAATATATAGCCCAGGCCCAAACTAAAACTAGAAAAACATTGCCCAAGCCCACAAAATTTTCGGGTTGGGCTCGGGTTATTTCGGGTTGGGCACGCCCGAGTTGCAGCCATATAGTTCCCAGAGCCTCAAAGCCCTCAGTAGGAGAAGAAGCACCAGCTTAATTCTTTTCCTCCCTTCTAAATCTTCCATTTGCTCTGTTTTCCATTGAGCACCTTTACGTCCAGGAATGCTATGGTGTTCTATAAATCTAGCTTGCCTGACACTCCTATTCCACCTGATCAAGTCCCTGTTCAGAAGCTTTAATTTTCTGTCAAGTACCTGCCCCCAATCTACCAATCTATAATCAATTCAACAAAGCCACCTCTTTCTACCAAATGCTATCAAAACAAATGAACATTTCCCTCACCGAAATGCCTCATAATCCAGCATAAGCAACGCCTAGTCCAAAGCTGATCTCGGAAGGCAAGCTTGAGTAACGTCTGAGAAATGTTCCTCCTACTTAGTGTTATTAAAGGCTCAAGGCGCACCAAGGCGCTAGAGGTCCATTGAAGCCTAGGCGCGAGGCGCATGGCGAGGCGCGCGCCTGAGTGAAGTGAGGCGCACAATTGAAATTTTAAACTACCATAATAGTATTCATATCTCAAAAGTCATATCAATATTCTAAAAATTAATATCAAATATAAAAAGTAAATCCATCAACTATATAAGCATTCAAGAACCATAAAACATAGCACAAATTTGTTTTCTTGAAAGGCAAAACAGAGTACAAAAAGAAATAAATCTATTAAAATTGTTAACAAGAAAAGAAAAGAAAATAGAGCCAAAAAAAAAAAAAGAAGAGGGAGAGACAAAAGAAGTAGATGAAGACAGAGAAGTAGATGAGAAAAGAGAGAAAGTGTTAAAGAAGAAACAGGGGAAAAAAATAGAGCGCAAAAAAAATAAAAGACAGAGAGAAGAGAACTAGACGGAGAGAAAGAAGTAAACAAAGATGAGAAGAGAGGAGAAGAGAGAGAAGAAAAAGAAGAAAGAACTGACATGGCTTTGTCATTCGTCTCTGCCACTAGGGCTTCGTCATTGCTCTCACAGTCTCACTCTTTCTATGTTCAATCTTGGACTTTCTTATTTGTTTATTCTTTTGAACAAAAGATCCTTGTCTGATATGCTTAGGCTTTCTTATTTGTTTATTAAGTTGCCAAAAGTACCATTTTTGGCTTAAGAGATAGAACAATCATATTTAAAAAAAAAAAAAACAAAAACAAAAAACAGCGAGGCACGCCTAGGCGCACCTAGACAAATAGGATAGGAAGAGGCGTAACCGAGGCGCGCGCCTAGTAAACATTAGTGAGCCTGGGATGACAACAGGCGCTAGACCTGCGCCTTGAGCCTAGGTGCACGCCTAGGCGCGCCTTTAACAACACTGCTCCTACTTCACTGATACCAATCCAGGTGAGAGCGGGGCATTGTGGCCACCTCCCTACATCCTTATTCAACCAACATTAATCCTACCTCTTCCTCCTCATGTGAACCGGAATGCACCAAAACACAGGATAAGTAAGAATGTCTGTCCAAGTTTTGGGATGAAATGAGATGCAAATATAGAGCTCATAACTCTTGGTTTTCAATGTGAAAGTATATTTTGATTAGAATGAACAGTCTAACCTTTATCAAGCTGAAAATTTGGGCCAAAATTGAGTGAAACTAAGACTTTTGGATGTCGTAAATTTTGATTCAAAATTTGAGCTATGGTCTTGAATTTTTTTATTTCTTTATGTGAAAATTTATTTTTAGAAAATTGGAAATTGAGAATGGCAAAATAATGGTAAAATTGTGCTCAAAAAGGGAGCTTTCTTTTCCTTTCCTTATTTATTTATTTTTATTTTAAAAAAAATGTCAAAACTGATTGTAACTTGTCATGGGCAATAATGGACTGTAGAAGCTGTGACATTGTGGTTCAGGCCACAGCCACTGGCATGAATGTGATGTGGATGTTGGAGCTGCTTAGGATGTGATTGTAGACTCCCTCGTGATCGTGGCCTGTGACTCATGTGCTTAGGCCTGTAACCATTACATTGGAGCTACAATTTAAATCACGATGTGTGTGTGTGTGTATGTGAGAGAGAGACATTGAAATTGGTCTCTTATTGGCTTAGTATCTGCTCTGGCTCTCACTCTTTGTTGATATGCAAAGAGTAGCTTGAGCCTTCCAGTGGCCTCAAATTTACCTAATTGCTAAATAATCGGGGCTATGCCATTGCTTCTCCGGAATATATGTATTTTTCATATGTCTTGAAATGACAAAAGGTCCTAAAATTCTGTGTTCTACTTAAAAAACGATCAAATCCTTTGTAATAAAAAGTGAAAACATTTTTGGTTTGGCATTCTTCCTTACCTGGTATCAGATATTGAGCTTATTGTAGATCATTTGAGCTCGGCATGCTGAATTCAGTCTTCTCCAAGCTCGGCTTATGTCAGGAAGCTCGGGCTCTTTAAAGCTTGTTTGTGTGTATATATAGTTATACACTGATATATACACACACACACACACGCACACATGAATAGATCCATATATTTACACAGTTGTATTCATATTGACAAGAACACACACGAAAGAAATCATCACTGACCATCCTCGATCTTCGCTGACATCTGATCTCTCAACCCATGTTGCTGCCTGTGATATGGCCATGGCAGCGGCTGTTGATGTGGAGTTGCTGCCAAATTGGTGCTTGTGGGTCTTGTTATCCATGGTAACTGCAAGAAAAAGTGAGTCAGTGATGAGAAATAATATAGATGTTGAATCTGTAAATGAGAGAGGAGAGATACATTCAGAGAGATAAGATGGAGAGACGAGTGAGAAATGGCAGGGCACCAGCTAGCTTCTATGTTTCCATGTGCCTTTTGTTCTGTTTAACTTTAGCTGTCGGATTTCTTGCACACAATCAATGCTTTACAAGTTATCAACCATATGGTAAGACTTACGAGATATGTGTCTTTCATATCATTCAAGAAGGTGGTTTCATTGAAATCCTAATAAGATATGGGTTGATTAGGGGTGGCAATTTGTGTCGATGTGTCGTGTCGAGACATGAGTACTCTATTAAATGGGTCGACACGAACACGACACGATTATTATTCGTGTCAAAAACCCTTGACCCAAAGGTCCCGTACACGACACTATTATGAACTGTGTAACTTGACATGACATGAATAACACATTTAATAAATGGGTCAAAATTTAATACTACACGAAACGACACGATGACATGAGATTCCTTATTTGGGTCACCCATTTTTGACCTGTCACCCATTTATGACCTGCTTTTAATTTTTCTAAAGATTATGAATTAAAATATGAATGCCAGAAAGAGGAACAATCCTCCAATGGTGATGGCTGGAAAAATAAAATTACAGATGAAACAATACAAAAAAATAAACATAATAAAATCGACAATAAGTAGTTAAATGTTCCCAGCAATCTACAAAAACAGAAATTACAAGTCCTTCACACATACAATCTCATAACAAAATAAACCAGAAGAACCAAAAAACAACGTAATAACAGCTTGATAAAGTCTACAAATTATACCCACATATATAAATAAACAACAAGACAAGATTCCAGTATAAGGAGTCAAAAGGGACTTGAGAGTGTTAGATTCAAGTAAAGAAGAATTACCCCCATCTGAAATCAATGAGAGAGAGAGAGAGAGAGAGAGAGAGAGAGAATCAGATTGCTGATTTCACAAACAGAGAGCTTGCAGCTCTTGGCTATGGAGGTCTGGCAACCTCCAATCGCTGGACTTTGGTTACAAGGCTTTAATGGAATTACAAGATTTTGTTACAATAAATAAATACAAAGGAGAGAGTGATGTAGAGGTAGAGATCTGCACGTTCTATCACAATCTTTGATCAAGTAAGTGAGTTTGCTAGCTTGAAGTTGTAGAAGACGATCAACTGAGAGACTAGTTTGCTTGGCTCGCCTCTTGGAACTTCTCTTGGTTCTGTATTGTCTGAGGCTCACAAGAATGAAAGGAACTTTTCTTAGGTTTAGGGCACCTTTGTTTTTAATGAATTTACAAAACTACCGATACGTGTTTTAATATAAATCTTTTTTATACTACTGCATTCTAATTTAACATATAATTGTTAAATGGGTCTAAATGTGTTAATGTGTAAACGGGTCTAAATGGGTCTTATCCGTGTCAACACGGCATGACAAGAATATTTAATCGGGTTAATCGTGTCAAAATCGGGTTGGTGGGGTCAAACACAAACACGACACGATTAGTTAGCGGGTCAATCCGTGCCAACGCAATTATTGCCACCTCTAGGGTTGATATACATAACTCTGTTGAAGATTATAGTATAAATTTAAATTACCTTACAAGTTAAGCTCATTCACGAACCTGGTTAGCTGAGTTTAAGTCTGCGGATCTGGCTTTTTTATGAAACGAGCTTAGGATTTTTTTACTAATTGAACAAGCTTGCATGAGTGAGTTAATGAGACAAGCCTAGGTTCATCTGCAGTCCTAAACACCTTTCTCTCCACCCCCCTCCCCTGCGGATATTTGTCATGCTTATTGGTGGAAGGCAGGTAGATTGGATTTGTTCGCATTTAAAATATTTTAGATTTCCATTTTATTGTCATCTTGCTGTGATGAGCTCGTTCATTCAATAGTTAACGTTTGCAATTTCCTAACTCAGGTGATTTATTCAGATGAGGAGAGGAAGTTTAACACAGATATAATTCTTGGCCTTATTCGCAAGGACTTGCTGAACCTTACGGAATACAACATGCACATGGCAAAGCTTATTGATGCTGGGAGGAATAGTATGTACTACGAGCATCATTGGTTTCTTGCTCATCTCTGAAGCATATAACATGGCTGACTAGTTTCTTATAATGTGCAGAAGCTGCTACCGAGTTTGCAATCTCTCTTCTCCAGACTTTATTGGTTCAGGAATTAAGAGTAAGTGTGTCAGAACTTCCCAATTTGGTTGACGCCTTGGCAAAGGTATGGAATCGTTCATTACGTAGTTTATCTATGGGTTTTGTTCTGATGTTTGGTGTTACATAATTGATGCTTTTTCCCAAATTTCAGCTTGCAAGTAGACCTGGGTCTCCTGAGTCTTTACAGCAGTTGATTGAGATTGCAAGAAATCCTGCTGCTAATGCTGCAGTTCTTGCTGGATTTGCTGCTGGCAAGGATGATACGGTCAAGCAATCCAGGGAAAAGAAGGTTGCTTGAGATAGTTGCAATATTTGCTTCCTTGCAGCTGCTTTGAATAGATTTTTTCAGCAATATAAAATTTTAGTTATTTTACCTTTGTTATTCTTGAAATTTAAAACTTGAATTATTTTTCTGGTGAATCAGGGTTCTGACCATGCTATTGCAAGCAGGGACGACTATCTCAATGCCGAGTCGGGGGGAGCAGATCCTACCAGTTTCCGTGATCAGGTTTTCGTGAATACTATTTTGTTGAATACTTGTTATGATTTCTGGCTTCAAAATAGAAATAAGAAACAGAGAATAAAAGTAAAACTGAAACAAAATTGCCACCTGCATGTGCATGTAGTTGGAAGTTAGTTTTGGGGATCTTTAATTAATGCGGAAGCTTACACTCGTTGTTTCTGATAATGTTTCTCCTTATAGGATTGACTGTCATCTATTTCTCCATCTATCTGCTTCCTGTCTTAGGGGTATGCATTTTTTACCTGATCATCCGAGCTCTAAAAAATGAGAAAATTTAGTTATAACACTTGGGACATCCACATTTTTTACATAACTATTTTATGGGATTTGGGATCAAAATATATTTGTTTTTTCTTCAAGTTTTATTCCCCAATAGATTTGAAAGGAGAGGAGGAGATTGGGGTGTTCCATCTTGCAGCTTTCACCTCAAGTATAGGATGGAATATCCAACAAATATTTGGAGATACTGGTATATATTCTATTTCAATATTACTTACTTCCGTTTAATGCTTATGTAGTTCTTTGACCATGTTGTAGGTTTCTGTCCTATTTGCGGAATGGTACCAGATATCCGAACTTCCTGGTACAAATGATGTATCTTGTACTCACTTTATTTCACAGTTGCAGCAAAGCGGGTATCTTAATGGGGATGATATGTCAGATCGTTTTTTCCGCCTTCTCACGGTAATATCTCTTCCTTGTTGGAAGCTGTTCTCTTGGGGAGTTGAAAATTTATGTTTGTCCATCATCATTAGCAGCATCGTCATCATCACCACTATTATCATTGCCATTGGTTTCAGGAACTTTCAGTTACACATTGTGTCTCTACTGAAGGTATAGGTGTTAGGTCATTGTCATTGCAGTCACATCAAACATCTCAGAACCTGTCATTTCTTGCTATTGATGTGTATGCAAAGCTTGTTGTTTTGATTCTGAAGGTAATAAAATTTTTCTGTTTTTATTATAGATATCATGATTATGATTGCAATTATTCTGTATTATTTTTTTGGTAAATAATTGTCATGAATTTATTATCTCTGTACATTTATTTTCCTATTATCTTGTAACTTTGCGGTTCTTTTGGTTGTCAGTACTGTGTGGCGGAGCATGGGCCGACTAAACTCCAACTTTTGCCCAAGGTATTGGTAGCTATTTTGGTCTTGGTTCTTTCATGCTTGTCTTGAAACATTGGTTAAATGGTGTCTCTTTTTTTTAATTTGGCAGATATTATCAGTAGTTGTCAGAGTCATTCAAAGAGATGCTGAAGAAAAGAGGGCATCTTTTAATCCAAGGCCATATTTCAGGTTGTTTGTCAATTGGCTTTATGACCTTCTTGACCCAGATCCCATCTTAGAGGGTGCTAACTTTCAGGTATCAGGCATCGGCATCTCTCTCTCTCTCTATTTATTTATTTCATCAATCTTCATTGATTCTCTGCATGAACTAAACTGAGGTTGTTTTCAGGTTTTGGTTGCTTTTGCCAATGTTTTCCATTTATTGCAGCCTCTTAAAGTTCCTGCATTCAGGTCAGCATGCGAGCTGTCCTATGTGTGCTTGTGTGGGCACCTGTGTTTTCATACTTTATTTTATGTTGTTTTCCCTTTCAAGTCTTCATAGTACATTATATGTGGCAGATCAATGTTATATTCCCGGATTGGATTTTGTCTGTATATACGTGAAATCTTATGTGCATGCTATGGATATTTAAGGAGTGCCACACTTGGAAAAAATGAGCTTCAAGAAGTTCCTTAGTTTTGAAAAAATCACTGATTTAATTATTTGGGTGGGATTTTCTAGAAAATCACGATTCCCCATATGAAGGATTAAATGCAGACCTTGCTATTAGATAATTAACAACTTTTAACGACATCACCTGGATAAGAGTCCTGCAAGTATTTGAACTTGTTGGGTCCAATCAGATATCCACATAATTGAGCTGTCTGGACATGCCTTTTGAGCACTGTTGGCCTGACCAGGAGAAATAAATTGCATTCACTTGAAATCCTAGCTGAAGTACATTTGGTTTCAGAAATTTTTTAAGCCTCTGCTTACTATTGGAATGATGAATTAGCATCTGCTACCTTCACTAGAGTTAGAACTGGATTCCTATTTATGGGCTTCCTGGAATCCTGAACAGCTTGATACTGTATTTAATGCACTTATAAAATGTGTCATAGTTTCATGATTTTCATCAGTTTGTGTGTTACTATAATTATGAAGAAAATCTTATCGGAAGGAAACTTTTTTGTTGGTTTGAAAATCTTATTAAGGTGAATATTGTCTCAATACCCTTTTGAACCATCTCTCTATAAATTAAGTTGAAAATGCTTGAAGTGTCCTGTTGGATTAATATGTTGGAGTTATGTGGAAATTTCAATATTGTGCCGAATCCTGTAGTATTGATATCCCAGCATGTCTCTTGTTCCTTTTGATATTTATTAAATCCTCCAATTCCATGATTCTTTCATGGGTGGTATGGATCCTGAAGAACTTATGGTGATGCTGGGAAAAAAAATTGTCACAAGTAACATCTATTTTTGACTTTCACTATTGAGGATGTCTGGGATTTTTTTATAAACAGAGATTTTCTTTTTATTTTCCAACAAATAATTATATAGGTTTTTTTTTCCTTTGGTTGGTGATAAATTGTTCAAATGATTTGCAGCTTTGTGTGGCTTGAACTGGTGAGTCACAGGAGCTTTATGCCTAAATTGCTCACTGTTAACCCTCCGAAAGGCTGGCCTCATGTTCAACGCTTGCTGGTCGACCTGTTCAAATTCATGGAGCCTTATCTGAGGAATGCTGAACTGCGAGAACCGGTTTGCTGCTTCATATTTTATGATAATTTTTACAATATTTTGATGCAGGAATTTGTTATTTTCTGATGTTTTATTTATTTATTTATTTTGTATAGATATATTTCCTCTATAAAGGCACTCTGAGGGTGCTGCTTGTGCTGCTTCACGATTTTCCCGAGTTCCTTTGCGATTATCATTTCAGCTTCTGTGATGTTATACCCTCCAGCTGCATTCAGATGCGAAACATCATCCTGAGTGCATTTCCACGCAATATGAGGCTTCCTGATCCTTCTACTCCTAACTTAAAGGTGTCTGGCTTGTCATACTTGTTTTTCCCCAGTCATCAACATTAGGACGAGGATTAATCCGTACTTCATTGTTCAATTCCCCTTGTAGATTGATTTGCTGGCAGAAATCAACCAATCACCGCGTATTTTCTCAGAGGTTGATGCTGCATTGAAAGCCAAACAGTTGAAGTCCGATGTAGATGAGTATATCAAGGTGCTCTGGAGTTTCACCTTGTGCTGTTTAAGCTTCTTCCTCTGCATTCTGTGTTTTTTATTTCTATTTTGCTGGTGTTTCCCTTCGGTGGTTTGTTTAACCTTTCTTTTTGTTGTTGTTTGATATGGAACGTGATGTTTCTGCAGACAAGGCATCAGAAAGTGTTCTTGTCAGAAATGAAGCAAAAATTGCTGCTAACACAAAATGAGGCAGCACAGGCTGGGACCCGGTACAACATACCCTTGATAAACTCACTTGTTCTTTATGTAGGAACACAGGTAATACTGTTCTTTTACCTTGTAGATTGTACATCACTCCCTTTGCTGAAGTATCATGTTCACTATCATGAATCAACATTCCACCAATATTGCTGGAATGTGTCAGATACCATATTTGTAGTTAACAAAAACATATTGAAAATAGTCCGTTAGCTTCAATTACCAAATTCTAGGGAACTAGGGAATATGAAGTGGTATACCTAATGCGGCAAATGAGTGCTGGCTAATGAACTTGAGAGGGAGGGAGGCAAGAGATTAGATGATCTGGGCTTCAATCAAAGTTTACTTTTTTAATAGTAGGCCTGTTCGTTACACCAAATATTATGAGAACTTAATTTACTAAGCGTAACGTGAAAAAGCATACAAGTTTGGTTATTGAGCACTTTAGTCCATCAAACAAAAACTCGCTATTTGTTTTTATTTATTTATTATTCGTTGTCATGGAGCTTTATGTATAAAAAGTAAGAGATGCAAGAAATAGCATGAAACTGCTGAATGTATATCAGTTGGAATTTTCTTCTAAAAGGTTAAAAGGCCTTCAATAATATCCGTTTTAGAAAATATAAAACAAAAACAAATAAAAAATGGTATTTCAGCAGTCGGGATCATCAGATTGTTGTTGACCTGGTAATGAAATTGAAATGTGTTTCATGCATTCCATCGATTCTTAGACACTTTCGATTCATTCCACCTATTCAAATTCAATGGGTGATACTGTATCGAATCATGCGACTCATATTGTGAATGGTTTGATTTTGGCAGTTAATAGTCTTAGAACATATCAATGAGGTTACACTAGTCTGCAGAAAAGTAGATCTAAACATGGTATTGATGCCTTCCTATCACTTCTCTTTGGTTATGGAGTTCGATTTATAATATAAACAAATATTTAGTTGTCCAGAGTTGAGAAAAATTAAACTTCCTGAGTATAGTTTATATCATGCATCAGTTTAGCTGTAACAACTAAAAATGGCACAAGCATATAGAAGAGGGGGGAGAGAGAGAAAGAGAGGAAAACCTTCCAATTGATTGCAAATTAATCCCTTTTTTTTACCTAACAAAACCAGTAATCTCTTACTAAAAAAATTCACTCTTTTTGGGATTGTATTGCAGACTATTCAACAACAGACCAAAACTCCGTCTCCTCTTGCACAACAAATGGCACACAATACTTCCTTGGAATACTTGATGGGTGCTGCTATGGATATCTTCCAGACACTGATTGCCGACCTTGATACTGAAGGGCGCTACCTTTTCCTCAATGCAATTGCTAATCAGCTCCGTTACCCTAACAACCACACACATTTCTTTTCCTTTGTTCTTCTCTACTTGTTTGTTGAAGCTAACCAGGTGAGCTCTCTCTCTCTCTCTCTCTCTCTCTCTCTCTCATGCGTAAATGAATATTATTTTTTAATGCTGTAAGTAGACAGGGAGTGCTGTTTAGATCCATCTGGGGTTGTTTTTAAAAGTGAGAATGGGCATAATTATATAGTTGAAGGTTCTTTATCATAGAGAACTTTAATTGCATAAAACAGCCTGTTTAGCATTAATATTCCTGGAAACTTGACACTGAACTGCAGTAATCACACACTTTTGTTTGCTTCATTTTTCACATGCAATATGCTCACAGTTTTCGTAAGTTGTTGCACAGGAAATTATCCAAGAGCAAATTACTAGAGTGTTGTTGGAACGCCTGATTGTTAATAGGCCTCATCCATGGGGACTTCTAATCACTTTCATTGAACTCATAAAGGTAACTTGAAACACCTTACTCACCCCAAAGCCTTATAAATTTCAAAATTGTTGTTCTACCCAGGCTTATGGTTTTTTTCTACAAAATGTTTTGCTTTTATTTTTTGCAGAATCCAAAATATAACTTCTGGGGTCGTTCCTTCACAAGGTGTGCGCCAGAGATTGAAAAACTTTTTGATTCGGTCTCAAGATCCTGTGGTGGCCCCAGACCTGTAGAGGAATCTATGATATCTGGTGGTATTCCGGATAACATCCACTGAATTTTTCAGAGATTGTAGCTCACTGTATAGGTCTTAATGTGGATTTACATTAGCATAATGAGCAACGTTTTTTTGTTAGAATTTGCAATTTTTGAAAAGCATCAATTGATAAAGCTATATGATGGATGTGTAAGATCTGGTTAGTTTAGGGGTCAATTAACGCCTTCCTTTTTCTTCTCATCAGAGTTGTTTCCAAAGACTTGCCATGGTAAGGATGAGTTGCCCATTTGTACAGAATGGTAAAGGGACCCTCGAAAAGGGATATTTTCATCCTTGCCAACGTGATCTTGTTGCCCCTGGCAACAAACATGCATGAACCATTTCACGAAGTATGTGTTCGGATAGTCCAAAGTAACGATAGTTGCTCTCTCTCTCTCTCACACACGCACGCACGCATAGAGACAATTGTTTGCTTGCTTGTGCATGAGCATATGCGTGCATATGTGGGGGGCAATGTGGTTTCTTTGAACTTGCCCCTTTATGTTACAGTGCATGGATAGGTCTTAAATGTAGTGCGGATCCACTATCAAGTCAAGCATTATTTATTTATTTATTTATATGGGTATTTTCATGCCAATAAACTCAAAAAAGAAATTCAACTGGCATGCTTTTCTTGGGTGGCTGTGATCACATTTATGGTTGCAGTTATCACTTTTGCGTTTCTGGTTTATTTATTATTATAGAGTATATGTGGTGAATGGTGTACTGAGTTCTCCATTCCTATATTACTGTGTGAAGGGCCTCAAGTAGGAATGGAGACGAAGTGGGTTCGGGTCTACAGTGTAATCAGTAATCATTGTTGATGTCTGCTTTGTAACCGTTCTTTGAAATAAACATCTGTATTTCAATGGATGCTACGTGTATTCTTGATGTTGCGACTTAGCAATAAAATCGCATGGCTTGAGAATTATAATGCCTTTCTGTTTATATTTTGCATAAAAGCAAGACTCAACTACCAAGATTATGGGCATTTGCTTTATTACTGTTAATCCCAATGTTGATTTTACACTAATTTAACTACCAACAGCAGCATCAGCGTTTTCGATTTTCCCCGGAAGACTCGGACTCCTTTTGTTTTCCCTTGCTTTTGCCTTTTTCTTCTACGATGCCCTCACTTTTATCTTCTACCGGAAAAAAATGGAAAAGGTCCTGAAGACTATTTCCCCTTGCTTTTGCGTTTTTCTTCTACGTTGCCCCCACTTTGCAACTTGACATTTGCAATTATTAAGGGGTCACCAAGAGCAGAATCATTGTCACTAATGATATAATATTACGTAATGTTTCATTCATTAATATAATTATGTGTTGTCTACTGTGCTTGCATTTGCGTTATAATTTTTGATGTAATAATGTAATGAAGCCCTGCAAATGCAAACAAAAACCTATGTTCCATATCTAATATTGTCATCTATCATCATCATACGAATTCATTTATACAGATCTTGTAACTGTTGCACCTTCAGATAGACACGGAGTTGCGGAGGGCTCTGGAACTGGAACTGGAACGGACACGCCGCTGTAGGCTTCTAGTTCTATCCTTCTAGGGTTGTATTATGTTTAGAAAACCAACGGTTGAGATGCTTTAACATCTAATGGCTGAGATGAAACCTTATTTAATGGGCTTGTGAAGTATCAATTTTGGGCTTCCTGAACGAAATTATGTGAGTTGGGCCAAACTTATACTCACTCATTCGGCCTTAAAACTTTTTAATGTAGAATGGAAAATACCAATGGGCCTTTCTGTTAACCAGTTTTTCCCCGACAAACAGGGGCTTAACTTGGTGATCTATTGGTCCTGTATTGTCGGTCTACTGATCTCCATCATCGATGATGCCTTCTACGATGCCCTAAACGGAGGCCACAAGAAAGGCAGAGCAATCCAATAGGAAGTGGTTCACCTGTCAAAAAACACTGTCGGCAGATTTTATGTTGGTAGTGTGTTTTAGGGTTTAAATCTTATCTCTAAACATTACCCATGGTCCAAAAACCAATTATTGGGTCCTTTCAGGCCCATTTGACCTTGGGATTCATTTGTTTCTCCATTGATGGACTTCTTTTCTGGCCAACTTAATTGTCCTTGTTACCAAAAACTATATATATATATATATATATATATATATATATTTGTCCTTTTTTTTTTGTTTCTTTTTGGACCTTGCAGATGTGATTTTTGGGCTTAAATGGGCTGTCGCAATTTGGAGCTCTGTCCAGTCCATTTCTTTATACTCATGTTGGACTTATGAAAATATTATGTTATATTTTTACCTAAAATTGCATTTTTTTTTTTTTTTTTTTTTGTGGGCTGTCCCAATTTGGGACTCTTTACAGTCCGTTTCTTTATACTCATGCTGGACTTATGAAAATATTATGTTATATTTTTACCTAAAATTGCATTTTTTTTTTTTGGTGGGCTGTCCCAATTTGGGACTCTGTACAGTCCATTTCTTTATACTCATGTTGGACTTATCAAAATATTATGTAATCTTTTTTTTTTTACCTTAAATTGTATGTATTTATTTTTTGCAAAAAAAAAAAAAAAAAAAACATAAAAAGGCATATAAATAATCACATGTAGATATGAATAACTATATAAAAACTAATCATTATATGTAGATTATAATTGAATTTACTATTAAAATTGAAGCGCAACAAAATCGCAAAATTTTATATTGCTTTCTTTGTCAAAAAATAAAATAAAAATAAAATGTAAATAGTTGACATTGGGGAGGTTTGAGAGTTTTAGCACCATTAGGAGCATATTGTGGTATGATTATGTGTGTTTGCTTTTAACTTCTTTTTCTTTTTCTTTTTTTAAATAATAATAATAATAAAAGCTATGACTGTTAACAAAAATCTACCCATCTTTTGATTGATTTAGTGTTATATTAATTTCTAATCATGTAATTAATGAACTTGAATTCACAAACTTCGGTCTTCATTTCGATGTGAATCTACCATGTATAATCTACGCATAAAAAGAAGTAATAGTGATGGTGAATGTCATTTTTCTTTTTATTTTTTGGTAAGTGCATTTCTTCGGCAATGCATGAGCATTAATCAGATTGTTTCAATAAATGCAGCAAACTCAAGAAATAATTAATAACACAATAAAAAATAAACACGTCATACATAAAGAATATAAAGATTTAGCGTGATTTGGCGAAGCCTACATCTACGGTGAAGATTTCATAAAAGAATTTACAATGCAAAAATCCGGAAATTACTAGTTTCAGTCCCCAAACTCTATCTCTCGCTCTCAATCTATTTTATGCGATTTTCTATGTCTCTCTATCTCCCACGCCAATTCCTAAACGTTTTTACATATTGGGCTACACGAGAATACTAAATAGGGTCGTCGAATTGAAAACAAATTGCAACGCAACGTAAAACCAAATTTAGTTATCACAACAGCACACAAGGATGAATGTCGTTTTCACTTACATGACCATGTCAAAAGCATCAATTATTGCCCCCGCTTTCTTAATTTGTATGTTTGGGTTGAGGGAAATGTTTTTCGAAGCCATATTACATACACGCAAGTCGCAAACCATTCTCATTATCCATCATGGTCACATAAAGAGAGGGATCTCCAAGAAGTTCAAATTGTACAGATATGTGGTCACCATCATACAATCCCACGCCTTGAGTCGATCGGTGAGGTGGAAAACTTTGAGAAATTTGGGGCCTACTTAGTTTGTAACTCTGAAAACAGTTCTCAGAAAACTAAAAACAGAAAACTATATAAAAAATTCTGCTTGGTTCAGTTTTCTAAGAATTGTTTTATGAAAACTCAGTTATAAAAAAACTTGTTTTCAGAGAACTGTCTGTTATAGTTCTCTGAAACTAGTTTTTTGTTATCTGAATTCTTGAGAAATATTTTCACAAACACAAACCAAGCATGCCCTTTTGGGTTTTTGGAGAAACATGATGTTGGTATTGGTCACAATGAAGTGTTACTATTCAAATAAATAAATTTATATATATATATATATATATATATATATATATATATAGACACCCCTCCAAATTTGTCTAAAAGATAAGTAGTGTTGATAGTGGTTCATGATGATGTGAGGAGATTATTCCACATCTGTCGGAGATGCTGAGATCAGAGGTTGAGTGGAGCTCTAAGCTAGCACAAGGGATTCTCTGCAGAGGAGATTGAGAGAGAGAAGGCAAATTTGTTTAACACCCTATGTTAGCTCGATCCCTAAAAGACCATTCTTTATGGCTATGGTTATGGTGGTGTATTTTTATTCCTCCATTTTCTAAATGATGAGAGTTTAGCCCTATTTATACTACTTTCATTTGGGTAAGGACCCTCGGTCATGAGAGCCTATTCCCTCCTTATCCAATGGTTACTTTTTCTAAGTAAGGACCGTTGGTTATGAAGGTAGCTCCCTCTTTATCCAATGGCCACTCTACCTAGGTAAGAACCTCTGGTTACAAGGGTAGCTCATTCTCTATCAAATGGTCACTCTGCCAGGTAAGGACCCTTGGTTATGAGGGTTAGCTCCCTCTTTATCCAATGGTCACTCTTCCTGATCTCTGACATATGGGACATCTAACCGGCGACTCGACGCATGTCGCTTCCTTCTTTGAGGCAGCGATGATGGTCTGTGCTAAATGCGGGTCTTATTAGTCAATCAACATATATTTAAACATTCCTTTCCCCTTATGTAGACCTCGAGGTGAGGCGGATCCTTGGAACTCAGCTACCTAACCACTGATGCTCAGATTCCCGCGAAGTAGGAGGAGATAGGGAAATTGCTTGGGACTCGCCTTCTTTGGTCCTGAGTTTCCACACTTCCTTTAAGCTATGATCAGTTAAGTTTGAAGCACTCGAGATCCTATGCAGGGGGAGCTCGGGGTGAACGATTAAGTTTGAAGTTCTCGAGCTCCTATGTAGGGGAAACTCATGATGAACATCATAGATGATCTAGATAAGGAGGCCTCAAAGATAGTGCATGGCAATACCCATCCAACTGGAACGGGGTACTTCTATAACAGTAGGAGAGTGAAGGGTAGCGACCCCTTCCTCTAAAGAGTGTAGGCGCATAGAAGGAAGTCCATCCGATTGGAGCGAGGCCTCCCTCGTGAGGCCAAAAAGATAGAGCTCTGGTGTACGGTACAGGTTCTTTGCAGTATGCAAATGTGACCTTGCATAAATAATACTAAAATGACATGTGGCATCTGACGTAGAGCATCCATCATGAGGGCTAGTTTTAAATAAATGCAAATCCGATGTTTCCATTGAAAATTTGGAGACAATAACACCAGCGAAGATGTGTTAGTGGACAATGACTAGTTCGCTCAAATCCTATCTTGATTTGCTGGTTCATGATTTCGGCGATGAGGATTATGAGTGTGTTGTGAATCAGTCGTGATTCCGGCAACTGGGTTGTGTGAACAAGTTCTCTGGCTAAACAATCAGTTGATGGGATTGTCGGGTACGATCGACGTGTTGTCAACGATGACCCAACTCTCTTAGGTATGGTTACAACAAAATGGGTTCACGGGTCTGATCCCAGGCCTGTTTACGAATCTCTTCGATTTGCAGATCCGGGACAATCAATTCATCGGTGTCGTGCTGCCGACCTTAAGTTTTCTTCCTAAATTGGTGAATGTCTCATTGCGAAACAATAAGTGACATTCGGACAAGGATAACCCATCGTCCACAGCCACGGTGACACGCTCAAAAGCATATCGAATAACTTCCCAGTACATCCTTTCTGTCGACAACACCATCGAATTCGTCTACTACGAACTCGAGCTCTAGATGACGTCGAGCCATAATGCCTTCAGACAACATTGAGCCACGGTGCCGTCAAACATGAACGCGAAGTATTACCCCTCGAAATTGCAGTTGACGCCGGCGAATTCGGCTAGTCGAGTCTGAGAAACCAAGGATAGGAAATGAAGAGATGAGAGGATTAAAACAAAGAGATGAAAGAGAGTTTTGATAGTGGTTCTTGATGATATGAGGAGATCATTCCACATCTGTCGAGGATGCTAAGATTAGAGGTTGAATGGAGCTCCAAGCTAGCACAAAGAATTCTTTGTAGAGGAGATTGAGAGAGAGAAGACAAATTTGTTTAACACCCTATGGTAGCTCAAGCCCTAGAAGACCATTCTTTATGGCAATAGTTGTGGTGGTTTATCTGTATTCCAACCTTTTTCTAAATGATGAGAGTTTAGCTCTATTTATATTGCTTTCATTTGGGTAAGGACCCTCGGTTATGAGAACATATTCCCTCCATATCCAATGGTTACTTTTCCTAAGTAAGGACCCCTAGTTACGAGGGTAGCTCCCTCTTTATCTAATGGTCACTCTACTAGGTAAGGACTCCTGGTTACGATGGTAACTCCTTCTCTATCAAATGGTCACTCTACCAAGTAATAACCCTTGGTTACGAGGGCTAGCTCCCTCTTTATCCAATGGTCACTCTACTTGACCTCTGACATATGGGACATCTAGCCGGCGGCCCGAGGCACGCCGCTACGTTCTTCGAGGTAGCGATGATGGTCTGTGCTAAATGCGAGTCTTATCAGTCAATCAACATATATTTAATGTATTATGTGGCCTCTATTACTCGAGCTCAGCTATTGGGTATTAAACATTCCCTCCCCCTTGTGTAGACCTCGAGGTGAGACAGATCCTTGGAACTCAGCCATCTAACCACTGATGCTCAGATTCCCGCGAAGTAGGAGGAAATAGGGAGATTGTTTGGGACTTTCTTTCTGTGGTCCCGAGTTTCCACACTTCCTTTAAGCTATAACCAGTTAAGGTTGAAGCACTCGAGATCCTATGCAGGGGGAGCTCGAGGTGAACAATTAAGTTTGAAGTTCTCGAGCTCCTATGTAGGGGAAGCTCGGGATGAACATCATAGATGATCCAGATAAGGAGGCTTTAAAGATGGTGCATGGTGATACCCATCCAACTGGAGCGAGGTACTACCATGACAGCAGGAGAGTGAAGGGTAGCGACCCCCTCCTCTAAACATTATAGGCGCGTAGAAGGAAACCCATCCGACTGGAGCAGGGCCTCCCTCGTGAGGCCAAAAAGATAAAGCTCTAGCATACAATACATGCTCTTTACAGTATGCAAATGTGGCCTATGTGGCCTTGCATTAATAATACTAAAATGACAGGTGGCATCTGACCTAGAGCAGTCATCTACATTTTGCCTCCTTGCTCTAGGTCACCTTGGTGGGCTCGAGCAAACACGCTCTCTTCCTTGGGAGGGGGGTGCTCGTGCAACTCGACCCCCCTGAACAGCTTTAATTGAACAAACCCCTTCGTCTCCTTCCAGGGGTGACGTGTCAACCTTTTATTGCCCTTCACACTAAACGATGGGTAGTTAGTCGTCATTGCTAGCGACGCTTCAGGTTACGTACCGCGACGCTTTGGGTGTCCACCCCTCAATGGTCTCATTGATTCCTGCCATATATATTCACCACATGCCATTTCTACTAAATCCCAAAAGAGATTTGAGATAGAGAGAATTTGTGAGAGAAAGAAGAAAAACAAGAAACTCAAAGCTCCCCATCTTTCAAATTCTCCGAGCTTCCCTTGGTTTCTCCTTTCTTGCAAAACTATGTCTCATGCTGCTCGTACCGACATCCCTCTGTCCTCCCTTTGTCTAAGTGGATGGTCGCTACATACTTTGGTCCAAGTGACACCTTTTAGGCTAATTCGGAGGAAATTCATGATGCCGACGAAGTTCAGGATGCCTTACTCCTCCTTGAAGGGGGGAGCTATACTCGGTCGAGGGCTCACCTGTTCCTCTTAGCTCGATCTTGAGGTTCAAAATTGAGCGCAGAGATTTTCTTTGCTCCAACCTTACCTTCATCAGTCAGACCGGTCACGACGTTGGTTGGGATTTGTGGACAGATGCAATCTTGGCGGATCGAACATTCCTCCCACTTCTGGAGAGCGCGAGACTTATAAATACGATATGCAACACCCGTCAGCTTACTGTTAAAAGGGACGTCGTTAGCCATTCCTTCCTATTCTCTTGTTGGAGCAAAGCTACCCACACCTTTGTTACCTCGTGGGGCGAGTTCACCCCCACCCTTGAAGACGTCGTGCAGCTCATGCGACTAAATATGTTTGGCAGTCATGACCCTAGCACTTGGTCTATTTCTTAAGAGGACAAAACACGAGCCAATGATCTCCGAGGGGCCCTTACCGCAACCTCGAAGCTTGCTACTAAGTTCCAAGATGATGGCATTCAGGAAGAGTTCCTAGAGACGGGGAAAAAGTGTACCTTTGTTTCCCTACTTTGTTACTTCTCTCTAGACATCTTGCCGCCCGAGTTACTGGAGGAGAAACCTTTCAATGGTCCAAAGTGTAAGGATCCACTTCGCTTCACTGGTTTCTTTTTGTCGTGGCTTTCTCGCTCATTTTTCCTGGTCCCCAGATAACAGGCCTAGCCCTAACTTGATTCCTTTGGCTGCTAAGCTCTCCTGGGGCAAAAGCATCCCTCTTGGCTGCTAAGCTCTCCTGGGGCAAAAGCATCCCTCTAGAATTTTCTTTTTAAAATTAAGCCATATCACCGAAGATCCATATCATAAAATTAAAATGGTTTCATGACATCTATCATTTTCCTTTATGAAGTATTGGTGCTATTTTTCATTCACTGAATTTTCCCCCTTCAATTATGTAAAGTCGATCTCTATCTTGCGACTGCTGATTGTTACTAAACCACTCAACTCTCTCAAAAGCTCTCATCCTTTATGGGTTTCTTGTTATGGGAATACAAGATAAGAGTTGCTAGAATATGCTCACTGGTCGCACTTATCTTTTGTGTTTAAGGGTGTGCATGGATTTTAGATCGGTGAGGTCTATTGATCATTTGTGATTCTATTTATGATCGTACCTTTACGGTTGTGTTTTTTTTTTTTTTTTGGGACTAATCTCGCAAGTGTCCTTAGAAGGCTAAATATAGATTTTAGATCGGTGAGGTTATGGATCAATAATTTTTTTTTTTTTTGGTAAATAGGTTATGGCTCATTATATTTGTGATTATGTTTATAATACGTGTCATTTTTTTTTTCTTCCAAATGAACTATTTTCTAATGTTCTTATAAATATCAATATTGTGTTGGAACAAGGAATACATAATAAATTAGTATCAATACCTTGAATGCTTTGGATGAACACCACTTTGATCCTTTTGATACTCATAGATATCTATTTTAGGGATTAAAGAGGGTCTCCAGAAAAGAAAATCAAAGAAAGTCATACACATTGCAATCTTGTGAAAAATATTTTGCTGTTTTTGGATAGCACTAGAACCGAAGTATCCAAAAACCTGGCCTTCTTTCATAAAAAACAAGATAGTAAACTGGGTTGATGTTTGCCCAAAAAAAAAAATAATAAATAAATAAAATAAATAAATAAATAAAAATTGGGTTAATGGTAATGACATTATGATTCATTTTAATTTAATGAGTATTAATACATTCGTTTGATACGCATAAATTCATTTGCATCTACCCATGACATAAGATATTTAAGTAGTTTTACTAATTAAACTACGGTTTGTCCTTGGTTATTTATTATGTTCCCAAAGCATGACCCAAACTGAAACTACTACTGTAGCAAACTTGCATTAAATCTCTCCATTATAAAGCATTAATTCAAAAGGATTCTGAAATATTAATAGTTGGTAATACAATTTGTAGAATTGAAATCGGTTGGATATTGAAATTGTTTTTTAAATTTGTCTGTGTTTCATGCATTTCTTGTAACAAATAAGGACAAGTAACTAACTAGAGATTGGACGACAACTAACTACGACAAGTTTTGAACTTTGAATATTCAATCACAACTAATTAGGTAGATGAGGATGGTAATAAATGTTTTAACATTATCCCTCTAAATATATAAATGCATTGTTCTCTACTCGCTTTGCAAGATTAACACTAAACTGCAATATCACCTCTGTATAAAAGGAAAAGATTCATTTTAAGTACATAGTCTGAAGTTATGGATGGAAGAACAAGGAAAGACACTCTGTATATATATATATAGACAATCATATCTACCTATTTCACAGTTCCATTATTTGGTCCATCAAATGGGACAGCTAATAATGCCGTAAAATTACAGGATAAGCTGTTACAGGGTAGGGGAAGTAAGCCACGCAGCAACAGTAGAACCTCCCTTTGCAATAGCAGTAACATTACATACTCTCTATGAAGTCGTTATATCTTAAAAACAGGCTCCCGTCCAAATTCCTTGTTGCAGAACTTCTTCTGAGGTATACCCGGCACTTACCCCAGCATCCAGCAGCTCAGTTGTCCACAGGACACCACTGGTACATTTCTTCATCCAATCCAAATATTATGTAATTACAGGGGCCTACTTGGAGCTGAGGATAACATAAGAGAAAAAGTTATAAAACCAAACCAGTAAAATAGCAGCGGAAAGTTAAAATTCACCCCTTTTGAACCATGTCAAACCACACAGCTTGCATTTCTAGAAATGGGAAAAAGATTAAGTTGCTTCTCTTGTTATTTTGTGATGCAAAATAAATTATAGTAAGTGGATGGGCCCACTTATGGTCTGCTGTCAACTCAAAGTAAATATTCACATCATGTATAATTTCAATATGAACTTTTATTTGAGTGAAAAATTAAGTTATATACTTAGCCTTTTTTTTTTTTTTCCTAACTGGTACTCACACACACATGCCTCCATTGAGGCTCGAACCCCTGACCTCTCTTTGAGAAGTAGGGGCTTGGTACTGCTAGGCCACTGGCCTGTTGGTTATACTTAGACTTTTCTTTTACCTCATCCTTCTCTTTGAAAACGTAGAGGGATTTCTAGTCCCAAAACTGTGTGCAAGCGTGTTCTTGTTTCAGGAAAAAACGAAAAAAAAAAAAAAAGTGTGTTCTAGTTAATAAAAATTTAATAATAAAATAAAATTCTTTACACAGCGCGAATCTTAACAGCTTGATTAGAATGGAAAAGAGAATTGAAAGCAACATACCTATTAGAATCCATTAAGACACTTCCCAACATTATAAAAGGAACATTACCCAGTTCTGGTCCCACTACAGCTGGGTCCTGGAGAATGACTCGAAAGAAATCAGCCTTTGTATTTCACAAAATGGCTATTCTTTAAAACGCTGAATCAAACAATGGCTGTCAGTTCCCAGCATCTTCTACTTAGTTTCTTCTATTCCCCCTTTCCTTATCTTTTTATTTATTTTTTTTAAATTTGGTTTTGTTTTTCCAAGAATCAAAAACAATATTAAATTGCTATTGTCAATGTGTAGAAGAATTCATTTATTTTTACACTATTTGCACTTATATAAGACCTCGTTAGTATAATTTATCTTTCTCGGTGTATCTTCTTTTATAAACAAAATGGTGTTTTACGTCAGTTCAGCGTGTGACGTTTAGCATAGACAAACAGGAAATACATGTACAGAAATTTCTGCACATGCAGTACAAAGATGAAATATATTTAAGATTCTGATTTGAACCTGTTAACTTCTGAAGCCAACACCAGCATGTGAACTAAGTTTCAGATGCCTGTCTATCACTTCCGCTCGAAACAGATGTTATACCTTGCTCAATGCACTGGATACATAAAATAACTATTAGAAGAGGTTTAAAATAGTAGGCTAAGTTGCTTACCGGATTTAAACGGGAAAAAAAAAAAATTTGCAAAGAAATAAAGGACTGACAGAATAACCCGGCTGAGAAAAGGAGAAAAGAAAATAACATCAAGAATATGAGATAGGATATGTTTAGGTAAAGTATCAATGAAACATCAGATGGTGTTTGTAAGTTGCTTGTAACATCTGAGTTAAAAAATGATAATTTTATTTTTCCAGAAATTTTCCCCTTTCATGACAGCTCAAGTGTAGTTTCTTCTATGAATGGGCATTTCTTCTAATAATGGACATTAATAACAAAAACGATTGCAGTAGCAATTCCAGTTTTTTTATGTAAAAGTTTTCCAAAATTTTGGCAGGATATGTTTTTGGCAAAACCATGGTTATTCTCTTGTCAAGAAGAGGAAAAGGTATGATTAGGTCGAGCCTTACGCAACTTCAAGATCGGTTAATGTTTTCTTCTGCTAGATTAAAAATGTTGAGATTATTGTATTAAGAGGAGTGGCTGGGGAGATACTCAAAAAACTACTCACAGACTGTTCAGAGAGATTTGGAACTGTACACAGGCATGGATATATCTGTACGTAGAAAAGTTCTAACCATCAAAATGTTGTTGACTGTACAAATCCATTTTATTTATTTTAAAGGTCAACACCCATACAAGGGGTGGCATCTTATTTGCAAGCCACCAAACAAAAAGTTGTATCATCTTGCAAGTAATTGAGCTCCCACATTTTCTCAAACCCTCTTGTGCCTACTTGTATTTGCCATCTTTGCTAGACAAGTTTGGTACCTTTAACTGTGCTTGCCACTTGGCTAATAAGAAGCTACACAAACCCATAGCCCTTCAAGGAAACTGGAAAATATCTAGGTGGCCTCACTTGCACAAGGAAAACTGCGTCTTGGACCCAGTCATCATATCAAAGTCAGCATTGCAACTTTGTGGTCTACAAGTTTTCTCAAAGTGAAAATTGGAACTCAAGACCCACATACATTTCCTTGAGCAAATGACTAGATCTAACTAGCAACGACTATTCGGAAAAGATTTACTAATAAGTGCTATTTTTTTTCAAAGCATGGACGTGGAGCCACACAACAAGGGACATTGGAAATCCTAAAGGACACAAATACAGTGAGAATAGATCAATATAGAAATGTGATTTTTATATACAAAATTACATTATATATAATAAATATTAGTACATGATAAGTAAATCTAATATTCTATTACTAGCATGAATTTGTTGACTAATCATAATAATTTTATGCATGTTGTGTAGACAAAGACATTATATATATGTGTTCGCTTGTGTGCATATGTAGATTTGTATGTGTATGTCCAACTTATAGTAGTGACTCCTCTCCTCCTCCCATGTAGGCATTTATATTCCCTTGACTAAAAGTTTACCACATTATTTTTGTTTTAAATTACGGCCAAAGTTAGCAAAACTTCATATAAATTTTAATATGACTTCTCTTGAGAACCTCACCTTCTCTTTTCATGAGAAAATCATTCTCAAAGCTCAAGGTTTGTTGTCAAAGCTCAAGGTTTGTCGACAAAGAGTTGGCAAGTGTCTAAGACGTATCAACTTCGTATTCAAAATTAAGAATTTTATTTTTAAATTATGAACACATCCAAAAAATGTTTGGACGTGTATGACAAGTTACGCTGTTCGAGCTCTATCCAACATGGACATGGCTCCTTATTAGGCGGTCCGTACTAGTAGGCATATGTTTATACCTCTCCGAACATCAAATTGAAAGGGCATATAGCTGTATGTTCCATTGTCTTTTTTGCTACTCCAACCTTGTGGAGCAGAGAAAAGAACCATTTGCTGGCCCAATTTTCTGACTTGACAATATTCTGTCTTACCAATTACCCATAGATCCCTCTCACGACGATCTGACAGGTCGGAAACAATTAAATTACTGAACTAACATAAACTTGGGAATAGTACCATTTGCTGGCCCTAAATGGAGTTTTCTCACCACAGGAACAACATAAATATAGGTGGAGTAGGTATTTTAGATTGCTTGACGACAAGCTCAATGCTTGCAAGCATTAAAATTAGATTCTTAGTCATAGGACTATATATCAAGTATAGTAATGGGGAGAATAGAATATATTGACCACAGAAAACCATTCCCAAAGACAAAAAGACTGAAAAAGTTGAATCTCTCTAAAGGTGGATCACACAACCATTTACAAATTACAAATTTTAACACCATTTACTATCTGTTAAAAGTAATTTTCTTCCCCAGATGACTTATCACACTCTCCTCCAAAACTACAATACACACACTGAGAATGAAATGCATTAGTGCAATCATATCTGATCTCTCCAAGCTCAATACAGACCCAGGAATCAAGTTCCCTCCCCAAGAACTACAACCAATTTATTGACCAATTTGAAAGATCACTGGATGTTATTGACTAACTAAGCACTAACAGCTTTGAAACCCAACCTACTTACCAAAAAAAAAAAAAGCTTTGAAACCCAACCCACTTTTCTCCCTCCCCTGAAAAGTGTTATTATACTCCAGTAAGGTCAATTAAACTCCTTTTCTCATCCACCTCATCAAAAATCATGTTGCTTCCTTTCAATGAGGACCATTATTTGGCATATCCTGGATACTTCTAGAAATATATGCAAATTGAAGAGTAAAGACAGCATGATAAAGAAGAAAGCTTGGATTACTGCCCCTGTGTGTCTGGCGTGGTCCATTTTGGGGGAATGAAATGGGCAAACATTTTAAGGAGTGTAAATATCGCTCAATAGATTGAAAAATACTTTCTGGGGTGTTCTTTTTAGTCTGGTGACAGGGAGAATGAATCTCTCCATATCTCTTCATGGATTTTGAAAAGAATACAATTCATTTGTTTGCTTAGGGTATATAGGGCTTTTCCCTATTTTTGTCTACGCTGGGTGAACATATGGTGCGCCCTCCCTTTTGGCTCTTGTTAATGATATCACTTTGCATACTTATATATGTATGAGTGTCTATAAACATAAGTGATGACAATCAACCTCCAAAAAAAAAAAAAACTGCCAAACAGCTGTCAGCAAACTAATTTTATAGCTCCTCTCGGTAAGCAATTGCAGTCAATTCACAAACTATATGGGGCTTTTCGAAATCATAGTAAGTTAAATATTTATTTAAAAAATCTAACTAACTTCTGCTACAATTTTACTTCTTTTTTTTTTTGATAAGTAATAATAAATTAAAAAAGGCAATCAATAGGGGAACGCGTCCCATAGACATAAAGGAAACCGGGAACTAAGGCCCCAAAGAATTCAAAAAAGAAATTAAATCATCAGGAGAGGAACAGGATCTTCTGTTCACATAACTGAAGAGAGAACGAATAATAAAAAGTTTCAGTGTCGCTGTAGACGACTCCTTTCCGTCAAACATTCTACTATTTCTCTCCCTCCAAATGCACCACCGAATACAATGCGGTGCAGATCTCCAATAATCACGAACACTTCTACCCACACGACAACCTCTCCAAGCATGAATCAACTCTTTAGTAGAACGTGGCATTACCCAATACATGCCAAAAAGCCCAAGAATAAGATTCCAACAGTCATGCGCTACAGAACAATGCATTAGGAGATGATCAACTGACTCCCCATTCTGCTTACATATGCAACACCAATTAACAAAATAATTTCTCCTTTTCCTCAAATTATCGATCGTCAGAATCTTACCCCAAACGGCAGTCCATACAAAAAAAGCTACCCTAGTAAGAGCCATAGAACACCAAATAGTCTTCCATGGAAAATCAGAGGGTGCAAAATTAGACAAACATAAGAACAAAGACCTTACTTCAAAACGACCGTGAGAAGAGGGAATCCAAATCAAATTGTCATAACCCCTGCCAATTCCTTCCTGCCGATACAATTGATCCAAGAAAATGCTCACATCATCTAACTCCCAATCTTGAAAAGAATGCCGAAAAAGAACATTCCACGCAATTCCACTATTATCAAGCTGATAACAGCATGTCTATCAACTGCAATACTGAATAATCTAACGAAAGTACGACATAAAGGCTGATGTCCACACCAAAGATCTTCCCAAAAACGAACGCGACTGCCATCACGAACTTTAAATCTAACATGAGGAAAAAAGGCATCCCATCCTTTCCGAATGGATTTCCAAGCCCCAACTCCTCCCGCAATAGAAACCGGACGTGTAGTCCATCCTCCAACATCATCCCCATACCTGTAGGAAACTAATCTACGCCAAGGGTGATGAGTTTCCTTCCCGTATCGCCACAACCACTTACCCAAAAGGGCTTGATTAAAAGGAATCAATCGTCTAATACCGAGACCCCCAGTTTTATAGGCTTGCAGACTTGCTCTCATCGAACATGGTGATACTTGAACTCTTCTCCCCTTCCTCCCCAAAGGAAATTCCGTTGAATTTGTTCAATTCTATCAGCAACGGAACATGGGATTTGGACCATAGAAAGAAAATAAGTGGGAAGGCTTGATAAAGTGCTCTTGATAAGAGTAACTTTACCCCCCTTTGACAAATATTGCTTCTTCCAACCTGCCAATCTCTTTGCATACCTATCAATCACAGAATCCCAACTCCCCACTAATCTGGGAGAAACCCCTAGGGGCAAACCCAAATAAGAATAGGAAAAGAACTCACTCTACACCCAAGAACTGCAGCAAGAGAAGAGATGTCCTGTACATTCCCAACCGGAACAAGCACACTCTTGGCCACATTAACCTTTAGCCCGGAAACTGCCTGAAAGCAAGCCAGAATACATCTCAAATATCTAAGTTGAGACACTTCTGCATCACAAAAAACCAGAGTGTCATCTGCAAATAACAAATGAGAAATCTCCACCTGATTTGCAATATCTTTTCCCACCCGAAATCCTTTGATGAGACCAAGATTCTCTGCCCAGCGCATAAGTCTGCTTAAACCCTCCATAGCAATAAGGAAAAGAAAAGAGGACAAAGGATCACCTTGTCTTATACCCCGAGAGCACCCAAAAAAGCCGGCTGGAGAACCATTCACAAGAATTGAGAACTTAACAGACGATAAACATGTCTGAATCCATGTCCTCCATCTACTTCCAAATCCCTTTCTTTGAAGCAAGTAGAGAAGGAAATTCCAATTAACATGATCATAAGCTTTCTCAATATCAAGTTTACACAGAACTCCAGGAACACCATTACGCAACCTTGAATCCACACATTCACCGGCGATAAGAACGGAATCAAGAATTTGCCTACCTCCAACAAAGGCATTCTGGAAATCTGAAATAATCCCATCCATAACTTCTCGCATTCTTTGAGCAAGCACCTTAGCTATGAGTTTGTAAATACAACCCACTAAGCTAATAGGACGAAAATCCTTAATATCTGAAGCATTTCCTTTCTTAGGGATGAGGGCAATAAACGATGCATTAAGCGATTTCTCAAATACACCTGTAGAATGAAACTCCTGAAAGGTGCTCATCACTTCATTTTTCACAACTGCCCAACTTTCCAACAAGAAGCGCATAGTAAACCCGTCAGGCCCCGGGGCTTTATACCCATTGCAACTGGATAATGCCTTTAGGACTTCTTCTTCAGTAAAAGGAAGCTCTAGTCCATCTCTCTCCATCTCAGAAATAGCCTCAAAATGAAGACCATCAAGCTTGGGTCGCCAACCTAAAGGTTCTGTATAAAGTTTCTGATAAAAAGAAACAATCCCGCTACGCACCTCTTCCTCCCTCCACAAATCCACACCTTCCACCCGTATACGTCCTATGTGATTACTCCTTCTGTGGGCGTTAGCAAGTCTGTGGAAAAATTTTGTATTACGGTCTCCCTCTTTCAACCAAAGAGCGCGGGATTTTTGTCGCCACGAAATCTCCTCCATACAAACAATCTCAGCTAGAGCTGCCTGACAGGAAACTCTCCCAGAACAAAGAGACTCCATATTCCCACCCGCCTCCTCTAGCCGATCAATCTCAGAAATATCAGCAAAGATTCTATTCTTCCTCCATTCAAGATTCCCAAAAACGTCCTTATTCCACTGCTTAAGAGCAAGTTTGAGAGCTCTTTGTTTCTAAGTTAATATGAAGCTGGGAGCACCTGAAACAAACGCTCCCTCCCACCATGAACGAACTGTCCCTTGGAAGTTCTCCGCTCTCAACCACATATTCTCAAAACGGAATGGCGTTTTCCGAGAATACAAACCCCCACAATCCAACACTAAAGGAACATGATCAGAGGTAACCCTTTCTAATGCCGCCTAAACAACATCTGGGAATTTTTCTTCCCACACCCCAGAGATCAAAAATCTATCCAATCTTGAAAGAGTAACTGGGTCTCTACCACTAGACCAAGTATAGGTTGCACCTTCCATTGGTAAATCAATAAGAAGGTGCTCATCAATGAAGTCAAAAAACTGATCCATGTCTAGTGACCTTCTTCCCCCAGTAGACCTCTCTGACGGGAACCTGACTAAATTAAAATCCCCGCCCAAACACCAAGGTAAAAAGCATAGACCTTGAACGTGGCTTAATTCCTCCCATAAAATGGGCCTGTCAATATCAACGACCGGTCCATAAACCCCAGAAAAGAGCCACCTGAAATTATCCTCTTCCAACTGAAACTCACAAGAAACAGAAAATCTCCCCTTCCACACATTCATTCTGGACAATTACCTACTATCCCACATAACTAAGATACCACCCGAAGAACCTATAGCATCCAAAGCCTCCCATTCCACAAACCTTCCTCCCCACAAACTTCTAACCACCCCGTCAGTAATGGATGCCATCTTAGTTTCTTGCAAACAAACAACCTGAGCCCCCCACTTCCTTAAAGCTACCTTCACCACGCTTCTCTTATTCGGGTCATTGAGACCACGAACATTCCATATAATGATTATGGAAAAGTGAAATACAGAGCTCTTTTTTTCAATTTTGTGGGATATATAGTGTAGACACCTTCCAAAGAGACAAGCTGTTGATACAAGCAATGTTCATATGAAAAGCCATTTAGGCTCGATTTTAGATGAAGAAACTGCAATGTCTAAACACAAAGGGAAAACTCAAGAACACAAAACAACCAGAGTCATCCGTAAATCACTAAGTTCACTAACATTGTGGAGGGAAATTTCAATCTTTCTATAGGACAAGCTGGCAAGAAACAGCATATTACACCATTTATACAAGGATAAAGTTAAATAATATCACTTACAGAAGGCGTCAGGCAGAATATAGTTGCCCAATTGTACTCATGGTCATTTCCCAACCACAGTGCCTTTATTTATTATTGCAATGGACACAAAATACTCCTTCCGTCCCATTTTAATTGTCCCTTTTTGGGAACTTAACTTCTTAAGATAATGACTTTTAGTGTTTTTTAATTGTATTAGTAGTGAATGAATTACCAAATCTACCCACATTGGGTCCACAGTGATGTGATGATCTTCAATGCAAGAAGGTTAAATCGGTAATGTTACAAAAAATAGTACATTCACTTTTCAATTGGGACAATTATTTTGGGACGCCTAAAAATGGAAAGTTGAACACTTATTGTGGGCCAGAGGGAGCAATAATGAAGCACATATACAGCAAGAACAATCCACCATTTCAAAGATTGATTAGAAGACAACTATACCTGAAGAAGATAACCATGTAGCCAATCCAGTGTCTGTGGGAATGTCGTAGCTGATATGTTAACAACTGTTAAACCCTGTTCTTCGGAATAGGAAAAAAGACTTACCATTATTTTTGTCATCCTAACCAAATTCCAGCAATCTAACTGTTATTGATATCCTGCATTTCACTACAATGGTATTTTTTTATTTGATTTTATTTTTGATAAGTAAAAATGCATTAGAAAGCGTTCAAAAGGGGAACACATCCCACTACAATGGTATTTATGATATAGAGTTCTGATCTCTTGCTCAACGGGGAGCAAGAGATTTTATCCACACCTTTCATAGTGACAGTTAGATTAAATCTGACGGTCACATTCCAAACCAACTTGTCTCCTTTCCAAATATAACAAAACCACTATCTCCCTATTTTTAATTTCCAAAATTAATATTACCAATACCATCCAGCGTCAAAATAAAAGGTAATTACCAAAAATAAATAAATAAATAAATAACTATTTTCAAACCTTTGTCCTATGGAACTTTAAAATAAAACTTCAATAATCCATATGCTCTTCCAGTTTTATGACAATTTGCAATCAAAATTTTAAATTTTGGGGAAGGAAAACAACTAAAACGGAAACCTATTAATTTATTTCAATAATGTTTTGATTCTCCTTAATATTTTATCTTAATAGACCTTATTAGACTCAACAACACCAATTCATGCTATAAAAGAGGCAGCCTTATTGATTGACCTCAAGTATTAAAGAGATAAAAAAAAATACTCCCTAATAATAAAAAGCAAACCATGACTAACTATGGAGCCCTTTATGAAGAGCATATGAATGTTGAAGTTTTTTGAAGCTCTGCACGACAAAGGCTTGAAAATTGTCGTTGATATTTTTTGGATAATTACCGTTTATTTTTATGATGGTATTGGTAATATGTGTTAATTTTGGAAATTTATAATAGGGAGAGTGGTTTTGTAATATTTGGTAAGGAGATGAGTGGTCCTCAATATGACCGTTAGAATATGACCGTCAGATATAATCTAACGGTCACTATAAAAGGTGTGAATAAAATTTCTTGCTCCTCGTTGAGCAAGAGATCAGGATTCTTACGATATATAACCTAACAGTGCATCAACAAAGAGTGGAGGTTCATGGTCATGGGCACTTCCAGAAAACAATAATGAGATAGGATCAGTGCTCTTTAAATTATATATTTGCACCAATTCGCAAGGGAGGGAAAGTGAATGAAGAGATGAGCATACCTGTGACTTGAATGAGCAAAGATAATCCTGAATGGTTTTTAAGTTGCTTATTAGCTTATCTTTATCCTGGAAGTGAAAGGTCAAGAAAGAAAAATCTTGTTTAAGTGCATGGACATCATTTAAGTTCACTCACTCTAAAAATTAACGATAGTGTGTCAGTGACAGAGAATAAAGAAAATAGAAATGTGCATTTTAGAATTTTTTTTTTTTTTTTTAAAAGACAAAGGTTAGTTTAACCATTATAATTTGAAGGAAAAGAAAAAAATAAATAAATAAAAGACATGATTAGTTTAGGAAATTGGCATGCCCCACCACTGATGAGAACAAATGGAACCTAGAATTCTATATTTAAAATACAGACAAATTTATGTGTTCAATCAAAACTATGTTCATGCTCAAATGTATTAAACTAACATGGACATATGATATATCAAACTGCTCACTGTCTAGGCTTTGGGAAGTAGTCATGTCCAAGAACATGGACCTTTACACTTAATCAATGATTTGAAATCAGAAAAACTGGGCCAATTGAACAGGATCTGACCAATATCTGCCATCTGTTTGGTTCAATTCTACCAATTATCATAAAAATCAATTATACCAGCAATAACTGGGCAGGTTGATTGAGCCCGGCAGTTCAGCACGAGTTTGTTGAGTTTTGACAAGCATAAGAATTTACAAATAAATGAAACCTTAAAATTCAAAATTAGGAACAGAAATGTCTTGTGGATGTGAGCTGCACAAGACACTTGAACCAAACTTCCGCAACATTTTTTTTCACTAAAATTATTTTTATTATTATTATTTTTCTGTTCAAATACATTATCCAGACATTGTAAACACGTTAAAGGAAAACAAATAAATGTCAAAACTCAGAAGGCAAATATCATGATTGATGACACATTCAATCTAGTGAAATTAAAAACCAGAAGAAATTACAATTTCGATCACAAGTTGATAGCTATTGATAACCATGATAAGTAAATTTTAATACCTGGATTAAATTTTTGTCGCTGAACGTATGAGTGGAAATCCATTCCTCTAGTAATGCCTGCACATGAGAGGACAAGATTGACAAAATAAATGAAAGCATAAAAAAGAGCGAAGAGATAATCTAGGAAAATAGGACAATATCTGATAAAAAGGTGAAGCTAATATCAATTAGTTGCAGCAAGAAAATCACAAGATCTCAAGAATCAAGAGAGGAAACCAACAGAAAAAAATACGAAAACAAAAATACTAAGATTTGGTTTCAAAATTATATCTCAGTGATAATACTAAAATGACGGGTACTAGAAAAGAATGGAAACAGAGAATTCATGTGGCCGACCCCATTCATATGGGGATTAAGGCAAAGATGATGATGATTTCAGTAATACTACTATCTAACTATTCCTCTCTCTTGGTAGGAATGGAGAACAATTTATCCAGCCACTACAAAACATTCATGACCACAGACCACCAGCTAATACCAAGAGGGTAAGTTCTAAAAGATCTGAAATCCCAGATAGAGGTATCATGATGATACTCGAATCCATTTTAACCATCCCTCCCTCTATTTCTACAGGGATTGAGAAAAATTTATCCAGCCACTTTAAACATTCATGACCACCAGCTAATATGCAACGCATAGGTTCTAAAAGATGTGAAGTGCTCTCATTCCCCCATTCCTAATATTCTCGGCCACTGCTAAGCACACCTGTCATAACAATATTTATTGTTTATTTTATATTGACTATGTGCCTAATGCCACGATTTAACCGATCACTTATGCAACAATTAATGATAACATAAGTTGGAATAGTATTTCCAAAATAAAGACGGTTATCCATTCTATTCCTTTCTAAAATCAACTTCTTTCCACTTATTTTCTGCCAAAACACATTCTGATTAACTATTTCACTTACTTAACAAAAAACATTTTTCCCAACTACTTGGGGTCAGCTACATGAATCCTATGTTTCTATTCTGCTCTGTCTAATGCTATAGCCTCAGTCAAACCACGAGCTATCATATCCTTCTTTACTAACTCTACCCACGTTAACTTTGGTCTTCCTCTTCCCCTATTATTACCCTCAATGGGGACTATGCCACCCTTTCTAACCGGCACAGCAAAAGGTCTTCTTTGCACATGTCCAAACTATTTTAACCGATTTTCTCTCATTTTATCTCCAATTTGTGCTACTCCAAGTCTCTAACCATCAACTCTTTGAAAAAAAAATAGAAATACTCATTTTACTCGCCAAAATGAAAAGAGATGGTTACCCATTTTCTTCCTTTCTAAAATCAACTTATTCAGTTCTCCTCCTTTTCTGCCATGATATCGTATTCCGATGGTAACTCTCTTATAGAAAAAGAAAAACTCATTTTACATGCCAAAATGAAAATGAAGCAACATAGGCTTAAATGTTGATTGATAAAACTGAAAATCAAGTACCAAAAACTTAAGAACTAAATTTTAAGTTCTGAAATTCTAAGGGTTAAATGTAAAATGAGAACTTCTTTGTTATTTGTTTGAATTTTAAGTGTTCAGTGTTTATTGGTTACTGAAGTCTCCCTCACTTAAAATGTTACCCTGTTCTAAGTGTAACTTGTTCTTTCAAATGGCATCCAAATTGTGTTATCAAACTCACTTAATTGAATATCACTTAATTTGTTCAAAATGAAGCACTGAATTGAGTATCATTATCAGGAAGCACCTTAACCTTTTCAATGGATTACAACAATAAAACAAAAAAGCAGTCATGTGAAAGAGAAATTCAGCGCACCTTATGATCAAATTCAGCCATCTTTAGAACTATAGGTACAATAATTGATTCAGTACCAGACTTCTCTTTCCTGACAGGAAGATTTCTATTTGTCTCTGGATCTTTAAGTGATTCATCTGCATGGCCAGAAAAGTAGTTAAAGGGCTGCAATTCTCCGCAGTTGCACATTTCACTCAATTCTAGTCAAAGAAGAGAAATCTGACATATGAGAGAAACATACTATGAGAGAGCCTAAAGCCTAAATGGAGAATTCGATATGTTGGCAGACTACAGAGTAAAAGTTAACCTTTATTCTCAGACACACTTTGAATAATGTTGATGGCTTCCAGATGATCTGAAACCTTATTCAACTGGTCAGGAGATATCCCTTTCTCTGACTTCACAGAAGAGCTGTTGCTATTCTCACTATGATTACCACAAACATCAGTAGATGCATTTTCCATTTGTGTTGCAATTTTATCATCTGACATCACAGGATTTGGCTCTCCATTTTTTTCTGGCTTGTTACTTTGTAATTTATTCTCATCATCCATTAGGTATATGCTAGGATCCAAATGTATTCCCTGCCATATCATTAAACAAACAAAAAATGCAGATCAATAAGACATAACTCTAAACTCAGACGCACCCAAGATTCATGATAATACTGAAGACTTATTTGTTATTGATTCTGTAGACAAATAATAAAATATATAAAGTGAGTAGAGAAATTTGGATCTTTGTGTACCTATTAGGTCAATAGGACTTATGTTGGCAACTTTTGTTTTAATTTCTAGTTTAGATTAGAAATTTCAGAAGTTAGTGTTAGTTGATTATCCCTACTCAAGGTTGAAGAAGGAATTCGAGCTACATTCAAAGGTATATGCATAATCTTCTTCCACAAGGGTAAAAAGTAATTTAACACATTTATTCACTCACCAAAATTAGGTCTGATGAATTTATAATTAGGGTCTCTAAGTTTACTTGGTTTGATCTTATCTGATTCCCTAAATATTTTGAAAACGTGCATAAAAGATTTTCTGGGAACTTCCTTTCTGAATTTTTTAATTATTAAACTGCAGTAGACTTCGATCGATCGAGGTTTTGATCAAGGGCTGCTGGAGTTGTGTCAATTAATCGAGCATTGCAAAAAAACAGTTTCCAAATTGAATTAAAACTTTGGTTGATCAAGGTTTCGATCGAGGGCTACTGGAGTTGTGTCAATTATTCTCTCTATACTTCTATTTTGCCAATATATATATATATATATATATAATGCTTGGGCATAATACATATCATCTAGAATACATACAGAGAGTTATATTGTAAACCTTTTAGAGTTGCGTCAATATTTTTGTGTATTGACATTTATCAATGCATACCACAATCAGAGAGTTCAACACAATATTCAATCCAGCATCAGAGATTGAAGGGGACAACTAGCGGCTAAGGCTAAATCACTGAAGGAGAAGCAGATTCGTGAGGAGCAAAGTCTGTTGACCAGCAGACGGATAGCCTGGAGACTTTTGGTGAAAAGATCCTCATCAGTCTATGTGGAGGAATATAGGGATCTCTAGAGTTTAGGGAACTGTAACCTAGGTTTTAAACATTCTTTCTCATAGTGAATTTGGTTTTGCCTGGACTAGGTCCCGTGGTTTTTCTACTTTGGGATTTTCCGCGTAAAAATCTGTGTCTATTGATTTATTGCTTTATCTGTTTATTGCATGTTATAGATTGAATGCTTCTTACTTTTCTGCTATGAATTGAATTTAAACTTTATATAATAACGAAGTTGTTAAAGATCAGTAATCCAACCTACAAGACATATTCACGCACTCCTCTAAGTCTAGATCACGGGCCTTGCGCAACTCTCTACCAGAGTCTCAGGCTCCGTTCCTAACAATCAGTACCATACATGCTCTTTATGTACCGAAAAATTATACAGTTTCCATGCTCTTTTTGTTCCATGCATTCCACTCCTTAGCTAACTTGTAGCATTTAGTGTTTTTATTGTCTTTCACTTTTCATTTTTAATTCATTTTGTTACCTTGCATAATTGTCTCCTATTTGCTTCTTTATATATTCTTGGAAGGGACATCTCCTTCAAGATTTTTCTTCTCCTCCATAGTCCACGGTAAGAACTTTGTTTCTTATACACACATGTACACATGAATACGAATATGATAATCTTAAATAATTTAATTCCACATAAAGAAGACACGATGATATTTCAACAATATCTTACTAACTTGTCTAAGTCTTTGGTGAAAAGTGCTTGTAGTTGTATACATGTTTACTTCAGTATGACAAATGGATTCAAGTTCCTATATATCAGATTCAATGTATGCCAAATGCTGCAAATGTATCAAGCGTATGGATTTCTACTCACATTAAAAATAAAACCATTTGTGGTCTATACATATATTAAGATTAGCCATTCTATACAATTTCATTAAATAACAGAGCAGAAAAGAAGAACTAAGTGTTATAAGTAAATAATAAGTAAGAAGGGAAAATTAAGAAGGGAAATATAAATATGTGGAAAAATAAGACCTACAATGCAGCTATTTGTCTGCTTAACTGTACCTCAATAATAATCGGTTTTCCATCTTTCATAGCTTTCTTTAAATCACCAGCCAAACCTAGAAGGACAAGCAAGTTAAATGACATAAATTAGGTTACTTAAAAATGCTCCCAAAAAGTTAAAACTATACTCATTCTCCATTGGTAGTTATGAATTACCTTTTCTTACTATTCTACATTCTCTACAAAATTCAGTAATTAATTCCTCAGACGAGCTGAAGTCTCGTGCCCATACAGGGGAAGAAGTCAATGGTGCACTGAATATGAGACAAACAATAGCATAAGCAGTCTGGTGCAAAATATAGGACTCATATGTAGTTTAACTGTAGGAGCCACACTTTAAGGCAAGTAAAATTTGTCACGAGGGTGAACCAGATTGGAGAAAAGAATAATCTTTCCAGTAACATAAGAAAAATGAAATCCAACTGAAGATGCAAGGACAAACTATAAAGTCACCCACCCAAATCAAAACTTAAAATGAGAAATCATCTTAAAAGACAAAAAATGAGCAAGTCATTGAACATGGGAAAGTGTTTTTTTTTTTAATTTATAGATATCATGCTTTGAAATACATTCTCAGACAGATATGCTTGAACAATGCACATCTCATTCATGCAATGCAATTACCCCCATATGATTACTGTATAACACAGGTCAGTAGGTCACCCTTCGTCAGGTAAATGTGCCAATGACTTGCAAAAAACCACATTTATATTGTCACTGTATATTTCTAGGGTCATAGTTTTTCAGCCAACGCAAATTAGCTGGTCAATTATGCATTACTGCAAATGGCAGTGGTGGCTAACATCTTTCTAAGGAAAGGCAAGAAAGTAAATTTCCTCAATGATATATATGGCTCAAATCCTCTGCAAATTGCAAAATGAGTTTTCTGCAATGAAGAAAATTTCTGCACTCTGTGCTTACACTATTGCACCTTTTTAAATTTAATTATTGTTTGCTCCAATATGAAGTATCATCTATCAAAAAAGAAAATCATGAAAAGCACTTCGAGACTTGCAGGATTGCAGAAATATGGACCTGTTCTTTTCATATTTGGGCAGTTAATTTTCTGTCTAAAATACTTATCCCAAAAATAAATAATAATTATTATAATTATTATTATTAAAATATATTAAAAAATCTGTCTAAAATAACCTTCTTATAGTTTGAACCGCATATCAAATAATCAAGAACAAAAGGAACCAAACGTGTTACATACTCTGTTGATGTGCGCAACAATTCGTATACCATATCTGTCTGTAACAGAAGAAACAATGTAAAGGCATCAATACACAACTTAGAACATACGTAAAGCATGCATGAGTGTGGCTGGGTGTATGTGCGTGGGAGTGTGTGTGAGTGTTGGGGGGGGGGGGGGGGGGGGGAGAGAATATGAAAGATACCTTCAAGACATTTGGCAAGTTTAGCCTTTGCGCAAGTTGGGTAGCAATGGTAGACTTCCCAACAGAGGCAGTACCACATACAAGAATAACCAATGGTACTCTTTGATGATGAAATCTAAAAAGAAGGTGATGAAGAGAAGCAACATTATAATACAATGCAGCATTTTTTTTTTCTTTTTACTATATTTAATTAGTAAATGTTCCTCTTTTTTTGAAAGAATATGAGAATTAATGTTGGTTTAACCATCTTCCAGGCATTAGGAAAAATAAAAATGTTCCTGATAAATCCAGCATGATTCTTCATGGTTAGATTTGTAGCATAATAGTTTGAAAGACAACAAATCCATTAACTAATTTAAGGTTAGACCTGGTGGGTAACAAATTGTGGCAAAGAATAAATAAAAAGTATAAAACGCATCATAAACTATCTTACTAGAACTTAACCAAGGAAAACTACAAATTCAACCACGTTTCCAAACTAGGAGTACCAAAACATATATAAGATTAATGCTAAATTATTAAAACTCAATAATTTTTTCAATCTAATTATTTTTTGTTAAATACACAACATTTGGACAAAATTATAAAACAACGATAAACATATATACTTGACCAATGCTAGTCCATTTAATATTTATCTTTTTCTTTTCTGGAAAAACCAAAAATTCTTTATTTGTTTCAGTTAGCTGGCACAATCCAGTTTCATGCTATTGTATGGCAATACAAATCTTGTCCCACAGTCCCAGGAAAAAATACCATCTCAGCAAGGCTAAGACAGAGATAGTAAAGCAGATAGTCACAATCTCCACAAACACTGTAAACCATAGTTATGACTACCACTAATGTGTGATGACACCAGCACGACAAGCCTATATGGAATAACCAGAACCCTCTTACAGATTGGGCACAGAGTCACTTATAATCATGTCTTACATAACTTCCACTTGGAGCATAACCAGCTCATACTTGCCATTCCTTAGTAATCCAGTAAATGTAAATCATAGGATTGGTTTATGGAAATAAAATAAGCAGTACATAAGCAGCTAACAAGAGAAATAAAGATCATTTAGTTGCGTGTACCAATTTTCATTTTTCAGCAAGAAGAAAACAAGTAGGTGGAGCACAACAGCAGGCTGCAAACAATAAAAAAGAACACGAAACCAAGAGAAGGAAAAGTATAGGCTAAGAAGCACGGACACTCCAAAATGGGCGAAGAATCCGAGTCCGACACGTGTCGGACACGGACACGAGTCGGACACGCCCCGACACGTGTCGGACACGCCAAAAAACGTGTCTGGAATTTTTTTATTTTTTTTTATTTTCGAACACGGCTCGGACACGGCTTGGACACAGCACAGACACGGCTCAGACAGCTCGGACACGGCTCGGACAGCTCGGACACGGCTCAGACACGGCTCGGACACACTTTTCTGGATTTTTTTTTTTTTTTTTTTATTTTTAATGCTGATATGTTAATTTTTTTTTTTTTTTTTTTAAATTTTTAATGCTGATATGTTCTATTTTTTGTTTTGTACTACCCTAAAGATGGTGATATATATATATATACTAACCTAAAGATGCCACAATTCGCCGTGTCCGTGTCCTAAAGATGCTGATATATATATATACTAACATATCAGTGATATATATATATATTCCAACCTAAACATATCAGTGTTTTTTTTTTTAATTATTAATGCTGATATATATATATATATACTATTTGCCGTGTCCGTGTCCTAATTTTTTTGGATTTGCCGTGTCGCTGTGTCCGTGTCGTGTCGTATCCGTGTCCCGTATCCGTGTCCGTGCTTCTTAGAGTATAGGTACCAGTCAACAAAGTGAACATTGATTTTCATACAAAAAAAAAAATAAGGCATTAAGCAGTTTCAAATAGCTAGTTTTCATTGTCAGTTTACAAAGTGGACATCACGGGCATAGGAGACAACTACTAAAAAAACTTACTGACCTTGTCATCATCTTATAACGGTTTATATACTCTTCACCATAACCCCGCCGCTCCATAAGCTGCACATAAGAGTCCCATGATAAGGTCCCATTCAATTACATCTGCTCTCTATAAAATCTAGAAAGTGCTCTAACAGGGTTATCATTCTATTGCATTCGTATAAAATAGCAAGAACTACAGTATAAAAATGTGTATGAAGACGTGGAAATTCCACTTTCTTCCATTTTTCAGAGATCTATCCCATAACTTATCCGCATAATTATCCAAATTATCTATCACAATCTCATCCACAAATAGTCCTCATTGTTACCCCACCACCAAAGCAACATGCAATACAGTATTCTTCACAAACAACATATTAGGAATACGATAAGGAATGCAAACAGGTAGTGTTACGATAAACAGAGAGAACCCAAGAAACAATCACGAAGCACGATAGAAAATAAACACGCCACACAAAGAACACAAAGATCTACGTGGTTTGGCAAAACCTACATCCACGGTAAAGATCCGGTGAGAGAATTCACTATGCGAAAATCATTACAAGTTTCAGCCCCCAAGCCCTAGCTGACGTAGCGGAAGCGATAAAAGAGTTCACAAGGAACGGGGGTTATCTTGAATCCACAAGATAGATAATTTGAATCCACAAACAAAAAGAAAAATCACCGGGAATTTTGATATATTATTGATAAAACTGATTGATTCCTTCTGCTCTCGCAATACATCGTATTTATAATAAATAAAACCCTAAAACTGTAAAGGACACTAATAGCTAAAAGAAACTAATTCCTTAAGTAAACTAAAAATACAAGGAAATCTAAGAAAACTAAAAATATAAGAAAATTACCTAAAACTAAAAACTCTCTTCAAAATATAAAATAAAAATAAATAAATAAACCTAATTAAAAAAATTACTAAAATATGTCCTACATCAGTACCTTCAACTTCAAGAAAACTAGTCCTCGAGTTTCACTTCGGTTCATCATATATGATTATGAACAAAATTTTGTACCATTGACTATTTTTTTTTTTTTTTATAAGTAATAATCGATTAGAAAAGCGTTCAAAAGGGGGAACGCGTTCCTAATACAAAAAACGAAAGCTAAACCTAAGGACCTATAGAGTCCAAAAGATCAACTAAGTCGTCAGTAGAGGAGCAAGTACTTCCTTTCACATAACAAAAAAATAGAGTGAAGAATATAAAGTTTCAAGGTCGCCAAAGGCGATTCCTTTCCTTCGAAAATTCTACTATTCCTCTCTTTCCATATGCACCACCAAACACAATGTAGAACAATCCTCCAATAATTGCGAGCGTGGCTTCTCACTGGGCATCCTCTCCACGCGTTAATCAGTCCTTTGGAAGACTGAGGCACTACAAAATGTACGCAAATATGCCGAAGATGAGGTTCCAATAATCGTACGCCATAGGACAGTGCATAAGAATGTGATCCACAGACTCACCGTCTCGTTTGCATAGACCACCAATTAACGATAATGTTGCCGCTCTTTCTCAAGTTGTCCAACATCAAGATCTTACCCCAGACGGCAGTCCAAACAAAGAATGCTACTCTAAGTGGAGCCTTAAAGTGCCATATAGTCTTCCATGGGAAAGCAAGACCAACGAAGTTGGAAAGACATAGGAACATGGACCGAACACCAAATCTTCCATGGGAGGAAGGAACTCACAAAATGTCATCACTATCTCTGCTAACTTCCTCCTGCTGATACAACATATCCAGAAAGGCACATACCTCATCCATCTCCTAATCCTGAAAAGAACACCTAAAACGCACGTCCCGCGTAATCCCACTACTATCAAGCCAATAACAGTCAGCTACACAAGCGTGTCTATCTTCGGCTATACTATAAAGTCTAGGAAAGGAGCAAGAAAACAACTAATCTCCACACCATAAATCCTCCCAAAAGCGGACACACCTACCATCACGAACCTTGAATCTGATATGGGAAGAGAAGACATCCCAACCTTTCCGAATGAATTTCTACACGCTGACGCCTCCCGCAACAGGATGTGGATAGACAGGAACATAACCCAAATTCGGTTGGCTACGAAACACATCATCAGCGCAAACTCGAACTGAACCACGAACCTAGTTGCCACCAATCCCAAAACCAGTTGTTACAACCCAATCTTAAGTATGCATGGCTGCCCAAGGGGCCTTTACTCTGCGATCATCGTCGACAAAGTGGTTGCTACCAAAACGAGCAATCGTTATCAGTCCAGGGTAAATCAAGTCTTTGATACCAACTAACGTAAGCGGAAGCGATTAAAGCATTCACAAGAACGGGAGTTATCTTGAATCCACAAGATAGGTAGTTTGAATCCACAAACAAAAAGAAAATTCACGGGAAATTTTGATATATTATTGATAAAATTGATTGATTCCTTCTGCTCTCGCAGTACATCATATTTATAATAAATAAAACCCCAAAACTGTAAAGGAAACTAATAGCTAAACGAAACTAATTGCTTAAGTAAACTAAAAATACAAGGAAATCTAATATAAGAAAACTAAAAATATAAGAAAATTATCTAAAACTAAAAACTCTCTAAAAATATAAAATAAAAATAAATAAATAAACCTAATTAAAAAAACTACTAAAATATGTCCTACATCACTAGCTCTTGCTCTCACTATCTTTTCTGCAATTTTCAATGTCTCTCAATGTCCCACTCCAAACCCTAAATGCCCTTATACAACGGGCTACAAGAGAGTACTAACTAAGGTCCACAACCCGCAAGCCAAAAAAAGTGATCCGGAACCAAACCGTGAGCTGCATATATAGTCATAAAAGTCATTATAATTCAAAAACCGTGAGCCATCTACCTTTAGTGGTATATCCCCACCCCATAAGGAGGAGACGCAATGTTGAAGTCCAGGGTATGTGGTCATTTAAAAAAAATGACGTGTGTATGTGCATGCAGATCATATTAATTTTGGAAAGAAAAAAAAGGCTGCCTATTTGCCAAATCAACTGCTACTGTGAGCAGTTGTATCAGTTGCTTTTGTAGTTGTACACTACTTTGGCCAAAAAAAAAAAAAGCTCGTGCAACATGCCTGTAGTTGCATAATGCACGCTAACTACTCTAAAAACATTAATATGCGGAAATTTGGGGTCAAAACATTTTCTTAATCAGGCAAAAAGTATATAAATAAAAAATTAATCACAGATTTGGTCCAATTATTTGTAAATGTCATCAGTTACTCCTGACACCCCCAACTAAAACCGCGAATTCGTAACATGCCTAACAAAAATTCTAACAATTAAGAATCTCTTTTTCAACAGTTTATTACTGATCAGCTAAAGTTGATGCACTATTAGAAAGTATCACTGCCTGTTCCAATGGCAGTATTAGCCAGCAATTACCCGTATGATATCAAAACACTTAACAGTGAAGAGAGATAGAAAGCTTTATAACATATTTCTGGATGTAAGAAGAATTTGGCAGTGTGTAAAATAAATGAAACAATGTTCTGTCAGCTTTAATGTTGACGTGATCCTTTTCTTCTTTTTCCACTCCAACGTTATGGACTACACAAATGACAGGTTATCCCTTCCCCCATTCATACCCCCCAAAAAATCCATATACCTACCAGAACTTACACCTTTCAAAATTATGTTAATGAGAAAGTACTTGAATTATTAGGTACCTAGAAAGTCTTCGCTCAACCATGGTGAAGGCTTTGATGAACCTTGAGAAATATAGGACTTGCCTAAGCACCCCCCCTTGCTTCGTTATATTTATAAATGCCTTAATTTTTGCCTTTTTCCCATAAAATATATAATTACTTGCATTATGTAAAATTTTCGCTAACACAACTTTTTCCTAGAACTCATAAATTATACTAATCAGACAAAATGACAAGGAAGAGCAGGAATCCCACCTGAGCTAGACACTAAGCAGAAATGTTGTTTGATTGGGACATTGGAATTATCATTTTTGTGTCATATACAACGTAAGATTGCTTAGCTTTTAATTTACACATTAACCTAAATATTAGATTTATTAAAAAGACAACCAAATTCCAATAGAAATACCTTCTATTTCTTGGAATTGATAGAAAGAAGAATTGGAATAATAAAAACTGAATAAGATTTTTTTTTTCATAGTTGGTACTCACACACACATATCTCTACTGAGACTTGAACCCCTAACCTCCCTTTGGGAGGTAAGGGGTTGATACCGCTAGGCCACTAACCCGTTGGTAAAACTGAATAAGATATATGTGTGTGTGTGTGTGTGTGTGTATGTGTGTAATACAATAAAATGGGTGGAGAGAGAGAGAGAGGATTGCAGTACGTATTGCATACCTTGAACAAATTAGCTTCCAAATCAGATTGAGAACTGCAGAATAATAGAGAAATGCACATTAATTGAGAAAAATAAAATAAAAAATGCATAGCATAGCATGCAGGAAGAGACAAAAAGAAAGGATTAAAGAAAGAAAGGATGAGATATGATGCATACACGTCCAGAAGGCTATTGTCTATGAGCAGCTTTTTGAGTTCAAGAGCAATTTTAATAGCCACATGATTAGGAATCTGGAATCACAAAGTCATGATAAGTAACTACAAAGTCCCTTCTGATTACGAAGTGAAGAATAATATGAAATATTGGACTTCAAAATGGGAATAATTGACAAAAAGACCATCCACATATGTTAATAGGAACCCTCGAAAGCTAGAACACGTAAGGGGTACAACATAACCAAGGCAGCTTTGCCAGAATGAATTGTGGGATTTACAGACTTTATTAATCAACTAAAAATAATAATGCTTGATTGAGAATGCAAATTTGAGTAGCAGCCAGCCAGCCACTTTGTGCAAATAATGCAACAAGTTAAGTCTTTACCCAGCTTACACCAATCACTAGGCAACAGTGTTTTTTGATACGAACGTATTAAACTGTCTCCATTACACGAGAAACTTCATTATCTAAATTTGAGGAGAGTTATGCAATCCGCTTGATTAACAACTCGAATTTTACTTCTTGTTCACATTCTGGATTATTATTCTGTAAGATGAACTGTGACAAAGCGTTGAAATTTGATGCATATCCAATAAATTTTCATTTCTTCTTTCATTTTTCTTCTTACTTACTTTCTTCTTCACCCAAGCTAAGGCCTGTGGTTGTACATACGTATTTATATTATGTAACCCGAACAGACATGTAATTTGATTGCCTAATCCCAAACTGATTTCATTTATCAAACATAAGAAAATTAAATAGGAAGTGACTGAATCAGAGAGGCGTTTCGGACCTTAGTAACTGTCAACATTCTGCTGAGTAAAAATCTGGAGAGAACGTAGTAGTGATCGGCATTGTCACCCAACCATACCTTTACCTGGAACGACGGAAATAAACAAGTACATACATAGAATCAATTAATAAATGATCCAGTTCGAATTAGGGTTAGTTTTGTGCGAAATGATTGAAAAAAAGACCTTGACGAAATCGTATTTGGAGGAAGCATTTCGTGTTGAAAATCTAACGGAGGCCTTGGGGAAGTCTGTGTTGTTCTCTTCCCCCTCTGATTCTTCAAGACCTATGTTAGGGTTTTCTGTAACCAATCCCTTCCCCTTCTTCATTATCCTCTCTATCTCTCTCTATGCGCTTTTCTTTTTTGCAGACAGCGTAATCGCTAGGCGTGGACAAGTACCTGTAACTCGTCTGTCCCACAAAACCCGAGTGAAGCCGAGTCAGTCCTCTCTCTCACTTATTTTCGGACGAAGGTACATATGTAATATAGAGCTATTTCCTCAGGGCACAAATCCTCGGCCGTACGATTTCCATGCTATCAGTATTACGTGATCTTGACTCTGTTTTTCAATTACACTACCATTTATAAATAACATTTTACCACTATTTATAAGTAACATCACATGAGTCTAAAAGATGTGATTTTTTTTATTATTTTTAAAAACAACAAGTGTTTTGTTTGTTGTCTAAAGTTAATCAAAGTGATTTTAATTTTGGTTTAAATTATTTAAATTAACATGTTAAAGTGTTTTTAAAATACTTTAATTTCAAATTATAACATAAATGATATGTTGAATTAAGTTGCGTTTGTATGTGACATTACTTAATTTATATTATGTGTATACCTTATTTTATTTTGAGAGTGAAGATACTTATAAATGGTGGTAAATTGAGTTACGTTTGTATGTGACATTATACTTAGTCTGTATTATATGCAAACCTTATTTTAAGGGTGAAGATAGTTATAAATGATGGTAAAATGTTATTTATAAACGGTGATGTAATTGCCAAACACAATCTTAGTGTATATTAATTGAAGTAAAATGTGGCCAAACCAAGACCACTTAACACTTACTGCAGAAGACAGCATGGATATCATACAACAGAGAATTTGCGCCTCCTCAATTCCTTAGTTAGTGGATAGCTCAAATCTGATCCGAAATAAGTGTATTCGTGCTCAAGTCTCCTTAAATTAAAATATATTGGATGCGCTCCTCTTTTTGATGCACGATTTGCCGAGCATATCCAAACATTATTCTTAAATTGAGTATGGCAAATAAATTTATTTCATAGGAATTTGTATTCATGATGTAATTGTCTACCATTTTTTTAATGTAAATTTTCAACTAAATACTACTAAACATTTTATTTTATTTATTTATTTATTATTATAATTTTTTTTTTTTTGGTGAAATGCACTATTTCATAATTTATACCCATCAATAGATAACTTAGACATGAACAATTTTAGTGCATTTTAAAATAAAATTTGCTTCAAATCAAACTCCACCCAAAGTCCGGATCAATATTAAAAGTGTTTGATGCAACATAAAAGTTCGCTAGTAGCAATGTGGAGCTTCGAAGTCTTAAGCAATGACTGATCATTTGCCATGCATTTAGTATGCTAAATATCAACAGCATTTACAGAAATGAACTGCAGTCTTTTTTTTTGTACCTTTTTAGTATAAATGGAATACCGGTGCTAATAAATAACACACTAGTATGATAATTTTGTTCTCAACAAATTGAATGCAGGTAATCCAGAGACATCCACAATGGGAAATCCTTAAATTTTTACAAAAAATTACAAAGACTTCTTTTCCATGCTAGAAAAGAAGATATTCATATGATCCATCAACATACATGTCCAACTGTCCGAAATGCTAGAAAAGAAGATATTCATATGATCCATCAACATACATGTCCAACTGTCCGAAACGGACGACAGAATGATCAGTATGCTGGTACAGTATAGCAAAATATTTTTGCATCAGCTGAGTGATAATCATAGCAAGACCCTTTGTATCCACTGAATGGAGTTATGGTGTATATAATTTGGTGGAAGATTGGTTTGTAAGCATCGGGTAGGACTTCCAGTCCCATGTTATGACTATTATCCTTGCCTTCATCCCACATGAAAGGTGACCGCTTGCCTTCTGTCTCATGCAAGTCTCATGACTTCTTGAAAAATTTACTGCCTCTCTTTCCCATGCCAGTTCCCGCGAGACTTGACAAAAGACGAAATTTGGTATCAGGCCTCCATTTCAACTCCTTGAGCTCCGAGAACAGACTTGAAAGTGCAGGAGTGACTTCACTGTCCTTTATGTGGTTGCATGATACAACTTTGAGGCTTTGAAGCTCATTCCAAGAAAGAATTACAGACTCTAGACCTTGAGTTGTTAGAGATGTGCAGCTTTCTAAAGATAGGAACTTCACCCTCCTGAAAAGAAGATAAAGCCAGTGAGTTTCCTATCAAACAAAGTTAAAATAAACTGCAAAATATTAAGTACTTAGTGTTCTTGATTCAATGTAATAATCTGATTCTCATGAATTTGCTGTGCATGACCTTAATGATGTACATTTTTTTCCTTAACAGATAAATAGAAAGTGGTTAGTTCTTGAAAGTTAGGCAGCAAGAAGAGGCAAAGATGTGATTAGACATTGTTATAGCTCTACAGTAAATCATTGAATGAGAATGTAGATCTAATGGTTTCTAGAACAGACTGATTCTCAAATGCTCTCTCTCCGTGCGTTAGTGCAAAATTAGTTGCACCAAAATTATGCAGTCCTTATAATTTGAGAGAGCATTAGGGCTTCTATGATCAGCCATTTGAACAAAAGTTAATGCCAAAGCTGCCACAGTTTAAATCCGTATTTAACAACCCCCTCCCATTAAACTTGCATTGGCAAGAACCAACTGGATAATGACCTTTGGATCACTTCACAATTGCTTCAATTTCATTTATCCATCATACCAATCATACAAAGCTACAACAAGTATTACAGGGGTGGAATTTAGATGTCATAAGCATATAATAAAACCATACATCTGATCTAATCAGTAGTATAGCAGAAGTTTGTCTTAGTAAGAATGAAATATTACTGGTAATGGAAATAATTACAGTTCAATCAAGGAAGACATTCCTTCATACAAATTACAAAATTAAGAAAAAGGGCTAAAGTCCAATCCCAAATAGTTAGGAAAAAGTCTTGGTGGTTGTTATTGTAAGGAAAAAAAAAGGCTAAAGTAATGTTTAGTAGGAAGGAATGGACTCAAATGCCCATTTTTGCTTTGCATTCCCGATCATTGTCTGGTAAGCCAATGAAGTTGGAATCCACAACCCTCGCCACGAATATTCAAATTGACATTCCATTTCCGTCAAGGAATGATAACAAAAACTAAAACATAAAATTTACCAGGTCTGCAGCCAAATACTAAAATGGGAACTATGCAATTTCGACATCTTCTCCATTCCATATCATACTGCATTTAGTTGCTACTTTATTCCTTCCTGCATACAAACTTGTGCACATGATAATCCTCAATACCCTGAAAAGGGCCACTCTGCCTCTGACAGTTGTAACAATTACTAAATTCGTCCACATTATTATTACTTAGCAACATAAAGACAAGCAGCAAGAAGCAATACCAGACAACAAAAGTAAATGTGAACAACTTTTTTCCTTTTTGCTAAAAAATTATAGTAAAGGAAACAGAGTAAGAGAGCCCAATACCTGCAAATACTTGCAATGCTGAACATGTCATCATTCAATCCCCAACAGTTCTGGAAAACAGTCTCCCTCACCCCTTGACATGCAAGAAACAATGCTTTCACACTCCTCTTGTCCCTTAATTGGCACCTCTCGAATTGTAATCGTTGGAGGGTCGGGCAAGAACCCAAATGCTCATCCGGCTCAGGATCACAATCAATAGTCTTGCATGATTGAAACCTCAATGTTTTTAAATTTTCACAATACTGAAGAGCTGACAGCCACCCACCCTCCATCCTATGATCACAAAGAGTCAACTCTTCGAGCATTTGACAACACTGTCCAATTGCTTTGATCCCATCATAGCCCCCTTCACATCCACTTAGCTCAAGCTTCACCAACCTCTGACACCCTTGTGCCAATATGGTCAAACCAATGTCTGAGACCAAAGAACAATAAAACCCATCAACATTTCCAATCAATTTCAATATCTGAAGGTTCTGGCACGCCGCAATTCCGCGCAACACTTGATCACTACACCTATGCAACTCCAATTCTTGCAATGTGGGACACTCCTCAGCCACACTCAACAATCCAACTTCACTAGCATTAATAACCATAAGCTTTCGCAGATTGGGACACCCATTAGCTAAAGCTTTTAAACCCAAATCAATTTTCTCAACAGATGATATGTATCTTTCTGGTATAAACCCTCCAGACCAAGTATTGGAATCGATATGAAAAGTCACTGATTTATGAGTCAATAGAATACCTGAATTTCGAGGGGAATTAACACATCCATGAACCAAATCAACATGCGTGAGATTTGGGAATCGCAAGAACAATCGACCCGATATGAGGAAGTCCCAGTCTAGAAGCTTCAGTGACCTAACAAGACGACCCTGAAGATTCAACCACCGTTTGGAGACGAGAGAATTCGAGTTTCTTTGCGAATCAGGAAGTTTCGAGAGGATTCGGAGAAGAAGCTCGTCGGACAACAGGGAGGTTCGATCGGCGACCTTTGAGGTGTCAAAGATTAGGGTTTTATCGGGTTCAGGAGTGTGATTGTTTTTGGGTGGGTTGTTGGTGAGGGACTGGAGGTGCATAGCGAAGACCACTTGGTTGAGAGTTTTCTTGTTCTTGAACCAGAGGTTTGACCAGCTTGGACCTCTCTTCAATGGAGGGTTTGGTGGGTTTTGTTTCTCTAGTGAACACATCGTTTGTGTAGTAGTCTTCTCACAGCTTGCAAGCCAAAGACTTTCGATTCTACTCTGCTTCTTCTTCTTCCACTTGTTCCTCTTCTGCTGGTGCTTTTTCTCTGCATCACCACTCTATCTCCTAGATTCTCTCTCCTAACTAATTCCTCCTCCTCTCTCTCATCTTTCTCTCTCTTACTTCTGGTTCTGGACTCTCGCCCTCCTCAGTTTCTATCTCATTCGAATTCTCTCTCTCTAGATTTTCTCTCCGAGTTGTTTCTCTCTCTAGATTCTCTCTCTAACTTTTCTTCCTCACTAACGGACTTCTTAGCCCAAGCCAAAATTGAAAAACGGACTTCTACGCGGTGGGGTCTACACAATAGTGAGGCTATTTTCTATCATTTATTGTAGTGGCACATTTTGTTTCCATCAAAAAATTTGAATTGGCTTTAAAGTCGTGTTGTCATTGATAAAACTACCGTTCTACCCTTGGATTCTTTGATTTGTTTGTGGTTAAATTGGTGAATGAAGTCTAGTTTGGATAGTAATTCACTTGTAAAAATGGCTTTAGATAGATAAGTAGTTTTCAAGAATAACAAGATAATCTTTGTGTGGACTACATACATGGCTTTTCCAAGGCTTGCTGGAACATATCTAAATTACACTGTCAAATCAATCTTTAAAGTTTTGTGATTTTTTGTTTCACAAAATCTGAATTATTTTTCTTCTTTTTTTCAAATAATTTCGATAATCTTTTTCGGTGATATAAATTATTTGTCTTACACTTAGATATTAATAAATCACTTGTCACCGAAAATTATAGTACCGTCGTTGTAAGCGACATTTGAGGTGATGAACATGCTTTAGTAAAATTAGGATCATTTGTTGTTATATCAAATTAAATCTGTTATAAACGCGTGAAAAATTAAAAGTAACAAAAACTTATTTAGACCAAATCTTGATTCGCATTATTATGTAACATACTTTTGGTAGGAATACACACACAAATATATTGCAAATTGCTATAGAGTCTTCAAAAAGGTACTTGGATATTCTGTATGAAACTGAAACCCCAAAACAAAATGTTTCTCAATAACTACAATGCATATTAGTATTCATTATTGTTCAACATATACCCAATCAGATCCAGCTTTATAAGGTGGACCCAACTAGAAATAGCCGTTGGCATACCCCTTTTTCAATTCAAAAAATGCATTTGGATGTGGGGACATGAACCCTAGAAACATGGTCCTTCATAACATAGCAGTTTGTCAAGGCCTAAAAACAATGCTAATTGGAATGTAATCCATCCCTAAAACAGAAGCACTAATCCACCATCTTTAATTCTCTGCAGACATCTAAATTCAAAAGACAGTTTCTCATCCAACCATATAAGATCTAGGGCTTATTATCTCACACTTGAGCCCATGAAATCAAAACATAAATAAAGCACAATTGGCTTGAAAAGGACAATTATCCAACTCGGAAGTCCCACAAAGGATGAGGAGAGGAATACAGTAACACAACTACAAAATTTCCCCGTACTCCTTTCTCAGGCTTGGTAGCTTGAATTTAATTACGAGTAATGTTATTATAACATTTAGATTTGTTTTAACTAATAAATATAATCCATTTAAAAATAAATAGATCTTCAGTTTGAGTTTTAGATCCAACTCATCGGCTTATATATTGTTTTTTTTTTTTTAATTATTAATCAAAATAAATGCATATTGGAACAAGATAAAGATGACACTGTTGGGATTTTCAAAACGTTGAAATTATCTATGTAGGACAGCCTATCAACCCACAAGTGACTGATACCCAAATATTAATGGGTGCCCACTACTATTCTTTGTTGAGAATTCTTGTATGAATAGAGACCATCACCCAAAGGGCACCTACCTCCATACCCTACCAATAAAAAATAATCCTACAAGTCGAACTTGATTCATGGGCAACCCCTGCATTGAACACTAACAGGTGACATTGTCATTTTCTATAAACATTTTAAATGAATCAACATGTTACAACGTGAAATGGGGGCTACTTTTTTTAAGTATCTCACTGCAATGTGCAATATATGGAACGTGATCACGAAGATCTCCGAGTCAAATGTAGTACTGCAAAACATTTGTTTATAGCTCACATTGAACCCTAAAAGAGATCTATAGGGTGTGCGTACGTCCTTTTTGTCTTGCATCTGCAAGTGTTGTGACGTAAGTGATGCTCAAAATCCTTCTTTAATACAGATAGATTTTTTCACTAAATATATATTTGCTGTATATTCAATATTACACTCCTAGTTTTCACGTTACTCATTAATTGCACCGTAGGAGCTAACTTGAAGATTTTATTCACGAGTCTCATTACCCGACGATATCCAAGGTCTCTGTCTGAAAGTCATACAACTTTTTTTTTAAAAAAAAACCCTTCCCATACCTACTACCATAATGAATATCTAAATTGACTTTCTGAGCTGGCCAGCTGATTTTTTATCCAATTTTTCAAGAAATGGGTTAACGGAATGTTTTTCACTTAATTTGAGACTGATTTTTTCCAACCTTAGCTAAACTTGACATGATTTCAAAATTCTAATACAAGCAAATGTAAGCACAAATATTAAGATAACAGGTGACAATCACCACAATCACATTAAGGCAATGGTGCCATCAAATGTATAGACTTGGAACCTGAATTAAATAATGTCCATTCACTGGGTAGTTAGATAATGTATATAGCAGCAATGCCGAAACTAATTTAAAAGGGCGACAGGTACAGTGAACATCTAGAATGAACTTCCTACAGTATATATAATACTTGAGAGAAGCATATAATTAGAACAAAGGCAAAGACAAGGATATGATCTTTAGCCGGAAGCACATTTCTAGCATAAGAATATGCTGCATATCATCCCTGTCCTTCAAAAGAGCAAAAAATTGCAAATAGTGATGATCATGAGCGAGGAGCCGCCATTTGCTGCTTCTTTATTCTCTCTCCCTGTTTGACCATGCTGAATAAAAAGCACAAGTTAGATGTATCATCTATATAAATCAAGTATAGAAGTATAATGCTGTAACATATTGTTTAACTACCAAAACCAAAGTATGATGCCAAATGGCATGTGAATTCCATATGTTAGGAAAAGGATCAGAAATGCATCTACAAGGGGTTCAACTTTGGTGGGCATTGTCCTGAGATATTCCATGTTAAAGCAGAGTGTATTCCTGAGAAATGCCCATGATGATGGTAAAAAGATGGGTAAATCTTATATTACAAACATACCATCATTTATAAGGTGATTTAAGGGTTACAGGAGACACGTGAAGTGGTTTGAACAGTAAAGATCGTTGCTCTTTATAAATGATTTGGGATTCATGGATAGAGCTCCAAGTCTAACCTTAATAATTAACTCACATTTCCAACTCAACAGTAGCGTAGAAGGCTCAGTGAGCCAAAGTGACGTCCATTTTAAGGTAATAGTAGGCGAAGTGAGAGACAACCCTCTATACTTTCAAGCAGCTGTTTGATGCAGTGTTATCAAAGGCCCAACTAAGGCGCTAAAAGTCATTTGGAGCCTAGGCGCAAGCCTCAGTGAAGCAAGGCGCACATTTGCAAAATTATATTACTATTGAAGCATATTCATATTCCATATAAAAGCACAAATGTTGTCAAAGGCGCACCTGGGCACACAACAGGCGGAAGTGTTGCGCCTGTATGAGCCTGGAGCCTAGGCGCCTTTAACAACACTAGATTGATGATATACCAACATAGTTATGTCAGAGCAAACAAACAGATCGGATAGAACACTTATGAACCAGACACGCGCCTATCCTGATTACACATGGGGCTGGAAAAAAAAGCTGGTCTACTAACTCAATAGCGACGAGACATATAAACAAAATAAGACACATAATTTGGTTAACCAACATTTTCAATCAAAAAACAGCAATTGCATGGTTTAGCAACGTGACAATGATGGAACAGATGATAATAATTTATGTCTGATTCCCCCTTTTCTATGACAACAAAAAGAGAGAATATATATAAGCCTACGTATGTAGACAAATGGAATCCACAAACTTAGTGCCACAAGTACAGTTTAACACCCTGATTAAAAAAAAAAAAAAAATACAAGATATCCATCCAACTTTATATAGGTAATAGCACGCAGCACATCAAATAGTTCTTTCACTGCTACTGTGATACATGGATGCCAAAACCAATGTTTCAAAACATTCTGATACCATACCAAATCTTAGAGTTCCTAAATCATCTCTCCACAATTGCATGGTATCTGTTGGGGCAGCGGAAGCGCACAAATACAAAGATCTAATAAAAGCCAACAAAGCAATCACACACAAACACAAGATATACATAGTTCACCCAAACTCGGGCTACGTCCATGGATGAGAAGAGATTCCACTATGATCCGTAGAGATATTACAACAATAGAGTAAAAACACCTTATACATGCATTTTTGCTATGTAACACTCCACGAGCCTATCTACTCGCTATCAATGTCGACGGTGTTTTCCTACTCTATTAACATAAACTCCCTCTACCCATCAACTCCCAACTCCCTCTACAAGAAATTACCATAATAAAACAATTCTAAAATAGATACCTAATTACAATAGAATTTGAGACACAAGCAGTATCCAATTAAATAGAAAGCTTATCATTTTATTAGCAACTTCAAATACCAACAATTGCATTAAAATACATAATCAGAAGATACTAAGACAAGGGATTTTACTGAATGCAACGCCAAGACAACATATCAGCCAAAGCTGAATGCATTAACTCCACTACATGACAAGAAGGTTAATTTATATGAAAACCAGTTTCAATTTTTTGTCAAATTAAGCATTTTAGTTTCCTATTTTCTGATAAGATGATAATAACCTTAAACCCAATGCTGTCATTAATGTACTCACACTCTTTTTATTTTGTCAAAGCAATTAAATTTGCATTGCTCCATATACTGGGCAATCTGGGCACAAGAACTGCCTGTATCTAATGTTTGAACCAGAAGATACTACATAAAGAAATACACTTCTTATGCCATCAGTAAATCAGGTTTAAGAACGGTCAAGTATTGATGATCAATGCTTGGCAGGTTCAGCCACATGGCATCCAACTCCAGATTTTAATATATTTCCTCATAAAACGTGACATATATGTTGTTGGAGCAGCGGAAGTGCGCAAACACAAAGATCGAATCAATGCCAACAAAGCAATCACACACAAACACAAGATATACATGGCTCAGCCAAAACCGGCCTACGTCCATAGATTAGAAGAGATTTCACTATGATTCGTAAAGATATTACAACAATACTAGAGTATCAACACCGTGTACATGCTTTTTCACCACATACCACTCCACAAGTCGATCCCCTAGCTATCAGTGCCCCTAGTGTTTTTCCTACTCTACCAAGCCATAGACTACCTCTACCCATCAACTCTCTCATGAGACTACATCTCACTCAATCTCATAAGTCTCAACCAAAGCCTGTGTATCTATTTATAGAGTTCCAAACTCAATTTCTTGTTGGATAAGGATTACAATTTCTTAGAGGCTAAGACTTGCCAAACAAGAATTTATCAAACATAATACAACTCTAAAATAGAAACATAATTAGAATAGAAATTTGACACACAATTTCCAACAATCTCCAACTTGGCTCAAATTACATCCTGCCAATCATCGCTTCCACGGCATTGATCAGGACAATTATTTTGCAGCTTCAATCTTGACGATACTCCTGCAAAACTCTGATTGTTCCCACTGTACGTTGCTCGATCAGTCAAACCTCCAAGGCTCCACCTTGATTACTTGAGCTCCATGCCATGTAACCAAATCGATTGACTCCACCCACAACAGAAACTCGTTGTAGCACTCATTGAGACTCCTTGTGTTTTTTGGATCTCCTTCACCTTTGGTTCTGATACCAATTTGTTGGGCAGCGGAAGCATGCGAACACAAAGATCGAATGAAAGCCATCAAAGCAATCACACACAAACACAAGATATACATGGTTCGGCCAAAACCGACCACATCCATGGATGAGAAGAGATTCCACTATGATTTGTAGAGATATTACAACAATAATAGAATATCAACACCGTACTTACAAAAAAAAAAAAAAAAATAGAATATCAACACCATGGACATGCCTTTTCACCATGTACCACTCCATGAGTTGATCCCCTCGCTATCAGTGCCACCGGTATTTTTCCTACTCTACCAACCCATAAACTACCTCTACCCATCAACTCTCGCATGAGACTACATCTCTCTCAATCTCATAAGTCTTAACCCAAAGCCTATGCATCTATTTAGAGTGTTCCAAACCCAATTCCTTGTTGGACAAGGATTACAAATTCTTAGTGGCCAAGACTTGCCAAACAAGAAATTATCAAATAGAATACAACTCTAAAATAAAAACATAATTAGAATAGAAATTAAATTTGAGACACAATTTCCAACATATGCAAATAAAGCTCATGGACTTGAAATGTTGTCCACTATCATAGAAATGCATTGCCTACATGAATTATCAACTTTATGAGAGCTCAAAAGCATTTTTGGTAGGTACGATTATTTAAACCACCAAGAACTCGAGAAGTAAAGAGTTGTACGATAAGTTTGCCCGAGGGCATCCAAAACTAATACCACACTCAACACTAGCGGCTATGCTAAGAAAACAGCCTTTTCAAATTGTAAGGGAATGCTACAGAACAATAAACTCGACAAGAAAAAGCCTCATACTCAACTAGCTACTATTGCCCTTCTAATAAAGACAGATGTACCAACAGGCGAGTGGCCTAGCGGTATCAGCCTCTAACTTCCCAAAGGGAAGTCAAGGGTTCAAATCTCAGAAGAGATAAGTGTATGTGAGTACCAACTAGGGAAAAAAAAATAAAGACAGATGTAACAGGTATATGCATCGGTAGCATGTTGAAGGCAAGAGGAACTTCCGTGGTTAGTTATCTCGGTCATCAAATCATCTTTGCTAAAGTCATTGGTCCAGAAAGGGTGGTCATTCCTTATAGTACCATTAGCACTACTAGAGAATGTGTGAGGGGCTACTTCCACGACCAATACCTTTTCCATAGAAATTATTAAATGTGAAGATGGAAACCACCATTTTCCTACCCCCAACATTATTCAAGACTATTTTTTATGAGCATGTGGAGTATTTTTCTTCAATAATTGCCCAAAAATCCAATCTTCCACATTCTGTCTCACTCCTTGTACTCATTGAACAAGTAGGATTTTATAATCTGATCATATTTAGATGGGGCACCTACAAACTCAGACTTTGAATTCTCAATTACCAATGCGCTTACAGTGAAATAAATTACTTCAATTATCCTTGAAAGAAGGTTCATTCAAGTTTGTTCAGCCTACTACCCAGATGTGTCCAACTCAGATTAGCTCAAGAGCCAACATTTGGTTGTCCATTGGGCCACTTGGAGACAAAAGGGAGCATTGGCAAAATTTTCATTTACACGCGAAAAGATAAATTCTTCTTACTCACACAAGAGAAGTCCGAAGCATTCTGATGATATAGAGAGAACCTCCATCTCTGGAAAAACTATTTACTGAGGAGCTACTCAGTAGACATTCTATTGAGCAGGATACTGAATTAAGGTAAATCTAATAGACTTCTAACCTACTTTGATTTCTTGGAGTAATTATAGTATTGCAAATGTATCAATTATCAGATATCGAATCAAGTTGTTTAACTGTAAGTTCTTTGCTCTATTTGGCTTGCAATGCTATGCCTATCAAAGTTGGCAAACACTTCGGTATCCTTGGACCCGTTAAACTGTTCACCTGAACTCATTGACTCCACGTCCACCAAAAGTCGGTAACCTTTGTCACTGTCAGCATTTTGTATTCTCTAAGTACAAATGGAGTATTTTAAATTTAGCCTGAACAAGCTTAACTAATCCAGATTGAAGCCCTTGGCAAGTGAATATCTTCCATTGTAGCAAGGTCTAGGGAAAGAATAGGAAAGGTGATTTCATAACATCTTTTTACCAGGGACAGTGCCTATTACAAAATTATTCTTTTTATTGGGTTGAGAGCACTTTAAAGATGACTGCCTATCTTTTCTTTCAACTAGGGAGAAATTCAATTGGGAGGAGCTAATTTAAATTCCTCAGGTAACATAAAAACAACCCTCACATTCAACCCCCACCAAGCAAGAACTTGTTTTAGTTGCACAAGGAATTCAAAAAACTGCATAAAATATGGTAGCAGTTTGTGAATACATTCACAAATAGAGGATTTTAGATTTCGCCTGAACAAGGTTGGCCAGGACAATTAAAATCAGGACCAATTTGGCCCCAATAATATAGATCGAAGGTGTAGTTACATAACTTTTAAATAAAACAAAGGTTTCAGGAATTTAAAATCTAATGTTTAACGCAACAGCAAACATTCTTTAGTTATAGACATCAAAACCTGATATCGTGAGGGGTGATAAATATCCATTGGGATCCTTGTGCCAATGCAAAATCCACAAGAGTGTCTAAGCTGATTTTCCGGCTAACTGCATCCTGAATATCAAGAAGAAAGCAAGACTTTATTAAAGTGATCCATTTGCTTCACATTTCATCAAAGATAGTCCAGACATCATGTTATCTGGATATCAACCTAGCAGTGGGAAGCGATAACTTTCAGCCAAAAAACCTACCATAAACACATCAAACTCATCCATCGCTCGAAATGGGGCTTCTGTCATTTCATGCAGAGCTAGTGCAAAGCATAATGTCGAGAAAGAACGTTCCCCGCCTGATTAAACAACAATTACAAACTTTGTGTAAGGTCAATACACATTTGAATAGCTAAATCTTCTCTGAATTTTTCATCAAGTATACATGATCCAATCATATCTTGTAAGTATCAATTATTAATACTTATACAAAATAACCCCAAATACAGTTCAAATATTTTCCTTTTCTTTTTCCTTTTTCCTTGGTAACATTCATAAGTTATTCCTATTAATTTTACAGTGGCAATATATAATCATTCTTTCTTTCTGTTTCTTTTTGCCACCAGAAAAGGGGGGAGAGGGCTACAAATCTGTCAACTTTTACCAAATGACATAACTTGAGCATGGTGAACCATAAAAACTCAATAAAATCTAGAGACCAGACCATGAAGTCTCAGATGCATAGAAAAGTTGCAAAGCCTATGATATGAAGTATGTCAATGCACTCTTTTTTGTTGGGTCTCAGGTAGAGATTATAGATCTTTAGAGGAAATTGTTGATTTTTTGGCCTCTTTGAAGGCGTAGAGGCTGTTTTTGGCCTTGTGTTGTTCTCTTGGGATGCGCTCCCCTTTTGAGCGCTTTTTATGCAATTCTTACTTATCAAAAAAAAAAAAGTATGTCAATGCGAAAGAAAACCTGAAAGCCCTCTAGTGTCACGAACAGTGTCATTTGACGCATCTTGGGGCATCTTAATCTGGAAAAGAGGGGAAAAAAAATGTACCAAGAAAAAGATTAAACGGCTAACTCTGATCTATACAGGTAATAAGGCATATGTAATAAATTTCTCATTGCACTTATAACCGGACAAGTAACCTAAATCACAAGATTATTCCATTATGAGGCAAGTTACTTACTTCTACTGAGAGGGTTTTCTCTTCATAACTGACTTTAATGTGCCCGCTGATCCCCTTCTTTCTCAAGTGACCATTGAATCTAGTTGTAAATTTAGTTGATTAAGAAGCAATTGAAAAGGGGAAAAAGAGTAAAAAGAAAGAGAAAAGAGAAAAGAAAAGTAAACAGCATCAGATTAATTAGGGTGACATGGTAATGCCAAGAGAACAGCTCATACTGCCAAGTCAACTGGCGCTTCAAAAGAGATGCATTCCTTTGGAACTTGACGCAACGCAACTTCAGGGCTTTTTGACATGCCTGAAATTAAATTTGAAATTTATCTCTGTAAGAACAACCAAGCATCAGAAGTGGCAATATAGGAAGGATGGTTTGTATTACATAGCATAAACAAGGATAATGGAAAAATTATAAACAACATGCGTGATAGAGAAATTTGAATGAAAATCGATCATAAACTAAGAATTTAATATATCTAGAATCCTAAATAAACAAAATCAAAAGAAAAAAATAATCAAGCTCATATATCAAATATATCTAGCAAATAAGAAATTTTTTAGCCTAGGTTCTACAGTAAAGAAAATAATATTTGACTTCAAAGTCATTGTAGGCACAAAAGTCCAAATAAGACTAGGCTCGTCAAGGACTACAAAGCACTTCACTCTACTCCCAGCCAGTCCCCCTAGGCACATGTAAAGAAATTCAGTACACGAATTCAACTTTAAGAATTGCACCCATGGCATTTCATCCTAATATTTTAATAGAGCATTAATGAGTTAGGCTAAATTTTTTAATACAAAATTAAGGATGAAATTTAAAGATGAACTAGTAAAGCATTGAACAAATGTCTTGTCCAGTAAAAGATAGATGAATTTGTGCTATTGAGTTTAGCCCCAATTGACATGATATTGACAAATGCTGGGAATTGTCTCAAATTCCTAGTTTAATTAGATTTAGATTTTATATTTGTATTTTGTTAAGAATGACTTATTAAACAAGTCTTGGGCTTCAAGGAATAGGTTCTAGCACTCTATAAATATGTACCTAGATTATGGGTTGAGATTTGTGAGATTGAGAGAGAGATGTAGTCTCACGAGGGAGTTGATGGGTAAAGTTGGTTTATGGGTTAGTATAATAGGAAAAACACCAGTGGCAGTGGTAGCGAGGAGACAGACTAGTGGAGTGGTACATGATGAAAAGACATGGTGTTTGTGCTCTACTATTGTAATATCTCTAAGGAAATCATAGTTGAATCTCTTCTCATCTGTGGATATACGCCAGTATTGGCTGAACCACGTTATTTTTTGAGTTTGTGTGTGATTGTTTTTATGGCTTCCATTAGATATTTGTGTTCATGCATTTCCACTATCCCAACAAATTGGTATCAGAGACGAAGGTGAGGGAGATCCAGAAAATACAAGTAGTCTCAACAGGTGCTGCAATGGGTTTCAGTTGCAGGTCGAATCAATCAATTGGCTTGTTTGATTACAATGGTCATAAAATCGTTATGGTTACATGGCATGGAGCTCGAGTAGTTAAGGTGGAGCCTTGGAGCGGCGTGCAGTGTGGACAATCATAGTTTTGTAGGAGGATCTCGGCATGCAATCCAAAGAGTAAGGAGAAACTGGCTCCTTGGGTGAAAGTTCCTAAATTAGGTTGGGTCATAGGAATGGTCCATGGGTGGAAGTCCCCAAAGAGTGATCTAGATTGTGTGCAAGACTGAAGCTGCAATGAATTGTCTTGATCAATGCCGTGGGAAGTGATGATTGACTGGATGGAATATGAGCCAAGGTGGAGATTGTTGGGATTTTGTCTAAAATTCCTAGTTTAAATAGGTGTCTATTTGAGTTGTATTTTGTTAGGAATTTCTTATTAGACAAGTCTTGGGCTCCAAGGAATTGGTTCTGGCACTCTATAAATATGTACATAGGTTCTGAGTTGAGACTTATGAGACTGAGAGAGAGAGTGTGTGTCTCATGAGGGAGTTGATGGGTAGAGGTAGTTTATGGGTTACTAGAGTAGGAAAAACACCGGTGACAATGGTAGAGAGGAAATTGGCTCGTGGAGTGGTACATGGTGTTGGTACTCTACTATTGTAGTATCTCTATGGTTTTGTCCGAACCACGTTATATATTGTTTTTGTGTATGATTGCTTTATTGGATTTCATTGAATCTTTGTGTTGATGCATTTCCGCTGTCCTAACAACAGATTTACCATTTTCATCAACTAGGGAGCGTATAGTAGAAAATTGTTTCGAAAAGGCATAGATATCTCTGTACATTGAGCAAAGCAGTAACAACTTCAAGAAGGGAGTGCAATATTGATGGCCTAAAGAACAGATCCAAACTTGACCGTGATTACATTTTGGTTAATTTTTTTCTGATGTACATTTTATTTTTGGGCTAATCACAAGGGCTAAACCTCCATAGAAGCCAGGGTTTAAGTATTTCATCCTTCTCAAAGAAAAAACAAGATAGACAAATACAACAATAAGCAAAGCTCAAGCATATATTAATTTATTAGCTTTTCACATTGATGCCTAGATTTCCTCCTTTCCTTCATCTGATGCCCACACATGCACTTGATCTACTCGTCTTACTGTTGACAATGATCAAAACGAGGCAAAAAGAATACAGTCTTTACACATTATTGGATAAGCATCCCCCCACTCTCACGAAAGGAAAATATCGATCACCTAAATTTATTATCAGTCGTTGTCCTAATAGAATTCAGGGACTTAGAATTAAAATAATAAACATTTTCAGAAACAACTTATTTCCAAAATTCAGTAGAAATTTAGCATTATATTTGCAAAGTGAAACCATGACAAAAAAAAAAAATCAGAAAGAAGAAAGCCCAAACCTTAAGAAAAGAATCACTCAAAATAATATGCATATCTTAGTCCTTGAAAGTATTAAAACATGGAAAAAAGAAATGTAAAACTTACATCCAATTTTTCACGAAAAGCTTTGTACGTTTGCCGTCTTCTCAAAATCTTACGCTCTTTTTTCTCATACAACATTCTGAGATCATCGATAGATTCTGAATATCTGCAAAGAAAACTTCCTATGAAACTGCACTTAAATGTTATTAGAGCAATAAATTGGAAAATATATAACATCTGTACCTCTGGCTTTCTCGTTGAAGTCTCTGATTTAGTCTACTTAACTGGGCACTAAGTTGCTCTGGGGTGCTCCCTTCACAACCTCCTAAAGCTTCAATCTCACTCTCAGGACAAATGATAGAAGCCTTTTTGTAGCTCTCCTGCAAGTTTGTCACATGCTTCACATCAGCCACTGGTAAACTTAATATAACATGGTTTTACTTCAAAAGTATGAACAACTACTTCATAAGTTGGGCTGCAAATGAACCAAGTTGTTCATGAACAACTCGGGCTCGGCTCATTTAAGGCTCAGCTCGGACTCGTTTGTTAAGTAAATGAACCGAGCTCCAGCTAAATTTCTAGGCTCGTTTACTAAATGAGCCAATCCTAAACGATATTAGGCTCGGCTCGTGAACATAAGCTCATGCAGGTTGGTATATGATCGTGAATATAGGCTCGTAAAGGATTCATGTAGGGTCATGAACATATTCATTAACAGAGGCTTGTATAAGTTTATGAACATAAGCTCATGAACATTCTTGAATGTAGGCTTGTGTAAACTCGTATAAGTTCATGAACAAGCCAAAACGTATTCAAGAGCTCAAATCGAGCCCAAACAACTTTTGTTACTAAACAAGCCGAGCCCGAGCCTCACAAACAAACGGGCCGAGCCCAAATAGAGTCAAGCAAGGCTTGGTTCATTTGCAGCCCTGAATCATAATGCAAAAGAAAAATCCACAAAAGCAGGGCAAAAAATTTAATATGGACACATCAATTTCAAATTAAAAATGAAGAACGCCTACTGCACCAGTGTGCAAAATGAACAGAGAATTCAAACTATGATTTCAGGAAACAACAAAAGCATGATGCAAGGATATGCTATTCTGCCAAGATATGATTAGGTCTTAGGATTTTCATTAAGGCTTGAGGGCATTAAGTAAAATCCAGTCAAAATTTATCTCAATAAATTAACCTAATCCACTAGAAGAAAGAGGAATTAAGGTTTGAAACAATGACACGTTCCAATGGGAAATTTTTTGTCTTTGTCATAGCTTCTTCCAAGAATTATTGGTTTGAACATATAGAACACATATAGTTTGTAAGACGCAAGTGCTACCTTTTTCAAAGGAGCATGGAACTGTGGTGCGGGGAAGAGTCTAAACAATCACATTATAATTCATGACATTAATATGATCCTATGATTAAACACAATGACTTCAACTTTTATAATAGGGTTTAAAACACACCTTACGGTTGTCTTCGAGCTCTCGATATTGTGCCTCAGCCACTTCGATATCATGAAGGACCCTGTTATTCATCACCCCCTCATAATGAATCTTCTCCTGAGAGAAGAGTTTGTATTTATAGATGTTAATAAACTTGAATATGCCAAATAACAACAAAAACAGAGACCAAACACTCTTAACTAGAGAACGAAAATAAGGTATAAACTACAAAATTTAGTTAAGGGTAAAGGAGAAGTGGAAGGTACCGCTTCTGCAGAATTTATATCTCCTTCAATCAGCATTAGCTCACGCTCTGCCTCCTCAAAGGCATCAATTTCCCCTTTTGCCGACTCTATATTTCTCAATATGGACAAAGAAGCATGTATAAATGGAGAGTTGCGTGAATCAAATATGCGACATAAAAAACAACATTAGCATACCACATAGGTTCTCGAATGAAATTTTAAGATCTTTGGCTTTGGTTTCCGTTTCACTCATTCTCATTCTGAACTTTTCTAACACCATTTCCCTTTCCTGTATTTCATCTTGGATTTTCTGGAAATCATCTCAAAAGAAAGATGAATGATTAGAATCCATATGCATGATCAAAGACAAATTAGAATTGAGAGTGACATGGTTATAAGAAACAAACATAAATTTCTCGATGAAGCTCATCAACAGTTGATGCAGGTGCTGAATTAGCTTCTATGACATTTGAATTCTTCAAATCTTGTAGCGCTAGGTTCTTGGACATCAAATCCCGCTCTGCATTGACACGCCTCCTCTAGATAATATGAAAAGAAAAAAAAAACAACTGATGATGAAGATACAAGGTCAATGATATTCAAAAAAAAAAAATTAATAACTGAACTTAAAATGATTTCTGTACACATCTCAAAATATACGTTGGAATCTCGATTATTAAATTTCATTGAAAAAAATGAGATAGGCTGGAAAAACTTGGGAAACTTTCATGAAAAATACTAAAATGGTGCATAAGACATTTCTGCAATCAGAAGTCGTATCTTAATAAAAACAAATATGTCCAGTAAGACGAGTCTAGGCAAAACTGTCTTACCGAAAAGAAAAAGTGTAGGCAAAACTACTGACACTTCTAACATTGTTGCCTATAGAAAGATCATAACAAGAACATCCCACCTATGCTCTTCTCAATAATCAATGCTAATATGTTGTCCCCTTCCTCATAATATTGGTGTATATGACTATTAAAACTCAAATAAGCATGACTTATCCTTTAAGTGAAGCACAGACAGTTGGCAAACTGAACCAAATTAGCTAGAAAACCCTCAACAAAAGCATGTGCTTTCTTTGGGGATGCATGTACAACAAATAACTAAAGGGGAAAACAGGGAAATTCATGATATTCCACTAGAAAAATGAAAAAAGAACTAAAAGAAAAATAAGCATTTACTCATAATAAACAACAAATAGAAAATGGAGGAAAATGATAACCTTTGTGTTTTGTAGTTCATCCTTCATACCCCAAAGTGCCTCCTCCACATTCCTTTTCTTCCTCTGGCCTTGTTGAGCTTGATCTTTTACATTTAACGCATCCCTTTCAAGATTCTTAATTTGTTCATCATATGAACCACAAAGACGGCCAGTTCTAGCCCTCTTATTTGGAGGGAGAATGGTTTCGGCTGAACCGCGGGAAAACCTAGGAAGATATTATGTAAAAATAAAGAAATACTTCGTAGCTGATAACTGTATTAAAAATATATTTATATACAAGAAAAAACAGATTTTAAAATTGACAAGACATGGGAACTACAATTTGCCAATCCAAAATATCTGAGAGAATGCATGCACATGTATGCCAAGCTACATAACTGTAACACATTCACAAAACCTGCAGTTATGGACTCTGAACAAAATATGGCTATGCTGGAACCTAGATTTTAAATTAGGAAAGGAGAAAGACAGTGCATCTAAGTAATTCAATCCTACTTCTTGGAAATTAGGTTGAACTTCAATTACGCTCCTTTAAGCTGGGGTCTGCTGTTTAGTTTCAACTCAGTTACATCGTCTCTACCCTATGAACCTTCTGATCCTTATTCACTAGCGAACTTCATGCACATCCAAGTGGTAATTCTGTGGATTTATACTAACAATTCATCAATATCATGCTCAGGTGATTTGAGCAAGTATTGAAAATATATATATATATATATATATATTTGCATCTGGATTGTTGGACATAACAGATTCAGCACATGTAATGCATGTATAGTTAAGATAATGTCGCGTTACCAATTGGAGGGGGTAAAAAAAATTGAGCATCATCTTATGGGCAACTTTTAGTAGCTCAAGTAGATATGTTGATTGTATATACATAAAGAGGCATACTTATAAAAATATATATATACACATAAACACAAATACCTATGTAAGAATAAACACGTTATAATTTAGTTCTTAGGACTGTGTGAACTTTCAGAATCCTATAAATTACAGCTAATAAGGCCTTTTTTATCTACTTTTATGGCACAGTTCATCACTTGATCTAGAAAATTGGAATAACGTAGCAATCCTCTTAATTTTATGTCAATGCGGTCAGACGTGATTAGTTCCTAGAATTATAATTCTTTATTTTATTTTTTATTTTTTTTGAAAGCTATAAGGAAAAAGAAAACCTTAGTGCCACAGGTTCATATTGGATGCCATGCTATCACTTCTACCATTGTGCTACAATGGGATTGGCATGATAAGTCCCAAAAGTTTCTTAGTGCAACTCCCTTCAAAGAATCCAAATATGTTAGAGAGCCAAGGACTACGAGCTTTCTCAGACTACAAGTGTACATAAAGTTTTAAGTCAACCAAATGAATGACTAATAATTACTCCTAAAAAATACAAAATTGAAGAGAGAAATTAAGCATGAACAACACAAGAATATAATGTGGCTCAACCACTACGGCCTACATCCATGGCACACAAAGCCCAAAGGGCTACATCTCTTTCATTATACTGTCTTGATTTTGTTTACAATGACTGCCTCTATATATAGGAAAAAGAATACAAACATGTAATAAATATGAAAATATCACGATGGAGGATTCCTAAAATCAATCCCATGAATCACTCCTACCAACATTCTATCAAGGGCTTAAATAGCACCTACAATGATATTCTCTAACAATTACCTACATAATCACCGATCAAAATTTCTGTTTGTTCCCATAGTGGAAACATTTGTTTCATAATGAACCAAATGAAATTTAGGTGGAAAACTGAAATTCTTAGGTTCCCATAGACACAAAATTGTGTCCACCAAAACACTCCAATATTTAATCTGTGATGACAGTGATCCTAAAGACTAATAATTAATATCAAATTTCTAGACAGGAGATTAAAGAATTCAACCCAAGAATGCAGTAAGTCTCAAACTTTTTGTCAAGAAATAGCAAACCAGAAGAAGTATAAGTACTGGAAAAGAAGCGGTAGGAGAAGAATTTATTGTAAAACTTAGTTGTCAACTATAACAGCCAATCTTGCAAATCGTTTTATTTAAGTTTTTGTTTTACATGTTGGTTTAATATAAGTACTTAATGTATATTGTTCAGCAAACATGATATGTCATAATGTCATACTTATTTGAAGTAATTCAATACTACATAAGCAAATGAGCTTTAGAATACTTTTATGCTTGCTAAAGAATTTGATTGACATTATTTGATGACCTTCACATGTGTGTTCAATACTCTTTTCCATCCAATTGACCTCTTGTATAGACGAATTTGTAGGCCAGGACCATAAGTAACAAGCATTCATGTCCTTTATTCATGTTTCCAAGCATTTCCATTTTTTTTACCATTGTTACTGCATTTCTGAAACATTAATGTTTCCATTTCAGGACTGAACAAAATAACATTCTGAAACAAAATTTTAATCCTTCATAACAAGCATCAAATGTTAGTTAGAATTTGATATTGAAAAAGTTACAAAACAAAGCAAAAATAACACTTTTTAAGAGGGATTAGACCCAAAATAAATTCAAAATTCTATAAAATAGGTCAGTTTATAGATTTTTTTTTAAAAACCCTTTATACTGAACAATCTTAATTCTCCTGCAAAGAGGGGGATCTGCGACTACAAGTCTACAGCTACAATTTTTCTCGTCTTCAATGAGCAAAGGCAAGGTGTGCATGCAAACATCGGAATCCAAGGATGGCCAATCAGGTTAATTGTGCACTCTACTTTTCCTTTCCTCTTCCCCGTCCTATTCTTCTTCTAATCCAAACAAAACTAAAGCTGGCTAGCATCTCCCTCTCCAGTTTTTCAAACTTTTTTCTTATTTTCTCCCAATAATTTTCATCACAAAAATCCTCTCCAACAAATTCCTTTTTTGTCCTTTCCACAAACTCTAATATTTCCTCCCAACACTTTTTTCCATGTTATCTTTCTTCTCCCTCTTCTCTTCTGTTTTTTCCCCTTTTCTCGTGTTTCCTTTAATACTGTTTTCTATGTCTTGTAGGAGTCTAGGAATAAGAAGTACTGATTTGCAGGTCTCTTTCAATTACCCCTAGCACCTGCCATAATTTTTATTATGAGACTGTCGATTTATTCGAATGCTTCCTTTTTTTAATATTTGAATTTGAGATAACATGTAAACCCATAAATAGTTGGACCCTAAGAAGCATGGACACTTCTATGAGGTGCCATGTCCGTGTCGGACACCGACACTTCGTGGACACTCCCAAACACATGTCAGACACTCCATGGCTGTGTCATTATTTTAAAATAAATTTTATTAATTCGGGCAGACACATCTCGAACACTTGGTCAACACATTCCGGACACTCGACCAACACATCCCGGACACTCGACCAACACATCCTACATCCTACGCTCTTTGTCTTGTATAAAACAAACATGTGACAGTCCTAAAAACAATATTATGAACATACATCAAAGTGTTCAATCTCTAAGAAACAAAAACTTAACTATAATGACAATCAGACAGTAATATCATATATAATTTTTTTTTTTTTTTTGATAAGTAATATCATATATTATATAACATATTCTTTTTCACATTCGAATAAAGTCATCTTGTAACTTACGTAACTTTATTATAGAATTTATAGATTAATTAAAGTTATATGATTGTCCCATTCAATAGATATATATATATATATATATATATATAAATGAAAATTAATATTTACAATAGTCGTGTCCACACTGTGTCCGAGTCCTATTTTTTTTGGATTTGACATGTCAGCATATCCGTGTCATATCATGTCCGTGTCCTGTGTTTGTATCCGTGCTTGTTAGGTTGGACCCATTGATCATTTGAACATACACAACTGTCTTAGTTTTTGAGTAATGCTTTTCTCGTCTATTTCACAAGTATATCCTCAATTGGAATCTCCAAATACTTGTATTTTTACAAGTTATTGGTCTCTAAATTGCTATACGGTTGTCCATGATAGTCGATTTCATGGTTGTTTTCCTACTTGGTTACAACAAAACTTTCGTAGAAATATACATGGAAGATGAAGTTATTTTCTAATACTAGGACTTCAACCGAAAGACTAAACATTACAGTTTATATTCTTTTCTCCTCTTTTTCTTATTTCCAATACTGTTTTCAGGACATAGAGCATGGGTTGGCATAAAACAAGATACCTACAAGGGTCCACTGCACTGCTAATTAATTCACCTTGAAGCTTTTTATTTTCATTGAAATTACATATCATACCACTTCCCACTTTGTAATACTACGTACAAGCTATACAACTATGCCCCACCATGCGCTGCTGATTAACTCACCTTGAAGCAATTTTTAACATTTTTCCAGTAAAAGTACATCATACAGCTTCCAACTTTGTGACACTACGTATAAACTATCACACTATGCCCCACTACTTCATTGCTGAAACTTCTAATTTTCTCAGTAAAATACATATCATAAGGCTTCCAAGTTCCAGCCTTGTAACATGATGTACAAGCTATAACAACTATATGCCACTTGTATAGTAACCATTACTTCACCATGAAACCTTGGCAACAGCAGCTATGTAGAAAGCAGAAGCAGAAGAAGAGACCATAATATACACCACATTATTAAAAGCTGCAATATCGAATGAGCAAAACAAACAGGAGCTATGTAGAAAGACAACAAAAATAAAATTCATTCCATCTTACATTTTGTGTCCCTCTAAAGTGTAAACCTCCTTCAAATTTGGAATCCTTTGGTCAAAAGCAACTGTTTTGCCCACATCGTAATTTCTAACAAGGACTTGTCTCTCAGCACTACCCTGCAAAAATGAGAATTCTTAGAGAAGTTAAGGCACCATTGTGCAGCAACCACAAATTGGCTCCAAAGCTATATTAAGATGATGGCAAGCCAAATAAAGTGGACAAAAGTATATGTAATATTCAAATGACAATGAACTGTGTTAAGTGGTAATAAGCTAAATGATTGAAAACATAATAAACATTAACAACAAAGGGAAAATAAGTAGAGATAATATAAAGGAACAAAGTGAAAATTACCACATCCACCAAGACATTCATTACAGTAGGATTGTCAGAATGTATAACAGAAATAGTAGTTGGGTGTTTAGTCTGAGGAAGCATGTGATTGGGAATTTGCAACCTACAACAGATAATGTTACAATTTAGAGATATAAATCACCCAGCAGATGGTAAAACCAGTATGCCATTATAGAGATAGGGCAAATCAAAATAAGAAAATATACACCGCCTTACTTTGGCCTGGCAAACTCATATATGATAATCTGAAGGTGGCCGTAGTTTGCTGCCCTAGCACATCCTCTCAAAAGAAGAGAATCTTTGTGATCCGTCACAATGAAAGCATTAAGCAACTTGCCAATGGCATTTTCAACAGCAGGAGCCCACATATCACCATGAACTAATGTCTGCAATACATAGTCCAATTTTACGAAATGTTAGAAAACAATTGTAGAAATATCATAAAAATTGGACATAAAACAACGACAACCAAGCCTTTTTCCCAACACTTGGGGTCGGCTAAATGAATCCTATGTTCCATTATGCTCTATTTAACTCCATAGCCTCATAAATCCACATGCTATCATATCTTTCCTTACTAATTCTACCCACGTTAACTTTCGTCTTCCTCTTCCCCGAGTATTACCCTCAATGTGGACTGTAACGTTTCCTAACTAGCGCACTTAAAGGTCTCCTTTGCACATATCCAAACCATATTAACTGATTTTCTCTAATTTTATCTCCAATTTGCGCTACTCCAACCATCTCCCAAATGTGATCCTTTCTAATTCCATCCTTTCTAGTCTTACCGCACATCCATCTCAATATTTGTATTTCCACCACACTCACTATATGCATATGTTGTTTCTTAGCTGCCCAACATTTTGTGCCATAAAGTGATGGGGAATAGGTGTGATTCGCACACATGAGTTGCACGTGCTCCAATGTTACTTTTGGAGAAAAGGAAAAGAGAAATAGAATTAAGAATTTTTGTAATTTAGGGCTGCATTATTATGTTCCTTATTATTTTTGCCATATTCTATTTTTAGGGTTATTTTAGTATTTTCATATATTAGGGTTTGCTTAATGTTTTGCCTATATAAAAGCTTCTTTGTAAATGTACATTTCAGCTTTGGATTATTGGATTATATTTGTGAGTTTGCAAACTCCCTACCTGTATCTCTTCTCCCTCCTTGTCTTGCTGCTGTTAATCCCTCAGACTCTGTAACCTATCTCCTTCACTCTGTTTTCTCATCTCCTTCGTTTGTATTCTCACCTCCTTCGTCTAGCCGCATCTCAATCTTCTCATTCTCGTCCCCTTCTTTCTTTCTGGTTACTATTGGTTAGTATCTAAATACTATTAGTTACTACTTGTCCAGCGCCAATTGATATCAGAGCACTATTTCTTCTACGTCATAAAGTATAGCTGGTCTAATAGTTGTTTGATAAAACTTCCCTTTCAATCATAACGGGATACGCCTATCAAACAATATACTAGATGTACTCCTCCATTTAACTCATCCTACCTTGGTTCTATGATTAGCGTCATCTTCAATCTCTCCTTTGTTATGAATAATTGAGCCTAAATGGCAAAAATGTTCACTTTTCGCTAACATAAAGCCTAGCGATAAGAGCATCACAATCCTAGCTCCAGTTTGATTCATTATAATGTTGTTATTATATTATTGTAATTGTAATTGTTACTATTAATTCAATAATCAAGTCCGGTTTAACCAATTACAACTACACAAAACAGAAATGGCTAAAGAAAAAGTATATTCATCATTGTGGATAGGAAGTTATTGAAATAAAAAAGCTCCAACGTGAAAAAGATTATTAAAAACTATCTATCTAAATCTAAAAAGTATAAATGATTGAAGACATCTCATAGTTTCCAACACAAACACGTCCAAAACAGGCCACTTTTGAATAACTTCAAAATGAATGCAACAGTGAGTCGAACCCACCAACCAAAAAAAAAAAAAAAAATTTGGCTTCAGCTACCACAGGATAAGTTTTTTTAATGAAAATCTAGGAAAATGTGATGGTAAAAGAGCACTGCCATGGTCAGCACCATATGTATGATCCTAATTTAAACATTTATTGTGATTTTTTTTATTTCATTTCTTTCAAAATTTATAGGGAGAGGTATTCATGCGTGCGTCTTGTGTGTGTGTGTGTGTGTGTTTGTGTGTGTGTGAGACAGAGAGTTGGCTTTGAGTAGTTCTCTTGGGCTTCGCTCCCCTTTTGAGTGCTTTCATACAATTTTACTTATCAAAAAAAAAAGTGTGTGTGACAGAGAGAGAGAGAGAGAGAGAGAGAGATGGGGACATGTGAAAGGGAAATAGGGAAATTTAGATGGTGGGGATAGACAGAAGGAGGGTAAGTTTGTTAAACAAATTATATTAAATAACATTTTAACCTAAAAAAGTTCACCACATCTAGGTAACTAGGTTCAAGGCTTAAGCCTTCTGCAATCTCTTTTCTACAATAACCAAAATCCTACAACTGAATTAGCACCCAATCAGATTGAATAGTCATTACTAACAATCTCTTTTCTAAAAATTCTAAATCAAGAAGAAAGAGAGCAAATATTGTGCAACGATCAACAATCTATCTAACACTACAAACGCCATACACAAACACACATATATTATTCTCCACCACTAACCACATGGGCACCAATGGGACCAATGGGTGGCCTTCTGAATCTTTGATGATTCTTCTCAATTTCCTGTAAAAGAGTAGTCACTCTAGCTCCCCCAAAAGCTGTAACCTGTGGTGGAAGAATATATATTCTGACTAAGCAAATACGGTTTTAGTAAAAGGAGAGAAATATAATTTTAGCAAATGTAAATGGATTCTATTATTCAACAAAAAGGCATACATGATTTCAACACGACCTATGCATTTATTTGCCTACATAAGAAAAGTGTTATCATGTTCACATGCTTCTTAAAGCTGCAAAGCTAAAAGAACTATTCAAACCTTGTTGGTTTGATGTAGTCGAAGGTCGCGTATGTGAGAACGAATTTCCCTATGCTTTTTCTCATTATCTTCAATCTGAAATAAAAACATAACACTTAATTCCAAATCTTTTAAAAAACTGTAAATCATGTTAAGTAAACAAATATCATGAATTCATCAATAACCTAATTAAGACCTTGTTTAAAAAATAAAAATAAAATCACTAAAGGCTGTCAAGCCAAATTAACATGATCTAACTTTTGAAAATTTAGATTTTCAAAATTTAACATATTGTTGTACACGCACACATGCACACACAATACTATGTAGCGATACGTAGGTGAAAAGATGCATTAAAATACAATCAAACCACGATTCTAAAGAATACATCCAGAACACAAACGATTCTAAGGGCAGTTTGACGTTGCTGTTGGTTATAATAAGCAAATTTTTTATGTAGAGCTGTCAAAAAAATGTTCACTGGAAGACCAAATAGTTTTCGGTAACATGGTATGCAAAGCACTTTTCATAAATACTCTTTTTTCATTTAAATAGACTCTCTCTCTAAATTTTTTACCTATACTTGCAAAAAGCTCTAATTTTTAGCTTTGACTAAAAGCTTTACTGAGCCAAAATCTCTCCGACTAGAAGGAGCTTTTTTGGGTAACAAATTCTAACTAAAAGCGCTTTTAGTCCCCTCCAATAGCAACGCCAAATGGGCACTAAGAAGCATCGGGAATCAAAAAGCACATTCATTACCATGTAAATATTTGTAAACAATTCCATACCTCAGAAGCAATCTTTTCGATTTCTACCATTTTCATGGATAGCCCTTCTGATAAATAATTCTCTTCTTCCTTCAATCTGCAAAATAACCTCTATACTGGGATCAAAGGAAATCCAGCTTGAAAGCAATGATACCACACACAACACACACACACATACACACACACAAAACATATATGCATACATACACAAACACCCCAACAGATGAAACAATTGAGTAGATAACCTTGCAAGTATTAAATTAGCTGCATTGACCTCATTTTGAAGTTCCTTCATTTTCTCCTCCATCTCACATTCTTCAGCCTACAGCCAAAAATAAGGCATAAAATTGCATTTTGGTGGGGGCTTGCAATAATAACTATTATTCAGATTCATCTAACACTGACTTACAAAATTAAAGAAATGATAGAGATAAAGAAATTGCATAAATAAACTGGGCATTATTATCTATAAGATATAACATGAAGAACTGGTTGCACAAATATTAGCTAGCATCTTAGCTCTTTGATCAAAGTTTTTTGTGCATTACAGAACTACGAGTCATGACTCCAGAATAATAACATATAAAAACATCTCTCTGGCATAACTACTTTGCAGTGACATTATTAGCATTATCAGACACAACGTTTGTGCAACAATATTCTGCGCATTAATGTCTACCCAGTATATGCCAATCAAATATTAGCCAAACAGAAAGCTCATTGGGGCTTGAATATCCCTGCAGGAATGGAGCTGCATTAATTTATTGTTTGCAGCACTTGTAAGCTGTAACTGGAGGTGACAAACCGTTGGTGATAACCCAAGATTAGCAAGGATCACCAGGCACCAAATTAGCAAGAATTTTTCCTAAATGATAACGCATATTAGTTTATTAATTATTATCCACTGAAGTAACAATTAGGTATTAACCAAAAAAATGTATAAACATAAGGTAGAAAAAAATAAAGAGAAAAAGCAATAGCAAACAAGGAAATGAGATTGTTTTTGTTTAGGTAAAAATGAGATTGTTACATGTGGTTTTTATTAGGTCTAGAACTTTCTTAATAGATTTTTGTTTTTTCACCAAATAGTTGAAGTGCCAATTTTTTTAATTTAGAGGACTTATCAAACATTGGTGCAAAGACGAATGAAAAAAATCTCTACAAGATCAAGGCTCTAGCATTTCATCATTGTGTTTATGAGATAGAGAATACTCTTAGAGTTAAGGTGTCGAACTATCCAATATAGGAGACTTCTTCAACCTTAGTGCAACAAAAAATGACAGAAAAAGATGACATGATCAAGGCTATTGCATTTCATTACTGTTGAAGAAAACAGTTGAAGCTGTAGATGCATTGAAGCAAAAATGGAGAAACAAGTCAAGAGACTAGGAATCTTTTCGCGAACAAGCCCGGCGTCCGCAGGAAGTTCTTGGCAGACAAAACTAATTATACATAAACTGCTGGTGAAATCAACAAAAGTAGATATATTGGAGCTTTCAAGAAACTTCTTTGAAAAAGGAAAATCGATCTCAGAAGGATTTGTGCTTAACCTAGTTCTATAAGGTTTGAGGACTTCAATAGAGATCGCTTCAAAAAAATTCCAAGCTCGTTAAGGCTAAGTAGGAGTACCAGTCCAAGCCCCTTTAGTCTGGTGAACATAAAGCCCTTTTTTTTCTTTTTCCTTTTGGTGTGTGTGAATAAGCTTCAAGTTCAAGAACATCTTTATTTTCTAGTCATTCAATCATATTTTTTTAGTGGCAGTCAATTGATATGCTATATATCATGTCATGATCAGATTCTGTGGATCGTATTAACTAATTTTATTAAATAATTGAATGGAGTTCATGACATATGGTAAACCACTGTTATTAAATGCACCTAGTCCTCGATTCTAAATATTTACGGATTAATATATTTCAAATTATATATGAATATAGATTTTTATTGCTGCACATTTGCAAATTTTTATTTGCTAAATGCATATAAATATCTCTTAGTTCATATGCCAAAATCAAATTCTAAAATTTGACTATTTTGTGTTGCAAAATAGTAGAATATTAAATTGACAGGAAATTTGCTTTCACCATTATTAATAAAACTCACAATAATTTATACAAGTGAGATTCAATTGTTTTATTTTAAATTGAATGATGCAAACAAGCAGAATTACAATGGAGAAATTGATAATTCCATTGCCATTTAGGTATGTGTCATACCATAATTAACTATTCATTTATAAATTTGACTTATCCGCATTGAATTTCAAGAACACGCTACATTAGGATGTCAAAATCATGTCGAGTCCATGTCTCGTTTCCATAGCCATGTAAAATATGACATATCGAAGATTTTAATACCTCCGTAGATTGCCCATAATAAAGCTTGTATTGATGTCAGCGAACCGTACCCATGTAATTGTCCATACTAGATGGCATATTACATATAAAGCAAAAGTTGAAATAAAAAAACTATAACAGATAGAGAACAATGGTGAATGGAACTAAACAGGTGTATTTTAAATTTTTAAGTTCAAAAATATATCACAACAGCCAGATATACCCAAGAAATACAAACAAGGAAATGAGATTGTTTTTGTTTAGGTAAAAATTAGAACCTGTGTATTTTTAATATGTTGTTCATGAATGTCATGAATTTGTTGCTCAAGCAACTTAACCCGCTTCACCAGCTTCTGGATGAGATTGGTTTTGCGACCATGTTCTTCTTCTAGCTCAAGCTTTTCTTTTGTAGCCTAAAAAATGAACTTTACATAAATAATAGGCAAACTCATAGTTGTGACATTTTATGCATTCCAAAATAGTGATATATACATATATTGCTATAAACAAAAATCAAAGAACTGTCAAAGAGCAAATAACATAAATGTGAAGTAAAAATAATTTTGGAATTAAATGTACGGAATCAATTCATATCTATCAAAAAAAAAAAACAGCTCTCAGAAAGCTTTACAATAGATGTGAAGTAAACTTCACACATTCTCGTGTACTTCCTGATGCAACAAATTGCATATTTCGAGGTAAGATCAACGTCACTATACAGATAAATATGCAGAACCAGAACAGGAATATGGTGATGTGGTTTGATAAGGATAGGCTTATATATATGACGTTAAGTGGAATATGACAAAAGTGTTAACCATAAAAGTGATTGTCACGCCCCGAACTTAAATATTACCATAGTTCGGGGGTGATTAACCATCATAATTAATAATCCTCCAAAAGTTTCAGTCCACATAATTTCAAATATCTCCAAGTATTCCATAAACACTAATAGTTTGTAGATCAACCATCCAATAACCACATTTATAACTAGATCAAACAATCCTTTTTTTTTATCATCCACTCAAATCATATTTCTATGCTCAAATCAAATATAAAGCACTAGTATGAGCTTTGATCAACTTCTTCTAATTCCACAATGACCCATAATTTTATTATTTCTACACCCTATACAGATGATTTCCCTTAGCTCTGATACCAAATTGTCACAACCCGCCCACTATGTAGATATTTTTGCTTTGCACACCCTCTGTGCTCACGGTTTTCAAAACGTGTCTACACAGTTACGAGACATCCACACATAAATGCCACCAACCTCTCCCCAAGGGCGATATAGGACGTCGCAATCACCCCCTCTTGGGACCCAATGTCCTCGTTGGCCTAACCCTCATGGGTTTGTGCATATTCCCCCATTTTCGGCTAAGGATTGGCTCTAATACAATCTGTCACGACCCATCCCACTGTGTAGATATTGTCCACTTTGCACATCCTTTTCAAAATGTGTCCACAAAGTTAAAAGGAATAAACACATATAAAATGCCACAACCTCTACCCAGACGATATGGGACATCATAGTTGTCTTTTTCCACTCATAGATAAATAAAATAAAATAAAATAGCTTTATTAGAGTGCACAAACTATTTATGGAATTAAAAAACTTATTATAGTGGAATCAAAGGTGTAAATGCATTAGACTTGTTGTAAGCCATTTGTAGGTACAAGAGTAATAGTAATCAAACAATGTAGTATGAATTAGAGGACCACATAAGTAGGCAAGACCGATACTCTCCCTCCAACTACACCACTTGGTGTACTTGCTACTTTACAGAGATCTTCCCTCGACGATGGCCCCAACCCAGTGTCATGGGGTTGACAGCCACTATCTTCCCTAAAGACCTCCTCTCCTATGGATAAGCCTCATTGATGGCGCTAGGTTGGGGTCGTGGGGTTGACATTTATTGCCTTTCTCAAAGAGCTCCCATTGTACGTATAAACCTCAACGAAGGCACCAGCTTGGGTTCATGAGGTGCTCCATTTCAAGAGAGAGGGACTTAAGAGAGAGCAGTAACTCCTCTAAAAGAGTACCCTTACTCAACTTTGCTTATAGCCCCGGCCATCCTGTTGTATTATTATGGACAGCCTTGCTAAACTGTGTAGCCTGTCTTATACCCAATGGTCTTTTGCCACTCTTTTGGTATTTACTTGCTTCCAATTCCTATATAAACCAGAGAAAACAAAAAACAAAGGCTGGCCTTTATAATCTCTCAAGAGCATTGTTGAAGGATTTAAATATTTACGTTGCACCCTCTTTAACAGCTTAAGCTTTTAGAATATATGGTTGTTAACATGGTATCAAAGTAGGGTAAGCCCTGTGTTCAAACCTCACCGTCACCCTGATTTAAATTAAAACACGTGTTGGACCAAAAAGAAGGCCGCCACACGTGAGGGGGCATGTTGAAGGATTTAAATATTAAAGTTACACCCTCACTAACAACTTAAGCTTTTAGAGTAGATGGTTGTTAACAAGCATTAAAACCCTTGACCCTCTTCATTTTTGTGTTTAGGACAACCTCGATAGAGGAATTACTGCCTTAAGAAAACTCTCTCTCTCTCTCACACACAGAGTAAGTAAAATGTTCTGGATAGATGAATTTTGTTTTTATAAACAAAAGTGCTCCATGCTTTAATGCTTTGTTAGCAATCAAATCCTTTTCGGATTTGAAATTAGAATTGGAAAAGGAATTGGATTCGACTTAAAATGTAATTCCATTTTGTGTTTGGAATAAACTGAAATTCATTTAAAGAAAATAATTTTTGCTCCATTTTACCCCTCTAGATATGTGTTTATATTTTTTATACCTAAATATGTGTGTATAATAAGGTATATTTCCATCAATTTGCAAATTTAGACCAAACCTAGTATACTACAAAAAGTACACTGTGTAGCGATTCACTGAAAGACTAATAAGTTCACTATAGAGAGACAATAGAGAGGAGAGCCATGTAAAGATGAGGATGAGAGGAGAAAGGTAAAAAGATAGAGAGATAAGGGATAATTTTGGTAAGTTAAAGACATGTAACAGTCAGTTACCAAATCCCCTCAAATCCTCCCATTTTTCCCCGGATTTGTCTACGCTACAAAAAATTTCGGTGAAATCCCCCCATTCCAAACACAGCGTAAATGTGCATAGCAGAAAGTGGATCACTGGGTATCAATGTCTTAGTAATTTCGGGTATGGCTGACCTTCTTGCATGTGCATATGCATACTAGTAGAAATAGGAAGTGAAGTGTAAATAAAACTGAACAAGAAGTAAAAGGAAACGACAAAAAGGAGTCAGCAATGGGACTCACTGACTCAGCCAAAACTATATATTGAAATAGTACAATTTCATCTGGCTTTTTTTCGATTTAAAAATATGTGGAATTTCAATCATACCAAGGAGAGACTCTGCTGCAATTCATCCTTCATTCTCCTCACTTCTGTTGTCCTTTCCATCATACACTCAATTTGAGCTTTCTTCTTGGCCAAGTGATCCCTCAACTCCTCCACTTTACCCTTTCAAGTAATAAAAAACATGTCATATAATGTAATAAAATAGGCTGCATCATCTAATTAGAGTACAAGTAATCGGAAGCAAAATGGAAAGAAAGAAATGGACCTACAAACAGGTACATCACCGCAAAACAACACAATTGAAAAACAAACTTTAAAGTGATTAACCCACATTACCAATCAAAACATTACAGAAAAAGTTGAAAACAAAAAGGGCAGAAACTGCAAATATCTTATCCCACCCATTAGAAAGCTTTAAAAAATAAATAAAGAAGAAGGGAAAAAGAAAGAAAAAAGAACACAACAATTTCCACAACAAGTTTGTCCCCCAGTAGGCCACTGTCAAGAAAAAGGAAATACCCAAGATAAATGAAGTAGAGATGGCTAAAAAATAATAATTGCTTATCCTATTAATGTCACCATATTCAATAGGACATGCTCTGGATAAGGAGTCTAATGCAGCAAAACTTTATTTATTTGAAATTGCAGCAAATTTTCCATGCATGTAAGATTAAAATGAAATCATCAATCCACTACTGATATCAATCATACATGCTTTGACTTGGACCAGTCAGCTAAAAATGATAAACAAATCTGACACTTGATAATATACTGAGGAGTACATCAATAAGAAATGTATATCAGACAGAGTCAGAAGTGATATGGAAGTTTGAAGGCTTCATCTATTCAAGTAGGCTAGAGAGATCTGTAAAAAACAATTCATTGTATAGCACTTCACTAGTTCCGACTGGAAAGAAGTGGTATTGAAAACCTTCAAATACTAAACACCAATTTCTGCATTTTGCAGGTAAAATCATTAATTGAAATCTGGGTAATTATCAGGATTATGTCAGGACAAGTTTGGATCACCATCAAGACCCATCCCAATTTCAACCTGTTTATTATCAAGTAAAAAAGGCCATTACTCAGTGGAGTTATCTGCACATAGAACTGACTTGGACATTACTTTTGCACAAAAAGGTATTGCTAACATTCAAAGTCACCATCCCATGATTGGTACCCCAAACTTTTACCGTGCCAAGCAACAAAACGCTCATCTATTTATTATCAAGTACAAAACATCAACCAAACCCAGCCCATCTAATGCCACAACGAACCATTTATGCCAAATTGACTGCTAAGAAAGGAAAATCATTAAAAATGTATATAGTTCGAAATGCAATTACCAAAGGTTCAAACTGATTAGACTCGAAAAACCTAAAATAGAACTGGAGCTATTGTCCAAAAACTAATTAAACCAGGCAAATTCACAGTTCTGAGTCCAAATTTTCCATCTGTTACCACTCATGTTACATCATATAATAATGATGGGCAGGTGCAAATTAGCATAGAAACATAAACAGCAAGTCAGGCCTGTAGGCGCTTTGAGTGATTTAAAATTAAATATTCTCTCTGCAGACTATCCAATCACCAAGTTAAAACCATTCCACGAAAAATGTCCCATGACTAATATTTCAATAAAATCCTTAAAGCACTCCCATGAGTATGCGTAGACGGAGAAACAATAAACAAGAGAAATGTAGTATATCTCAATCCGCAAAATAATTTATATTTACATTGAATTTAATAAATTTGACTTGACATGAATAAGAGCCTGTTACTTACAACTTGCTGATCTATTCGGGCTTGGCAAGCAGGTATTCGATCTTTCAGCTTTGTATTCTTTGCATTTTGCTCCTGGATTTGCCTGTCAACATCATATACCCATGACCATGCAAGTTTTTTTTTTAACAGCTGCACCTGTAGAGATATTTCTTCTACATGCTCCATGTTTTTTATCTTTCCTTGCAATTCATTAAGTTCATTCAATATTGGCGCTATTGAAGATTCCAGTTCAGAAACCAATTCATTTGCCTCGTCCAGTTGTTTACCAATACCATTTAATAGCTCATCCACTTGATAAAGAAGAGTTGCCTTGAAAAAGAACTGAGTCAAATGGTGTTAGTATGGCAATCCAAACAAGCACGCAGAAACATGAGAAACATTAGACAGACAAGCCAAGGAAGTATTAGACTTAGAGATAACTTTCCCTAAGCTCGTGCATGTTAACCTTTAATCAACATACTTGATTGCAATGGACAAAGAAGATAGAAATCCACATGTATTGACAAATATGATCTAGACAAAATTATTCTTGATTTCAACTTCTCACCTTGAATTTATCTTTGCTATTCCCTGAATGTAAAAACTCTCTGCTTTTGTCTTGACTCATAATTACACAGGGATTCTCAACATCAATCTGCACAATGTAAAGCACAACAATTAAAAACCCTTAAGAACGTTGTGATAATTTAATAATAACAAGAAAACCACTATTTCTAAACAGGGGGGGGAAAAAAAAAACTTAGGATTGAAAATAATTAGAAGGGGGGTCAAGGGTCGCCCATCCTTGGCATCTCTAATAGGTTCAAGCAGATCAACATCTTTTCATTCTCAGAAAGAACAAACAAACAGAAGGAAATAACCATACAATTTATGCACGCACATATGGTAGAAAAAGAGGGGAACAATATAGAGGAATTCTAAGACAGAAAAACAAACAACCATATTTTCTCTACCGCCTACAATCTTCAACTAAAAATCCTCTTTGCTCTTCATTTTTATTAGAAGGGAGAAAAGGTGAAAAAGAACTCAAAAAGAAAGGAAACTAGAGCAATAATTATTACAGCCCTTTCCTTGAGTTTCCTTTATACTCGTTTCTCCTTATTTCTCCAATTGCTGACATGCAGTTTAGGGTCAAACTTTGGGAGCAGGGCGCAATGCATCCAAATTAAAATAAAATGAGTAGAATCCAACAGCCACTGTATTAGAGAAAATACATTCACCACCTAAATTGAAATATCACCATATAGATGCTGAAAATTACTTGCATGACTTGGTTAAAATAATTTTCACTGTATTGTTTTCACTAGGGACTCATGTCTCATAAAAGTGTAAACTTTTTTGTCATGAATTTTCAAATTTTCAAATTACTAAAGCACTTCAGGAACACTCAACTATTCCTTTTTCTTTTCATTGGGTTTGCTTTTCTTTTTTTTCTTCTTGGTTCCAGAATTCTGCTATAGTTTGCATCAATTAGTCACATAGAATACATACCATATGCTTATTATACATAATACATGCATAGAGAAAAATTACGAACTATGTATGTATTATGTACATTATACATATTAATATATATTAGTCAGGTCGGGTTGACCCAATCTATATAAGTAGCAACCGAAATAGATGAGAGAGACATTTCAAATGGGGGTGGCCAGGGATTGAATGCGGAGAGGTTCAAGCTAGAGGACTACTGTAACGAGTGGGCGCTTGCCCATTTACCCAAAAGCTTAAGCTATTGGGTAGTGCCGCATTCCCACCCATTCATTTTCCCATCCAGATCCGATGTGGAAAAAGTTACCGCTTGTAACAACTACCACAACATCTCATTCGTTAAAGCACAAGCTTTCAGCCAAATTGGATTGAGATTCTGTCTGAATGTTTAGATTAATTTGACTATAAATCACATCAAAACCCAAGTCAACCATAATCCAGCTTTTATGGAATAAACATAAACTATTTCTATATTCAATCAAGCCACCCGTAATATTAATGGCAGCTGAGTCTAAAACACAGTTAAGTAAAGCTTCGTCAAATACCAGTCCTACAGGCATATATAGCAATATGGGTGCCCTCTTAAATGTCAGTCAAGACCATCAACTATAGCAGCTCGGTCATAACACAGCTACACCTACATCCGAAGCTTCAATTTCCTGATATTTATAACCATACTTCTGTTGGGTCCCACAATCTGAAGATTCAATGAAGGTGCATAAAAAATAGGAAATTTTAAATTTTAAATGACTTCTTTAAAATATTACTCAAAATGACTCTTGAAAGGCCATAAAGGACGAAAAATTGTAGCAGATCTTTCCTATCCTCTACTCAGACCTTTTATAGAGAGCGAAAAACATTTGCTTAACATGCATTTTTTTTTTTTTTTTTTTTGATAAGTAACATTTGCTTAACATGCATAAAGCAATACAAACTTTCCCGGACAAGTTTTGTGTTCCATTGCCATTTCAAATTTCTTCTGGGTTGATTATGTGAATCTTGATAAACAGAGCTTTTTAACCCAATCCAACTTAATTCAGCCAAACCCTAAATCCCAATTACTTTGGTTGGCCATTATATCATATGCCGTCATGTCTATTTTCACCACCTAGCCCACTTCAGTTTTTTGGTTTATCCTATTATACATGAAGTACCTTCAATTCAGGTCAAATTACTCTTTAGTACTACCTGTAGTACCTTGTCTGAAGGTCCAAGAATCTGACTTTCTTGTGTGGATAAGATGCCAATTTGGACATATTGCTTCACATTTCTTTCTTGAATAAGAAAGCACCAAAATGTTTTGAACCTATATTCTAAAATCACAAGCCTATTAGCATTATAACAGCCTTTGATGGTCCATTACAAGTTTACAACTCATTAAACCTGCAGATAAATTTGATTGGCGTGCAATGGTCACAGAGCTGGCCGCTAAAGGTAACGTAACAGCCCTTATGGAGCAGAATGACCATAACATAAGGCATAGTTTATGGCTACCAATTACCAAGCATTCCCCAAGAGAATGTATCGCAAGATTCATGGTCAAGTTATAATTTTTTTTCATATAAATTGATTGCATGTTTAAATCACACAATCTCAAAAAGTATTTCTCCGCCCCATCCCTTTCAATGCATATAGGCAATGCGAAGGCTAAACAAATATTACCATGCCACTTAAAAGCAATACTATTGTGCTTCACCCTCTAAGCTATTATTTATGTGATGACATCCAATAATGCATATTTAGGCATCAGCCAATGCTGGTGTCAACTGCCAAGGTCCAGTTATACCTGGCACCTGCATTGTACCCCAATATCCAGGCTTGCAAGACAAAACTTGAGAAATGCCTTTTTCACTTGATTCAGCAGCAGCAGTGCCCTTTAACTAACACCTTTCAAGAGCAGGGAACACCCAACCACACCACTCATCCACAAAAATAATAATTATAACAACAATAATTATTGTTTTACAAACATTCAAACAGAATCCCAGCAAGCATCATGTCTGACTGCCAAAAACATGACATGAACACCAACAAGACATAACTTGCTATAGGCCAGCAATCGATGCATCTTTGTATAAAAACAAAAGGACACAATGTAAAAGATGGCATACAGTCTGGGAGTATCAGGTATAACACTTACATTGAAATGTTCTACAAGCTCGCGGAGATCCTCCTTTCTACTAGATATTCGTCTTCCTGTCAAATAACTCGGATAAAGAAAAGCTCTAGTAAATACCACAAACTTCTGACATCAATTATGAAGTAATGCGAAATGTAAATCATGAAGCATTACAAAGTTCAAAACAAGGAACGATAAAGGATCTCATAGATCAAAAATGATCATATTTTGCAGCCAAATAATGTGTATTCCATTGCACATAAAAGGCAAGAATTTCTAGAGAGCAACTACAAAGCATTGCTGCATCAACGCTATCATAATCCCCCACGTCCAAACTTGAAGTTTGATTCAACTATTGGGTCTACAGGCAAAGTTCTTTTCTTTTATTTAGGCAAAGTTGACAAGAGAAACAGTTGCGAACTTTAACCTGGCTGCAGAGTATAAAGTGAACAACACGTTGAAAAGGTACAAAACTGAATATTTTCCTACAAAGACACTGACAGGGAAAAATTACTAGCACCAATTTTATCAGAATTATCTTCAATGAGGAACAACTGATATACTGAATTCTTTACAATGAAGGCAGAGTTGATTAAGAAAACCTATATGAATGGAACAATTTGAATAGTAATAACTGCCTTATAAATCCCTTATAATCTTGGAACTGTGGGATCACAGTGCCAACAAATAACTAAATTAAACATGATTTTTCAGCTGCTAAACTCTCCAAGGCACCAATCCTATCTCTACCCCAGCAAATCACATCCATCAAGTTTCTTTAAGACGGCATCAGAGAGGACATGTATGATAAAATGGTGATCATAGCGTGGAACAAATGTAGGAGAAATAAGAGAATTCTCAACTATTGTAGATTTACATTATAGGTTGAGGGTTGAAGCACTGGAACCCTAGGCTTTGATATTAAGTTGCACAAGGCCCGTGATCTAGACCCAGAGGGAGGATAGATCCTGAAAGCTAGTTAACTATTTTTTGAATTTTAAGGTCCCGTTTGGCATGCGCTTTGTTTTAGGTGTTTTGTTTTTGGTTAAAACAGAAACGGTGTTTTTGCTGTAGGAGTGTTTTGGAAAAAAATCGGAAGCACGTTTGGAAACGATGCTTTGTTGTGAAAATGTCGAAAACAGATAAATGAAAAAACAAAACATGTTTGGTCCAGTTGCCAAAAAACAAATTACATTTTTGGTTATCATTGTTTTTAATTTGTTTTTATAAATTTTAAGTATATTTATAAATTTATTTCTACATAAATAGTCATCATATTGAACACACTTCATAACAGATGTCAGATAATCATTCAAAAAAATAAAAAAATAAAATAAAAAAACTTCATAACAGATAAACTCAATAGATTTAATTGGAAAATTTATGAGTACCAATCAATGGAAGTTGCTAATTTCCAACAACGTCCATTACCCACCTGATCCACTCTTAAAAATTTCCAAAAAGAATTTCCACATACAGTACAAAAACTCCTCATAGAAAACAAAATTTATATTCTCTTATATACCTATAAGATTTTTTCGGGGAACTAGATGTCATCACAAATCAAATATATTCGTGCTCTTTTTTCTTTCTTTTTTTTAGGTTAAGCACATATATTCAAAACTAATCGAAGAACTGTAAAGCCTCATTTGAGAAAAATGCCTAGAAGACCAAAATTTCTGAAAGATGACTTCTAGAAGCATAGAACAGAAAGGCTCATCAAGGGCCATTGAAAACCGGGTTCAAGGGCAGGGATGTTTGATTGCCGGAATCCAAGGGTTTCTGGCAAGAATTTGACGGAGATATCAGAAGTACTGTGATTGGGCCGTCAAAAACGAAAGGGTAAAATCAGACCAAAAAAAAAAAGAAGGAAAATTAGTTCTGGGTTTGTTTGGGAACTGGGAAAATGATAAATTTTATTGGGAAGATGAGGATTAAGGGAGGGGACTCTACCGGCGCCAAATCTGATCACCCTCTGGCCTTTGCCCAAATTAGTTCTGAGTCGCCACAAAATCGCCTCCGCTCAAGCTCTCTAGAAACCCTATAAAATGACCGAAATGTTTTAAGCGTGGTTTATATACATGTTGCAAGTCTGGTTTAAGTTGGGTCATTTTACTTCCTCCGCTACAGTAATTATTTGGGCCAATAGTACCCAAAACATGATAAAACACAAAAATGGTGTTTCAACTTTTAGTCCAAAAACTAGAAATGTTTTGACATTGTTAATAACAAAGCAGGCCGAACCAAACATGTTTTGAGCTAAAAAATTACTACTGTAGCAGGCCTGCAAGAAAAACACATGAAGCAAAGCAAATACCAAACAGGGCCTAACTGAATTAACAACTATTCAAAAATTAGAAGAACAATCTGCTTAGCAATCCATTCAATCCACCATGCAATCAACAACATAAATAAACAATGTGTTTAATAAAAGCAGTAAAAGTAAAAGCACAATGAGCACAAAGATTTTTTAAGTGAAAACCCCAAGGGAAAAAACCACATGACCAAGTCCAATCAGATCAAATCCACTATATGAGAAAAGATTATACACCTAGGTTAACAGTCTTCCAAATCCTAAAAATCCCTAGTTACATCTTGACACAGACCGATTGCCAAATCCTCCACTCGACTCGAAGACTTTAGTCCACTCTATCAATAGATCCACTCCTCAGGATCTGCTCTCCCAGGTACTTTGATCTCTGATCTAGTCATCCAATCTGAATAATCTCGATTACTCCTTGCTTTGTGTTGAAACCGTCATAGGCTCAAAACCAATAGATCATCATCATCCGTGCCTTACTCCCATATGAATGGGGTCGGCCACATGAATTCTCTCCCTCAAAGCTTTTCTATTACATGAAAATTCACCTACGATATTCAACTTTCTAAAATCATTTATAAAAACCTCATCCCATGCTATTTTTGGTCGCCGTCTCTTACTTTCTCCTACCTTTCTAGACACATGTTGAACACCACACTTCACAGACATTCCTTGACATGCATCTTTAACGCTTCATGGAAGTGTCTATAATTCAAAAATAAATTTCAATATTTCGGAAACTTGGCTAATACATCTGAAACACTCCCCAATACAAAAAGTTTGCAACAAAAGTGCATCAAAAAGTGGCCAACTCTCAAAGTCTCCAACGGTCCAACCTTTTCTCCTTTCTACTTTTTCTCCTTTGAGAAAGATTAATATTGTTCTAATGGCACCACAAACTAAGCATGCAATAATATTTTTCATATAGGACAAGAATATAATCACAATGGCAATGTAGAAAAGTAGATGCTTGTCTAGGATTTTATGTTTCATCTAGACTTGTAACTCAACACGTTCCTAGAGAAAATGATATTTTTACAAATAGGACAATGAAAGCACATCTAATAATGTTGACTGTATGATTCCTCTAAACTTGTAAGCAAGCATCTTAATTCAAATCATAATGAAACGTCAAACTTCAGCGCCAACCAAAATCATCCTTTCCATCCAATAACAGATACAACTTACAAGCCATGTAATAATATAGCAAAAGAATGAAAACATGGACTATTTAAAAAGCCAAAAAACCAAACTCTGAACAAATATCACAAATTTCCCCCTTTACAAGATAAATGCTTTGACAACCAATAATTTAGATGGAACAGAAGGACTACACGTAAAAACCTTGGTGATTCTTTAAAGCAGTGGAACTCGTTGATTCAGAAATCCTGCGTTCTATAACTATGACATCGCCATATATATCCGGCTTAAACGCGTCTTCTCCTTGATTTTTTATTTCCACGTATACAGCAGCAGAACTGCAAATAAACATGTAAAATGAAATTAAAATCAGATAAATCGTGACATCTAAATTAATCACGCTATGTACAATAGATGTTAAAAACTCAAGCAAATAAATGAAACACCCACTCGCCCAACCTTGGAGGAGTAGTAGCTGGAAGTAAGAGAAAGTTATTGACAGAAAGAAGGTTGAAAATCAAAACAGGGTATAAAGTGAAACAGTATAATGCAATGGCCCCATTATTATAATATGATGGGAACAATACTACTGAATCACAACAGATGGAAATCACCATTTTTTCCATTCCTTCTTTACAAAAGAAATTGCACTCATTAAGGGAGGGAAAATGGTATAAAAGTCCACAAGATGCCCATTCAATTTGATGGGATTTGATGAAAGTTACAAGATGCCCATTGAAGCCAATATGTCTATTCTGACTCAAAAAGTACTAGAGTACATACATACATACATACATATATATATATATATATATACACATACATATACATACATACATACATACATACATATATATATATATATATATATACATATATTCTGACTCAAAAAGTACAAGAGTACATACATACATACATACAAATATATACACACACACACACACACACATATATATATATCAATTTTTTTCTCATGTTCTCTACCACGTTTGTTACATGAGGGAGTAACGAGATAAAATTTTTACTAACAGTCCAACCAATGCACAGTGATCGGCATGAACTGATTCTGATCACAATTGTAACAATTATATGAAAAAGATAAATTCCGGGAAAAAAATCTTAAATATTTTAAACATAAAAAGCCAAATCAAAAAAATAAAAACCAACTCCCACGAACCTGCAACCAGTCTTTATAAAATCTTTCAATGTCGAAGCCCTTTGCGTGCCTTTAGCTCGACAACCAAATGCGATACACAGTGCAGTGAGTATAGCACTTTTGCCACCTATAAACATCAAAATCAAAGAGCTTCAAATCAAAACAACGATTTTACACACACACGTGTATATGTGTGTAGAGAGAGAAGGGGAGACTTACTTCCATTCTGTCCTGTGATGAAATTGACCCAGTCGCCGAACTCCATCTGCAAGTTACTATGGCACATGAAGTTCTCTAACCGGATCTTGGAGATGATGCCGGCTTGAAGTCGGTTCGGGACACCGGCTGAGCCGGTGAAAACCCTAGAATCTGCCATCGCGTACGGTGTTCTAGGGTTTTTCTAGAACAGACAAGCAGAGACCGATCAGAGAGAGGAAGTGTTATCGGTGACCAAATTGGTATGTAGAAGAAAAGATACTGACTCTTTCCCCTCTCTCTCTCTCTCCCTCTCCCTCTCCCTCTCCCTCTCCCTCTCTTTCTTCTTTCTCTCTCTAGGCTTTTGGGAAAAATGGCGGGAAGAGGCAACAGCTGTGCGAACCTAAGCATCGATTCGTCGTACTTAGGAGGTTTTGAAGGGATTTATGTTTTATCCGCTGCGTTCAAGTCCATGAGAGCTTTGGTACAATTTGTTTTTATTTTTGGCAAATTAGGTTAAAAATATATACATATATATATTTGAACTTTAGGTAAAGTACAGTCACACCCCCTGAAATTTGGTAAAAGAATACACGGGTGAAAGTTATTCATTTTTTTGACAATGACACCCCTTCAAGTTTGAAAAATGGACAAAGAGACCCTGACAATGGTAAATTAACTTTATTACCCATTGATATAAAATTGATATTTTAATTGCCTTAAATACCCTTGGATCAAACTCAAACCTAAACCCTTTCTCTCTGTATGTAGGTATACATATATATATGTACGCACACTACATAATCCCCGCCAGACGCCCTATGTAAAGAACCTTAGCTGCCGCCGTCGCTGCCTCCGCCTCATCATCATTCTCATGTGGTGGTGCTTGAACATTGTCGTCATCGTGGTGATGACGATGCATGCTGCCATGGAACATCATCGGATTGAAGTCACTGTTCTCACCTACTCTCCTCTATGTTCTTTCTTCCTCTACCCCAACACCAACAGAATATGATATATATATATATATATATATATATATATATATGTACATACATATATATTTACGTGATATATAAATGTGTTCAATCTTCAAAATATTTGAATTAATAAAATTCATATTCCAATTTTCAAATAACAAACTTGGATAAAACTCATCCCTATATCACTTAAGTTGACATGTAACTTTTAAAAAAGAGAAAAAAAAAAATTTAAACAAATTCTGGTGGTCGAATCTAATATATTGATTAGGATCGAAAATCAAAAATCAAGTGTGGATATAAATTTGAAAACAACTAATCACCCAATTGTGTACATATATGTGACTTTTAATTGTTGTGAGAGGTATGAATCAAAATAATAACGTAAATATAAATATATATACAGAAGTATTCCAATCTGAATGCTATCCATAGCCAAATATCTAAGCATTATATGTATATACAAATGCATATATATATATATACACACACATACACACACATATATATGTTGTTACCCAATAATCGACTCTAGAGGGGAGTGAATAAAGTCAATGACCAATTTTCGCAAATTATAGAAATACAATTTCTAATCAACAATATAACCAATTATGCAATAATCAACATATGAAATCAAGATATGAAAGTAATCAATTTACCACAATGGTAAAAAAGATAAGGGAAGAGAAATTGCAAACAATAATACGGCAATTTTTGCGAGGTTCGGAAACTCCTATTCCTCGACTCAAGATCCCTCTTGAAACTTCCCAAATTCCTCAGAGCTTCTCCTTAATGGTGGAGAGCAAACCTTCAATTAAAGCAAGACCTTACTTCTCTTTCTTGCTAGAAGAACACCCTTCTCCTAGGCTTCCTTTTGGGTCACATCATGTAATACCCCTAATTTTAAAAGGATAGTCATGGTATTTAAATTATTGTTTAAAAATTGCTTTTATTTATTTCTTTGGTTTGATTTACTTATTTTAATTGTTTTAAGTTAAATTATATTTAATTGGATTAGTTATGGATTTAATTGTTGCGTATGATTACTTGTTTAAGTTACTTGCATTTAATTGAGTTAATTTATTTAATTGATTTGTTTTATTTAATTGTCTTACTTATGGATTTAATTGCTTTAAGTTAAAATTAAATTGAATTGGATTAGTTAAATTACATTTAATTGGTTTTAGTTAGTTTGCAACGTGAGTATATTTTCACGGGGTTTATAGTTTTCATAGGCAGCCGACATTGTATATCCTAGGTTTGTTTATGGGCCGAATTAGACATGGATTAGGGTTTTGTTAAACCCTATAAATATATGTAATGAGCATCTGCCTAGGGTTTTAAAACCCTATTCACGGCATACTGGAAGCAAGAAACGTATAGAGAAGTCTTGGACAAAACTGAAGGATTTCTGGAAACACTCAGAGGAAGGACGTTGAGATTTTTGAACCGAATCTCACAGGCAAGTTTTATATCTAACTCAATCTCTTTGGCCTGTGTTCTTTGCATCCCTAATTCAGTTCCAGGAAGAATTAAAATTAAATTAATTTGGTTGCACAAATAAATTGTTTCATAACAATAATTGTTCTTATATATGTTTCCCTTTCGTTTTGAACTGTTTTTGTTTGTTTTTGTTCTAATTGTTTTTGTTCGACAAGTAATGAATTTAAATAACTTTAAAACATCTTGGGACTTAGTTTTAACCGGTAGAGAGGTTGGTTTAGTGGAACAAAGCAGTCTAATACTGCCGGAGTGGAAGGAGACGACGCAGAGAGGAGGAACAGGTGCACCAAAACGCAGAGCAGGCTCCACCTTGAGTAGAGCCGGCTCTAGGAATCAGTGGAGGCAGCTCCACCATAGGTGGAGGCGGCTCCACTTTGTGTGGAGCCGGCTCCTCCAAGGAATTCCAGTTTTTTATTTTTTTTATGTGATTTATTGCGAACTTAGGCTACTGTATTTGGAATTTTGAAGTTCCAGAATGTTTTAGGAATGATTCTAGGGGTGTTTTGTAATGAATAAACCATTGATAAATTTTCAGAAGGAATGGAAAATTCATAAAATACCATAAGAAGCTGAAATAGGGACACAGTCTGAAACTCTTAGGAAAGTTTTAGGTTTACTGTGAGGCGAATAATTCAAATTGCTTATTTTTAAATTAGCAATTGAATTATGAATTTTATGTTTAAATCACATGACAATGGTATAGGATTAAGCATCTCAGTTTAAAATATAATGTCAGTTATGCTTAACAGGGAATTAGTTGATGTTTACAAGTTATTATGTACTATCAACTTACCGGATGATATGGAATGATTTAAACGAGCATGTTAATTCTGTTATTGGTATTAGTATGTTGATAGGGGATTAAATGATGGATGACACTTATTATTTGTGTTCTTAAACTGTTAGAGAATCATGTATTGTTCATATATGACAAGCATGCTATTTATACATTCTTGTTGTACTTATTATGGATGTGTGGATTTTAATATTTATAATATCATCTGTATTATTAACAATTGGATGGATTGTGTTATACTTGTTATGGATTGGTTGATATTGATTTTTATCTCATCATTTGTATTATCAACACTTGATGGATGGTTTGTATGCATCGATATGGGATAGTGTTATACTAGAGGGATTAGCTCAGAAACATTAAGTCCTACCTATTATGGATTTAGGGATGGATTAACTACAAAAGTTAAGTCGTACATATATTTTGTGTCAGATCACTATATAGTTGAGTGACACTTTTGGTTTGGAACGGATTTTAAATATATTTTTATGGTGCCACGATATGAGCCTAAGTCTCAGAGTCGTTGGTTAGGGAACATATATGCAATGGGATGCATAGCTGGCTACGATGGTTGGAGGTGTACCCTGTTTAGGTTAGGTACACATGCCCACTTCGTGTGTGTTTTAGCATGTTGCCTCTACTTAGGTTGAAACCGCCCTGTAGGCCAGTGAGAGTCATTTAGCGTGATTATATATATATGGGTAATTTACAAAGACCTCCCCTATGGTTTGCCATAATTATAGGCGGCACCCTTCCTGTTTCGAAAATTACTCGGACCTCCCCTACTTTTTAAAATATCCTATACGGACCTCCCTTATCTGTGACGGACCGTTAAGTCGACTAACAGAGCTGTCGAAATTACTGAAATACCCTCTCCTTACCATCTAAAATGACGAAACTACCCTCTCATGACATTAGCTTCTTAGTTACACGACTATTGATTCATTTGGAGGGAAAACTTGCATTAATTGTGTCTGTTTCCCAACGCAGGTCTTTTCATCTGCCTTACCAAAGTGGTTCCGTGTATTGTGAACACTCTGAAAGAGAGAGAGAGAACGAAAGAACAAAGGGTAAGGGTTGTTACATGTGAAGGATTAACCAAAGATCACATCAACATAGGAGTTCGCTTTCCATATTTGGCAACAAATCCAAGTTCGTATTTGCAAAGAACGAGTTAGGGTTTGCGCATATGTGAATCTGAAGTGGTCTGAGGTATGTGAAAAGAATTTTGTAATCGATATTGAGGGTTTCTGTTTTTTATTACTCTCTATTTAGTTTAGGTTATGTTAAAATTTATACTCTGTTTTTTGGGTGTGTGTATTTTTGAATAATTATGTATTTAGTTCAGGGTATATGTTTTTGATTACTCTATATATATTTGTTTAGGGTTTTATTTTCTATTTATTGTTAACTTTATATAGGCAAATAGGGCTTTTATAATTGAAATTATGTGTAATTTGGGAGTAGTTGTTCCATTGTATTGATTGTGTTAAATTTAGTTAATTTGTGTTTATAATTTATTTTTTTGTTATAATTTTAATTGTTACAGCGATGGAATCAATTCATGATATTGTTGTTCACTATAAGTGGAACCTAACTTTTTATAACTGGTGTGGATCCGGATTTTTATAGCATCATTGATTTTGTTAAAGATGTAACAGCAGTAGCTTTATCTCATATTCCAACTACTGTCCCTTTGTCTCTGTTTTTGTCTTGTGTTGTTATTGGGTCTTCTGCTAGAATGAATGTGGATAGTGATAAAGATATGCTAGAGATGTTTAAAGTAAATGCTGGTAAGAGATTGATAGACTTGTATATTGAGAAGGTTGTAACTGATGTAAGTCCTAAATTTGCCTCAATTGAGAGCATGGAGTTTGATGATAGGGAGTTTGAGTTTGATGATAGGACATTTGATGACAGTAATGTGAATGACAATGATGACAATAATGTGAATGACAATGATGACAGTAATGTGAATGACAACAATGACAGTAATGTCAATGACAATAATAACACTAATGTCAGAGACAATGAGACCAATGTAAATGAGAACAATGGAGGACAGCCTGAGGATGAGTATGATTTGGAAAATGATAATGATGTATTTCGGTTTAGTTCTGAAGATGAG